TTTCTCTTTATAATATTAGTAGAGACAAGACGTTTTAATACGAAAACCTTTTCTAGTAAATGGTAAAATACTAGCAAATCAGTTGACTAAACCTGTAGAATGAGCCTTTATTCTAATAAGATGCAAATCGGTAATTTTATTTGTATTAGAGGTAATACCGCTGCGTTTTTCACGCACTGACGAATTTTAAAGATGCGGGCAACTTGCACCCCTCGCGTTCATCTTAATCAGACCGAAACAAACATCGGTATGGCTAACATAATATTTGCCTCGAGTAGGAGTCGAATTCAAAATGTAGCATATAATAAACCTTCCGTTACAGCGGCATCAAAATAATAAATCGCAGTGCACAAAAAATATAAATTATATTTAAAAGTAAGTAAATAAGTAACTGTAAAAGAATATATGACGAATGGAAAGTAATACTTTCTTTTTAAATGAATAATATACTTATTAAATGATACTATTTATCCGGATTTTTTCGCGGTTTTATTTTTAAATTGATTTTTTGTTACTGACGTTTCCGGTGACGATGCTTGCTGTTAAGCATTCGAAACATCGGGCACATAAGTAAAAAAAAGTACTTGATATCTTCAGCCTGCAAACAATGACTAAAAAAATCGTTAAAACATTCTTCTGTTCCTGCGTAAAAGAAGAACTGACGAACAAACACATTTTCGCATTTATTATATTTAGTGAGGATGGCATCACGATGTATTTCATACACAAATACTGGGCTTATCAATCAGCAACGCAGCGCCTAGCCCTGGACAATGCGTCGATGTTATGCCGAGTCACGACCGCCGAAATATTGTTAAGGCGGGAGCACACAGGTGATTTCATAGGTTTCGCTTTTGAGGTTATTTAATTTGACAAATATATTACTAATACGTTCTTAGATTTACGTGTATATTTAACATTTTGTATTTATACAATGATTTTTAAGTATTTTGTGGGTAGGTACAGTCTGTAAACATTATATAATGAACTTTGAAATGCCTAAAACCTTAGGCTCTCCCGTAACCGTGACTGCTTATAAAGCAATTGAAATAAAAAAAATATAATAAATAAATCCGCGAAAAAATCCGAAAAGATAGTTATTTAAAATATATATTTGTTCAAAAAAATGGTAATTTACTTTAAAGAAAACGAATGGTTTGCTATATTATTTCATACCTCGTTTCTTGTAGTTGCCAGTATTATCTTTCTGAGCATATATTACAAATAGCAGCCAGTTCTTGACTAATAACTTAATATTAAAAAAAAAACAGTTTTTTAAGAGTTGATTTATGGATAAATCCTATAAATTGTAAACAAACAACATATAATTTAAAAAAATATGTGTGTATGTATGTATAGTTGAAAAAAAACTTTCCGAATAAAATTATGTATAAGCGTTCTTGCACCATGTTAGTAGGTACATATATTCGTATTTACAGTCCCATTGTATCACCAGCCTTAGGATTACTACCGCGAGATCGAAATGACTGAAGCGTTTTCATTTAAACGTGCGTAAAGCCTGAGATGATAGATTGACTGTTTCACACATTACTCTCGTCACCATGATGAGCGCTGTTGGCTAATGGTGTTGTGTACAAAGTATAATGCTAATTAATCAAACTGCGAAAACTTTGTATAAAATTCAATGCTGGTAATTTGCTCGTAAATCTTTTAAAATATTTCTAAGAGATTTATTTTACAAGTCATCTACCAGCTTATTACAATATTTGTATAAATTGTATTATATATTTATAATAAATCCGCACTTGGCCAGCGTGGTGGACTATGACCTAATTCCCCTCGTATTGAAGGGAGGCCCGTGCCCAGCAGTGGGACGTTAAAAAGGGCTGAATACAGTACAATAATATTACTAATGACTCACCTTCGCGTTCCTCGGGTTCGTCCCTATGTATGTTTTAACGGTTAGTATGGAATAGATAGACTATATATTAATTTTTCCAATTTAAACTTGACGCATTGTTGTAGACGGTACCGCCAGTATTGGAAGTAATCCTGAGTAGTGATTACCACCTAACTATAACGTTCTTCCCAATTTTTTTATACGTAAACCACACCTGACACATCCCCAACAAAATAAAAAAAGAATTACTTATTCAAATCGATTCAGCTATTTTTGAGTTTTAGCGAGACTAACGAACGGTAATTGATTTTTATATATAGATATATAGACCTTTTCGCTAATCTTATTACTATGTGTTATATACTTAAAAGTCACCATTACATAAAGTTTAAGTGTTAGTGGAGAGGTTCCGGGAAGGCATAACATTGATGGCAATTGAGTGACATTAGAATCGTATAAATATTAATGTCAATATTTGTCAATATTATTAACAAAAAAAATTAAAATGTATATGGCTAACGCTGGCTAATAACAATTTATATCTATTTAAAACGTACCTAGCGACGAACCTGAGCGAAGCGAGGGTGAGCCGCTAGTAATTCAATAATTTAAAATATTTGGTACAAATTAAATGAATTGAAGATTCATATTTCATGGGCTGCTTGACCTAAATTAGGTTTGTTTATACATAGCGTCACGTGCCGACACAATTATGCTTCGGCACGTACAGTGAGGTGGAAACCAGATATGAGTGGCACTTTTACTATTCTTTTTTTGCTCATCTCTATGCCATTGAATATTGTAGAACGTACACGGAAATATTTATGATACTTTACATTGATTTAAAACAAAGTACATACGTAAATATTAAATACAAATAATATTTAAATTTTTATGAAGCAGATATGTCTTCTTCAGAACAATTTTCTGTTTTTGTTAAATTAATTCATCCCTTCGACGAACTAATTGCTGATTTGTAATTTAATACCAGTAGCAGTAAGTTTCATAAACAAAATGAGAATAAAAAATCTGATTAATAACTTGTAAACGACGCGCCATCAGTTGTTCTTTAATTGCTTTTCTTCTTATATCAAATGCGCCAAACATCTTAGCAATATTTTAATAATGTTATAGGTAGGTATAACTAACGTTTTTAAACGTAACATGTTTTAAATGTCGGATTTCTATTGATTTTTTGATTCAAAATACTTTTAAAGATCGAACCCAGAATGTCAGGATCTGCTACCATACAAACTAGTCGCTAGACCAACGGGATAGTGACAGTTGTAATGAAAAATTTACTTTACATATGCTCGATATTGCGATAGCCATTTTAAAAAAAATTCTAACTCCCTATTTTTTTACCTTGAACCTGAAATTATAGCATTGCGTGCTACCAACACTGAGAAATATAAAGCATAAAGACCTAAGTTCTAAGATTTTTATCTGCACTTGACCGAAGGTTATAATTACCGTACATTTTTCGTATAAATGAATCTAATTTTACGGCACGTTGACCGATAAATTATAGTTTTCAAAGTTGATTAATATGAAATGTTATATAAAGAGTTGAAAGTTATTAATTACTTGCGTTATAAGATTTTTTTATATTATCTAATTAATAAAAAAAATGTGATATGTGTGAATATGAGTGAATTTTAATCAAAAAAAAACAAAAAGTTCTACTTTTTGTTTTATTTTTTTTACTTAAAATTAAAGTAAAAAATTAAGCGTAAAACTTAATCTAAATAGAAGCACATCACTTTATACTAACATTCTCTGTCAGCTGCCTCAAGTTCAAGACTGATCTGACTGATCTGACTTTCCAAAGACTGATCGCTTACGTTTGCTATATTCCACAAGGAAAAGTACGTGAAAACGAGAAGAATCTTCATATTTATTGAGCTAGTTTAGGATTTTTCATTTGCTGTCATTTTCTCTTACAAGTACATACTGTGCTCTAATTACCTTATACATATAAAACGGCAAATAAAAAATAAAACTACAATGTAAATGCGATGTAAAAATCATAGATCAAATCTCGATTTTATATCATTTGTGTTTGAAAACAAAAATTATTGGTCCCGACGTATGCCACTCTATTTCCGCGCAGTCTGTCCGTATGTCCGTCGAATGTGAAATATTAATAGCCTTCCGGATATTTTTGTCCGTCGGTCCGTCATCGAAATTGATTTAAAATAAAGGCACAATCGGATGCACTTCTGATGTAGAAATGTCATGCATAATTAATGCTCTTTAAAAGTAGCCTTATTCAGGAATCAATAAATTTCACTGGCTATTCTTATTTTGTAATAAATAGAACATATAATAGAATATATTACTGTGAATGCTTTTAAATAATTTAATAAATAATTATAATTACAGGGTTTATTCTTTCACACCAGAACTGCTGAACGGATCTGGATGAAATTTGGCACAGATATGGATTATAGTCTAGAATAATATATAGGCTTCTTTTTATCCCGGAAAAATGTATGGTTCCCGTGGGATAGGTTTGTTTTAGTTTTCCTAGAGAAGATTAGTAGTAGAGTAAATAATACTTTACTAATCTAGCTAACAATTAAATTTTTGTGCAAAATTAGCTCTATACATATAGGTATACTAGCATTGCCCGCGGCTCCTCCCGCGTTCAGATGACCAAAAACCAAATTCTTAGGTTTTACATATTAGTATACTTTTACAATGCAGTTTTTGTATTTTTTCTCAGAAATGAGATATTTTCCCGCGGTAAAAAGTATCCTATATGTTGACCTGAATAACCCGCTATCATCATACCAAATTTCATCAAAATCTGTCCAGTGGTTTTCTCGTGATGCGGTAACAGACAGACAGACGGACGGACGGACGGGCGGACAGACAGACAGACAGACAATAAAATCTAAAAACTATAGATTCGGACCCTGTATCGATAAAAATGTCTATTTCAATTAGATTTTCCAAAAAATATTTAATGTACAGATTTGACTTAGTTACAATTTTATTATATGTATAGATGAGCCTACGAGGGGGCTCGTATTGAAGAGAGGCCCGTGCCTAGCAGTGGGTCGTTAAAGAGGGCTGAATATGTGTATAGGAAAACTGATTTTTCCTTATTATGAATAAGTACTTTTTGTTTTAGGAATGGTGGTGAATGGCTTCGTGAATGTGGTGATTACGACAATAGAGAGAAGGTTCGGTCTTCGGTCGATGCAGACGGGAGTCATTGCTGGGGGGTAAATATTAGCATAAATTTTATATGTAGTTATATTTGTATAGTTATTTTTTGTGTAAATTCATTAATTAATTAGTCAATTTTGTAATTACTCAATCATTTCTGAAGGCTCTACTTTCGAATTTTAACTCTACATTTCTTTTTGACTTGATTAGAAATCGATGCTCTTGTAACCTTTAAAAAAATCTTTTACAGATACGATATGGCGTCTTTCGTGTGTCTCGCACCAGTCACATATCTGGGGGGTAGAAACAGTGCATCCAAACCTCGTTGGCTGGGTTGGGGGGTGCTGCTGATGGGAGCAGGGTCTCTACTCTTCGCACTTCCCCATTTTCTCGTGCCCCCTCACAAAGCTGCTGGAGATAAGCTGGAGGGTCTCTGTGTGGTTAACCAGACTGTGGTATGTTTAAATATAATATCTTTTAAATATTTAATTTTAATATTGCCTATTAACATAAGGAATACTGTAAAATATAACTAATGGAAGTATAATATAGAATACTTATTTGTGAACAAATCATGTAGTAAGAGTTTAAATTTTCATATAATTTCCTCAACAAAAACAATTGATTTAACAATGCAATATTATTTGAGAAATTGCCTGTTTTATATTACCGGTAAACTATAACGTCTTTCATTTATCATGTCGTTCAAGTCGATTGATCCAGAATATGTACTCTAAATTCTAGAACCTTCCATCGGCCCATTGATCTATTCACAACGATCCCATTCAAGATCACCGGTTTCGCTTTTGTGAACGAATTAAATCGTTTCAATGCGCTTGCGTCGCAAACGTTCCGCTTTATGTGACGAGGACGGCCGTCTGGGAATTTTTCTTTGTTTCTTTATTTTAGTTCTATTTGCTGTTGGTTCTATACATGTAGCTTTCGTTTACCCAAAAAGTAGACTGTTGCAGCCTCTTGTGGATGGAGTTATGACACTTCCGTTTGAGATGGATATTGAGGATTCAAAGCAGTTATATACTTGACGACTAATTTTAATGTCTATAATATCTTAGAGCGATCACATGAATATATAAATAAACTATTTAGAACCGGTTTTAGTGATTTTATTGAATTTTCGATATATTTCAGAAGCCACAAACAAAATTTCACGGAAGAATCTACTTTACTAAGGCTCAAATATTACTTTTAAAGTGGTTTTGATACCATTTATGTACATTTTGGATTAAAACGAACGTTTCACTGTACACATTTAGCGCATACAATTTTCAATATATTCATAATATGAGCTTTTATATGTACTTTTATATAATGAAATCATAATATTAGTACAAGTAACTTCTTTACGCTTTACCTAAGCGCTTTTTCTTTTTGCAACGAACTAATAAGATTTCATGGGAACTTGTTGTATAAATACAATGACCCGTTGTTATGCTATTGATGCGTAAAATAAGAAAAAACTAATAAACACATTGTATTTATAATTTTAGTAAAGTTGCTTTCTTCATAAAGACAGATTGATTACAGTTTTATAATAAAACTTCATCTTCTATACATATAATAAAATTGTACAACTAAGCCGAATCTGTACATTAAATATTTTTTGGAAAATCTTATTGAAATAGACATTATTATCAATACAAGGGCCGAATCTATAGTTTTTAGAATTTTTGTCTGTTTGTTTGTTTTTATTTGTGAGGGATTTTAATGAAATTGGGCATGATGATAGCTGGTTATCCGGGTGAACGTATAGGATATTTTTGACTGCGGGGAAATATCTCATCTCTGAGAAATATATACTATAACCGAAAATATCTAACTTCCCGCAAGAATTTCTTAAAATGGACAATAGGAATGGCGAATTTTATGTTATGCGCACATAAATGGATGAATTATGTTTAGGTTTATTGATTTAATTTACTTAAGTAGAAGCAACCCTCAGATAATCGTTGAGCTACCTCAGCAAGTGTTGTTTTTTCCTTATCCATTATATTATATCTGCGAATATGTTTGGTAAGATATGGAGTGATTTGATTATAGAAAGAAGATATTTTAGGTATCTTAATATTAATACATATTTAAAATATATTTTCTCATATCAAAATTCAGATTCCCTTATCGATTTTCGGTATAAAATACCTACATATATTCTATATCTACATACCTACTACTTATATGTAGGTACATATTATAAAATTCTAAATGAGTCGAATCTGTAGGTACATTAAATATTTTTTGGAAAATCTTAATGAAATAGTCATAATTATCGATATAGAGGCCGGCCGAATCTATAGTTTTTTGAATTTTAGTCTGTCTGTCTATCTGTCTGTCTGTCTGTGACCGCATCAGGAGAAAACCACTGGACAGATTTTGATGAAATTTGGTATGATGATAGCTGGTTATCCGGGTCAACATATAGGATACTTTTTACTGCAGGAAGATGTCACATCTCTGAGAAATCTATACTAAAATATAAGTTACGAATACATACCAGTACGAGAACATAGGTTCGCAAATAAATTTTAAAATGTTACTAGCTTTAATCTATAATTACGTTACTCATGGTTCATAGCGTTATGTAAGAGAGCATATAACGTCCCTCATAAAAATGCTATAAAATGCCAGGTACTGTTAGAACATTAGTTTAAACAAACAAAAAATATCAATCAGCTTTATATATTAGTATGCAGTGCTTAAACTTAGTATATTTATTTAATGTTATAAATCAAAATGGTTTTGCTGGTTTAAGCGACGTTCACCTTGCAATGAAATTGATTGACATATATACATACATTACTCTTTCGAGAATTGAACTTACTCTTTCAAGTGTAATGATTAGTATCGGCTATTTGAGTTTACTTGATAAGGAACCTTTTTTAGCCATTTATTAAGGTATATTAATTTTGTTATTAAAAAAATAATATTATCCTAGTCTAGCTGGAAGGACGAGCCGGAAGAGAGTGGTGCGTGGGCGGTCGCCATATTCGTGGTTGCACAGCTACTACACGGCGCGGGTGCAACACCCTTATTTACTCTAGGCGTCACGTATATAGATGAAAACGTTTCGAAGAAGATGTCTTCAGTTTATTTAGGTAAGTAAGTAGTAAAAGTGGTAGCTTTGTGGTAACATTTGCTTGGGAAACTGAGTAAAGTGGGTTCAAATATATGGTTGCACACATTTCTAACATGATTATTTGTCTTAACTGTGAAGGAAAATATCGTTAGGAAATCTGCATACCTGAAAGAACCTAGCAAGTTTTCGAAAGACATGTGGAGTCCACCAACCCATATAAACCACCGTGGTTGTCTTGGGAAGTCCCGTGCTTAGCAATGGGACGTTAAAAATAGTCTGAATACATCTATACTAATATTATTATAAAGACGAAAGATTTTTTGTTTATTTGTTTGTACTGAATAAGCTCCAAAACTACTGAACCGATTTCGATTAAATTTGGTAAGAAGATAGATTGAGACCCTGGGAAGGACATAAGATAGTTTGTATCCTGTAAATCATCCCGTAAGGGGTGAAAATGGGGATGAAAATTTGTATGGAGAAGCAATTTAGGGACGAACCAGAGCGAAGCGAGAGTGAGTCGCTCTACAATATAAAGAAGTTAGTTTGATAGAGAAAAAAGTGTTTACTAGCCTTAATTTGCAACAGTGCTATTGAACACTTAAGAGAGTAGATCATATGAATCTCCAAACAATAGTCATTAGTACGAAATTGAGTAAATTATAAAAAATATTGTTACTCTTTGATATTTATAATAGAGGTCATTGCAAATGTACATGAAATAAATTATTCTGTGCGAATTAGGTATTGAATAATTTAAAAAATAAATAAATGGGTATATATTTTATTACGAAATACATAATTACATGATAGCAACAGACCTTACCTATGCAAATAAGTTATAAAATTTGTGTCTTGCAGTGTTATTTAAATATATTATTTTAAATTTTGTTTATTAGAAATATAAAATTCTCTATATTCGGTAACCATCTTACCGATTTTAGTCAACTACAATAGGTATAAAGTACTCCTCCAAAGTGGTCTAGTGGCTAGCATGTACGGCTTCGGATCCAGAGGTCCTGGCGTTTTTTTGCGCGGAACTCTGAGTCTTTCCAAAATAAAAGCCTAAGTTACTCTTTATAACAGCGGCTATGTGCCAGTCAAAGTCCTGTCGAAATCGGTCCAGCCGTTTCTGAGATTAGCCGGAACAAATAAACATGCAGACAAAAATGGTTAAAAACTGTTTTTTTTTATTAGTACCGTATATATGTAATTTCATATGCATGTAGTAAAAAGCTGTTATTTGGACATTACAAACAGACACTTTATTTATCTGTATAGATTATAAATTAATATATGGCTGTGCATAATGACAGGTGAACTCTCTATTTGCTTGCTATTATACTAAAATCTGGGTTATAATATGGCTGAATAGTAAAAAAATGGCACAACTTATATTTAGTTTCAAGCAAAACCCATAGAAAATCGCTAGTGGCAACTAAACTGGAACTTGATGTACCGTGAAAAGGTTTAATAACTATAGGTTTCAAGGGAAAGTTTATTGGAGCTTTAAGCGCGTAGTTCCATTAGCTTTTAAGAACAATATCATAATGTTGTAAATGGGTAACATAGGAAAGCACTCACATATATTTTTGCGCCATTGCTTATGGGTTACGAATAACGGTCACTCATAATCTGATTATAACAAAATTTATTTTATTGTTTCACAAAAGATTTAAAACAGTCTTAAGTATAATCCGTAATTTACCTACAATGTCACGGGCACCATTTATTGGTCTGAATTAAAAAGAAGCACATTTCCCTCTCTATGATATAGGTAAAACACGTTTTTGCCAGTCGAGAGTCCTTACGAGTTACGTGTTGTGTAGCCAATCAATAACGAAAATCTAAATGTCGCATTAATTAGTAAAAATATAATGTAAAATATTTATAATATGTATGTATTTAAAGTTATATATGTATAATGTATTAACTATCTGGTATCCATAACAAAAGCCTCGTAGCTTACCATGGAACTAGATGGCGCTGTGTGTTAATGTCCTGACATATAAAAAAAATGTAACTTATAATTATTTATTGAATTAATGTAGCAATCAAGCTTTTTAGTAGGTTGTATATACGTTTTGTTTGTTAGGTCCTGTTGTTGTAGTTGTCTTATAAAGAAAATGTATCAATTGACACATACATACATTGTATTATAAATATGTTCAAAGCAACCCCTTCATATTCAACTTAAAAATAACAATAAAATGAATATTGTTGTTATAAATAAAATCCCAGCGCTGGGCACGTCTTATCCCTTTAATATCAGGCCATCGTCCACCACGCTGGCCATGTGCGAGTTGTCAAACTTCACAAGTCTGTCTAAAACTCGTTAGCTTCTCTCAGACAAGACCTGGGATTTGAACCCGCTTCACTTTATTTTCCAAACGAGTGTGTTGCCACTGTAGCCCACTATATAAACATATAATATTAATACATATGTAAATATATATTTTAAATGGTGACTTACTAAATTACGTTGCCTACCAAAAGTTCGTGATATGGTTTTTCTTTATAAGGTGGTCAGAAAGCAATAGTGACCTTTTCTCTTTTCTCTCTTTTCGCCGATATAGATACAAAGTGTATAGTGTAGAAATGCCTGTTAGCCGTGGAGTCACTACTCACTATACATAGAAATTTTAGACAAGTTCGGACAATTTTAGACAAGACTAATGTAACTATGGGTGCAACAAAAATCTGCAAGTGCAAGTGTAGTCTGATATTGTGCGTTGAACTGTGTGCTGTAAAAATATTCGCCGCGCGGAAGTCGAGTTGACGACTTTCGTTAAGACTGGCGTACTTCAAATGCTATCACGGCAATAAAAATGTATAATTTTTGTTTATTTAAAAAGATAACATACTAACGTAAAGTCTATTATCTCTTAAATAAAGAAATAATGAATAATTCGTATCTTATCTACACGATTATAAAATTGTACCAGAAATACATACAAAGGTACATATGTAAATGGGTTGCAAAAAAACTACTGAACGCTTATTGATTCAACTTTTTGAAAAAAATGTAATAAGCTTTAAAAGATCTAGTCTTACTACGAGTACTAAGAGCTGCAGTAAGAAAGAAGAAAGAGTGCAGTAAGAGTCTGAGTAAAGCTGGAGATTAACGAAAAAATCATATCTTACATCTAAGTAAGACCGAGGCGGGTCACTAGTTTGATGTACAATGAGCAAGTACAGTGCTTACATCACCAACACACATATCTACAGTTCATTTGGAAATCAAAAGGCAATTCCCAACAGCAATCCACACATAGTTTCTTCAGACAGCTTAATTAGGTTTCATTCACTGGTATTGTTCCTTAAGGCCCACGGAATAAGGATTATTATACGATCAAAAATACCTGTCGATACATGACATGCAATTAATCCAGTCCCGCCGCGAAATGCATTTCCGCTAAGGCATTCCCTCGACGATCGATGAAATCCGTACATATACATAATATTGTTTGGAAAATTTTCGCTATTATATTTGTCTATCTGTGGCATTCTTTGGGATCTTGATATTATAAAAAAAATAATAAGTACACAGTACACACACACACGTTATTTTTTACGTAAGAAGTTATACTTCTTCCGCGTAACAGAACAAAAATAGCTAAAGATTTCATCCCCTATGTCACAACTCTCTGTTTGTAAAAGGAATGCAGCTAACTTCATCATGTCGCTTTCAGCTAACTTCATCATGTCGCTTTTTGGCTGTCGGTGTGCGCGCATCATAAAAATTTTATTCTCATATTTTTTTCCAAACGTGCCAAAGGAAGTAAAACTTCAAGAACTTTTACATTAAAATTGAAAGCGCAAGAGAGGAATAAATGATTTTTTTATTTAACATACTTTAAAAATAAATGATAATGAAATACAATAAACAACAATAAATGTAAACTTAATGATTCAATAGTAGGTACAGTTTTGTTTACAGCGTGTCCAAAGATCAAAATGCGATTATGCTAGCATTTGGCAGACCAAGAAGATTTTAATATTAGATTGCAGATCAATTTTAGATGTTTCATATACGAATGTGATAAGAGTTGGCGTTCACAATAGTGAAATAGGAGGAAGGTACATTACGTTTTATCTATTCGGGCAAATGTATTCGATTTTGGTACACAGTAGATACATAGGTATATATCTAAGTTTTGTATGATCCGAAACAAGTTTTGTCCCGAACTTAGCTTGTTCCTTATAGTGTTTTTTGGAGTTACCTACAGTAGGTAGGTAATAACAAAATCCTCCGATAGTATTTTTTTAAAATACGTTGGGACATTAACACATACACCATCTAGTTCCATGATAAGCTACGAGGCTTGTGTTATGGATACCAGATAGTTGATACACTACACATATATAACTTTAAATACATGCATATTATAAATATAAACACTCATGACTCGAGTTCAAACATTTGTGCTCATCACACAAATGAATGCCCCTAGCAAGACTCGAACCTGCAACTGCTGGCACAGGAAGTAGGCTCACTACAAACTCAGCTAAACGTGTCGGTATTTCATCTAAACAACTCGATGTATTTATATATAAGTTAGTCTACATAACTCCCCAGAATTAATTGTCTCATTAATAAAACGCGCTGAACACGTTGTTCAAGTGATATCAAAGTGGAACAGATTGACAAATACATTTCCGTTTATTTAAAAATCTCGTAACCATCATTTTTTTGTAAAAGACTGTTTAGTGGATTCCAAACCCCACTCTTTTATTCACAACCAATCGAGACATGTTACCAAATGTATCCTAAACACTCAGGATCACATCTGAAACGATCGAAATGCCATTACCCCGGCAGCGGCACTTCCGGCCACGAGAGGCACGAGAGGGCCTGAGAGGGCAGAACCTAAGAAAGGCACAGGCGCGGATGGAGCCCACTCGAAATATCGAGATGCGGGTTGCGAATTTCGTCTACTAACTTGAGCTAAGCTAAGCTATTTATTTAAAAAGTATAAAAAACATATTGTGTTTTGAAATAACGAACTATGCCTAGTGTTCTATTTTAATTGTAGTTTAATATTAAAATTATTTCAAATAGTAATAATAGAACAGTAATATTATTAGCTACAATAATTATATTTTCGGTTAAACTTAAGTTTACTGTGTAAGTATATTTTTATTAGCTATTACATGCTATGCCATTTTAAAGTTTAAAGCTGCACGGATTTCTATGACATTGTTGAGACTGTATTAACGTAGTTTTATTTTAATCGATCGAATAAGTCTAAAAATAAACCTAAAAATACTCGTATTTGTCTACTTGCCATTAGCCATTAGTAATGCTTTAAAGTACCTATGTACAAAGTAACTCCAAAGTATCTATAGGTACGAGTACATATAATAAAATTCTAAATGAGTCGAATCTGTACATTATATATTTTTTCGAAAATCTTTTATTGAAATAGTCATTATTATCGATACGGAGGCCGAATGTATACTTAGTTTTAAAAAAAATTGTCTGTCTGTCTGTCTGTGACCGCATCACGAAAAACTAATGGAGGGATTTTGATGAAATTTAGTATAGTGATAGCTGGTTTTTTGGGGTCAATATATAGAACACTTTTTACTGCGGGAAAATATGTATCTCTAAAAAATCTTGAATGAAAGTGAAATACTAAACGTTAAAACGTAACGGGACGAACGCGAGCGGAGCGAGGGTGAGTCGCTAGTACCTAATATATAAAAGTATACACAAAGGAACTTCAAAATATATTATATAATTCTATAAAATTAAACTAGCTTAATATTCCACTGTGCAACAAGGTTTACACTTCGCGGCTTTTAGCTGTGAAAACAATTTGAAGGGGTCGCAAGAAATGGGATACGCTGTACCTCGCAGCGATGCGGCTCACTCCGAACAATAGAGTGACACTTGAGTATTTATCGCACTTTTAAATTCTTCTAGGTTTTAGTGAAATCTTGGGTTAGTTGGGTATTTAGAATTTCATTTCAAAAGGATTTTGCAATATGATGTTGTTGCCACATTTAATATATATACTTAATCTAAGTAACATTTAGATTTCTTTGGCGGATTGAAATAATTCTATTTTTAATTCAGATAGTTAATAATAGAAAAAGAAACTTTAACGTCTGTTCGTATTAGCTTTCCTATAACTAAGATATCTATATTAGTGGTTACGTTCTAATTATGATCTTCAGTCGTCCTACTATTAATTATGAGACAACCTTATATTACTTAGTACATACATATACGAGTAAGTACATACGTATGAGGCAGTGGTTGCCCAGTGGTAACGCGCTTACTTGGTAAAACGGAGGGAAGCGGGTTCATATCCCAAGTCTCGCACATCTGATATTTTCATGTGCGAATCATTTCCAACATGATTACCACTTGCCTTACAGTCAAGGAAAACATCGTGAGGGAACCTGCATGTCTAAAAGAACTTAGTAAGTTTTCGAAAGACATGTGTACTTAGCTAACCCGCACTTGGCCAGCGGTGGACTATGGCCGGATATCTCTCGTATTGAAGGCAGGCCGGTGCCCAGCAGTGGGACGTTAAAAAGGGCTGAATACATACATATATGTACATATAGTTTAAATTAAAACATCAATAATGTTATTGTATAAAGTTAAATTTTTTACTAATTACCATTAGGTTTATTTATAATTCTTGAAAACTTAAATATACGAAACCCAGATGACAATACAATAATTTAATACTATGAAGGAATCCGATAGAGCCAGTAGGTGGATAGTTGAACATTCGACCGTTCAGAATTGGGCACTTTTTGAAGTTAGGTATACTTCTTTTGGAACGTTTGGAAAAAATTATGAGAACCGACTAAACCGACAGACATGAAGTTAGCTGATAACTGTTCGTTGCCATGGTAACCGTTGTTATTGTCTGACAATATAATATATAATATTATATTCATTCCTTAAATGATATTCTATAAATATATGATTGTAATATGCCTAATATGCCTTGCTTAATTATTATTTATTTGTTTTAATTTAATTGCGATATTTTTTTTATTAATTTATCATTCTTTTTACAAACAGAGACTTGTGACATACGGGATGAAATCTTTAGCTATTTTTGTTCTGTTACGCCAAAGAAGTATAATTTCTTAGGTGCGTACATAAGTACACACACTCCTGTTTTTATTTAAGTTTAACGAGCCCCATGCATTTTTTAAAATACCCTACTTTTAAGTAATCCAATTCGATACTAAATATTTGGTTTTTATGTCGTTTACAGTTTTAATGTAAAATGAATTATGAACCATGGCGTAACCAGAACCACCAAATGACATGATTTATTGGGAAAGTTTTATTTTATTTTACTTTGCGCGGTAACGTTCCCCATATTGCGGACGCTCTGACACCCCATTATTTATTTATTAGAAAATATTACCAACATGAGTCACAACACCCTCGTGCTTAGGATTCGTAGTTAGAAGTTTTCAATTTAGGAATACAAGATTCAAATCTATGCTTGGGTTTCGACAATATTTTAATTACAGTTGAAAAAAATGATACTTTTTTTCTAAATTATAAAAGTCTTAGATGGGAAAATTTTTACGAGATAAACTCTGACCTTATAGCCTATTATTTAAAAAATATTACGTTTTTAAATATTTATTTTATAATTATTATTGGTAAATGATTTACACACAAAAAAATTATTTACACCCGAATCAGCATATTTATTTAGTTTTTTGTAAAGTCGGTTAACAAGGAAATTAGCATATATATATGACTTTTAAAATTAAAAATTGTAAATTATTACGTAGCTCTCGCGTAACACACCGGCATACGCCGATACGCGTTACATGACAAATAATACGCAATCGAATTCTTGACTCGATAGTGTAATGTAGGAATTTCCAGTTAAATCAGGTAAAACTTTTATTTTTTAATCATCAGTGGTAACATAATAAAATTCTAACTGAGTCGACTCTGTACCTACATTAAATATTTTTCGGAAAATCTGATTGAAATTGTCATTATTATCGATACAAAGGCCGAATCTACAGTTTTTAGAATTTTTGTCTGTCTGATTGTGACTGCATCATGGAAAACCCACTGAAGGCATTTTTATGAAATTTTGTATGATGATAGCTGGTTATCCGGGTCAACATATAGCATAACATATAGGATACTTTTTACTGCGGGAAAATATTTCATTTCTGAGAAATTTATACTAAACGTTAAAACGTAAGTAGGGACGAACCCGAGCGGAGCAAGGGCGATTCACTAGTATTCAATATAATGCAAAGCCCTATCAACCCTGTCTTAGGCACATGCCACATTGCACCACGTCAATTACATTATGAATAAATTTGTTTTTAATTTCAGGCGTTTATTATATGATGGCGGTCGTGGGACCAGCGCTGGGCTACGTGATGGGTGGACAGATGCTTAAAATATACACAGACTTTGTGACCATCGATCCTGAAACGTAAGTAAAAATTTTTTTACATGTGTTTATATTCGGGTAATTTGTTATGTGGTTTTATAACTTTTTTAAATAGTTTTTCTTACACGAAATACAAAAATTCTAATAATATTACACCTCAATTTGCACTCGGTAGATAAATTTATAAACATACCTATACATTCATTTCAAAACTAACGGTTTATTATAAGACTTAGTGAGTGAGTCTAACAAAACTTAAAAAATATACTTTATTCTAATATACCAGCTTTTACAAACATTTTTAAATCTTCAATTTTACATTTTAAATTTAAATTAAGTCAGTATTTACCTAAGTCTATGAGGAATCTACCATCGGCTCAGAAGGCAGTTCATATTATGTGTATAACGGTATCAAAATATATATAATCCTCGATGCATAACATCTCAGTAGCATTTTATTCGACAGTATTCTGCGAAAGCATTACGAGCCAGGTAGATAACTAGCTACCCAGTTACAAAGTACGATATTCCTTAATTATTCGTGGCCGTCTTCACGTTTTTAATATTTCAACGGCAGCGACACGGCTTCATTCAGCCAACTTGCCCTCTTGCTTTCATCTCATTGTGAGGCAACTTTTCAGCCAAATTAATTCCACCGTTACATACTTCCATGGCTTCCGAAATATAATTTCCAAAACGAGTTTTTGAAGGATCACTTTGAACGGTTTCACTTTTAAATTAACTAATAGGTACGTGAATTTGTGAAGATTCTGCGTGCGATTGACATATTTCGTTTTTCATTTGTTGAGCTTCTAAGTTTTTGTGGCATTATGTATTAACTTGGTTCCTTTATAATTATACTAAGACCGACCTTATATAAAATGAATAGGCGTAATGTAACATTGCTTAATTAGCTAATTAAAACCTTAAAGACACCATATAAAAAGTTTTTGAGTTACTCAAAGCATAATATTTTAAATTATAGGTATAGATAATGAAGTTAATAATAATAATCAATATATTAACACATATCACCGTCTAGTTCCAATTCTTAATACATACATATTATAATTATAAACACCCATGACTGGAATACAAACATACGTGCTCATTACATGAATGAATGCCCACTGGAACTCGAACCTGCGACCACTGACACAGCAAGACACTACAAACTGAGCTAAACATGTCCAATGTTAAATATAAATAATAATATTCAGGAATTATGAATTTTTCGCCACTGTTTACGATAAACATCACAAAAGGCGAGCTAAAGAATTAAACGTCTGAAACGGTCTCGCAAAGTCTACATTCATTTGTAGTTCAACTGAGTTCTTTTAGTAGTTTTTATTTGCGGCTCTTTTAAAGAAATAAATTTATAGCAAAAGCGGAGTTGAGCGGTTTGTTCTGAAAAATGCAGCGAAAATGATAACTAACAGAAAGTTTTAATAATATGCTTAGATGCTTTGAAGATTCTGTAATTAAAGATTTCGTCTCCTTTTAAAACTCGCTTAGTATTGAAATATTTCATATTTATAGTGTTACCTACATTAATATACAAATAGGTAATAAGTTTGTATGTAGAGTGTAATCTCTAAAACGAATTATGAAAATTCTTTTATTAATAGGGTCTAGGAACCTTTATATTACCGCCGAGTGCCGAGGTTTATATTACTGTTAAACTATAATTGATGTCAGAATAAATGGCCGTCGAATTACTTTATCAGTTATTTTTAGGCCACGCACCCGAGCGAAGCATGGGTGAGTCGCTAGTTTCAGATAAGTACATATATAAATATACATTTATCACGCAAAGAAATTAGTTCTTAATTAAAAACGTGTGTGTATGTATGTACGCACGTACGAAGTTATACTTCTTTGGCGTAACAGAACAAAAATAGCTAAAGATTTCATCCCGTATGTCACAACTCTCTGTTTGTAAAAAGAATGCACTTAACTTCATCATGTCGCTTTTTGGCTGTCAGTGTGCGCGCGCATCGTTCCAAAAGACGTATAACTACAAAAATAATATGTAAAAAAGTATTTAACATACCTATGTATGTTATATCTTCCAATCACATTATCTAACGTACCGTAATGACTACGAGTTAAAAATTTGTTGAATTTTGTATATTAACGCAGTCTAGAGCCAAAATACGCTGTAGAACGATAACTTAAATTTTGAATAGCACTCCATTTACATACAAAATGTAGATGAATTCAATTAAATAAATAGAATTAAAGCGAGAACAGCTCGCCATATTTTCTTGCATAATATCAGTACGGGCTTATTATTCTTATTCATTAGGCACGGAGTCTCTCGGTTCAACGTTTCTCCGATTATAAATTAACATATGAAAACAATTTATACGTTGATGGTACAATGGCTTTCCACTGTTTTTGAAATTAATATTGTTTTTGGCCGACTTTTAAAAAAGTGATATAAATTCTGATAGTATGCGGGGTTTAGAAAAAATATGAGCAGTGCCTTCCGGCCGCGCGAGCGTCTAAAATTTTCTGACAGAAAAACATCTTTTAATATGCGGCCGGCCTTATTGTAATTCGATTTTCATTATTATTTTTCTAACGAATAAATAGATCTTGCATCAACTGTAACCTTATGTTTTAAAAACAAAATAATTATTTTTTCCAATATCTTAGTGTCCCAATAATTAGCTGTTTAACATATCATAGTAACAATTATAGTATTAAGAATACGTGTTGACACATTTGGTTCAGTTTATAGTATTTGCTGTGCCAGCGGTCGCGGTTCGAATCCCGCTGGGGGCATTCAGGCATGTTTGTAATCCAGTCATGGGTGTTTGATTATATATAATGTATGTATTTAAATATATACATATGTGTAGTGTATCAACTATCTGGTATCCATAACACAAGCTTCGTAGCTGGAACTAGTTGGTGGCTGTATGTTAATGTCTCAAAATATTTATATTTATTTACACTCTCGATATTTCACCATGCAACTGGTCTGATGATAAAAGTAGAACATAGGAACTGCTCATCTACATAACGGGTATCAATAGAAGCTTTTTTTAAACCAATTATTATTCAATAGTATATTCACTAAATTATTGCCAGCATTTGACTTAAAATATGGAATTTTTATATTTATATTTTTTGGAATCCGTATTTATTATGGAACATTATTGAATTGGGAGATCAAGTAACGTTGGGTTAATTAACAAACTGCATATTATAATATAACTGTACCTATATTGTTCTAGGTTAGGTATAACTCCGCAAAGTTCGGCGTGGATCGGCGCTTGGTGGATAGGTTTTATAATATCTGCAATACTGTGCCTTATCGTCGCGATACCGATTCTCGCCTTCCCATATGAATTACCAGGTTTGTTCATGTTATTTTGATATTAAAATTATGATGTTTCCCTAAAGATTTCACAAACTGATATATAAACCTTAAATAATTTAAATATGTATATGTTCTACTGTATTACGTAACTAGTGAACTTTAAAGTACAAAATTAAGTAGATTCCATCATTTGCAGCGTTATATCCTGAGTCAATTATTTTAGATATTATCAAAAGAATCTAATAAAAATAACCAACGCATCATATTATAATCAGCGTCTTCGATTAAATCTATACAGATAAATAAAATTGAAGTGTCTGTTTGTAATGTCAAAATAACAGCTTTTTACTATAGTATGCGAATTAGGTACATGCGGTACTTATAAGAAAAATACAAATTTTTGTTCGGCTGTCTGTTTGTTGATTTTGACTGATTTTGAGTTTTCACTGGCAGACGCTGATGTTATAAGGAGTAACTTAGGCTACTTTTATTTTAGAAAAAGATATAGGGTTCCGCTCAAAAAACTTAAAACGTATCTAGGGTCTCACCCGAGCGGACCGAGTGTAAGACGCTAGTCTTCATATAAAAATAAAGACTTATTCGAAGAAATCCGGAAAGGTAGTTCTAGAAAATGTTAAATCTGTATAGCTTCGTGGAAAAGTGTAACTTGCAAAAAAACGTAATTTTTCTTTTTATTCTCTAGGGGCGGCAGAAATCCGAGAATCAAAGGTATCTGAGGCTCACGACGGGTCAGCGGCGAAGACAACCGCTTTCAGCGCTTTACACGAATTACCAAAGGCTGCTGCAGCGTTATTCAAAAATCCCACGTTCATGTTCTTGAATTTGGGCGGAGCCAGCGAAGGTCTGTTCATATCTGGCTTCGCGGCGTTTCTGCCGAAGCTAATTGAGAACCAGTTCTCGGTGAACGCTTCAGAAGCCGCATTGTTATTGGGTAAGTTGATTATGTTTTCTGTTAGTGTTATTGTAGTGTGGTGGATATTTTACATTTATTACATAATTTTATTTAGGTAGGTACTTATTTATATTCTTACAGCGTTTATTACTTCAATTTCCATTTATTTTCTTAAGTTGTATAGGTACTATAATTATTATTGATAGGTTATTTAAAGAAAAAAACTATGCCACTAATAAGGTAGACAGAAAGGAGAATGCGTTTTCTTTTTCTCTTAATCAAAGACCGTTATCAAAGTCAATCAATCTATTATCAAAGACCCTTTACGTTTGAAAATTTTCCTCTTAAACTGTGAAATTAATTTTATACATTATATAAAATATTATTTGAAAAATAAACAAATATTTGCACCGACCATATTTCATAAATCTTGATACCGGAAACGCAACAAGTTGATAAAGGTCTTAACTTATTCCTATCCTTTTCAGGTATCGTAACAGTACCGGCGGGTGGCGGCGGAACATTCCTAGGGGGCTGGCTGGTCAAGCGCTGGAAGCTCGCGTGTGCGGGCATCATCAAACTTTGCGTAGGCGCCACTTTACTCGCGGGGGTGTTCTGCTTCGCGTTTGTACTGAACTGTGACGACCATCCGTTTGCTGGCGTCACTATACCATACGACAGTCCTAATGTGCCGGGGTGAGTAGTTTCAGTTTTTAAACATAATAGAATTTGCCTAGTAATTGGTCCATCTGTAAAAGTTACATGATTTCTGACTGTAATATAGCTTTCTATTAGTAAGGGATCACAGCTTGATTTCCAATAAATTATTTTGAAGTGTATTGACGGATTCAGCTATAAAGAGTTGTCAATCGCATGATTTGGCATTGGATGACGACTCATCGATCATCATTCAAATACATTTTCGTATTTCCAAATTGCATTCAATCGAAAACCTCAAATTTTTTACCTATCCGCTTCACTTGGAATGTTCCATGTAGGAGACGCGACCTACCACTAAATGCTTGATAAATTAAATACAGTCTGCGATTGTTGTAAAGTTTATTGATTTAATAACGTAATATACCTACTAATAAATTGATGTTCCGAACACGCACTGCCATTTTTAGGAGTGTTTCTATGTATTTATAACACACCTACTAAGCATTATTGCTTAGGTGTTCGGTAACAACCTTTGGACCGAACACTCCATATATAAGCTGATCCATGCTATCGCAGGGCAAGCCAGCTGACGGCGCAGTGCAACGCGGCGTGCGGCTGCCCGGCGGCGCGGCTGGCGGCGGTGTGCGGCGCGGACGGGCGCGCCTACGCGTCGCCGTGCCACGCCGGCTGCGCGCGCGGCCGCCGCGTCGGCGCCTCCACGCTCTACTCCGACTGCGCCTGCGTCAGCGCTACCGACCACTTCCTTACTGGTATGTTCTTTTTACTCATCTTAAGTCTAGTCTGTGATTTTTATCAACTTCCGCAAACTTTTCCCAACTATTCATGTATAGAGAACCAACGAATTGGACCTAAGAAAAAGGTAAGACTTGGTTGGATATGATATTAAAATTGCTAAATTCATTTACTAAAATTATCTGTTCTGTTCTTATGTATTATACTAGCAGCTCACCCTCGCTTCACTTGGGTTCGCCTCTAGACAAACAAAAAACTAAACTACTAAGCTGTATAAGTTACTATAGTTTTTTAAGAATCCCACGGGAACTATTAATTTTTCGTGTTGAAAAGTATCTAAAATGTTGACCGGGGATATAAGATACCACCATACAAAATTTTATTTAGACCGGTCCAACAATTTCGGAGATGAGCCCGTACAAACAAATAAATAAACAGACCAAGAAACAAAAAAATTGAAAAAAATCTGGATTTGACCTATTTCTCATCTTACGTCCTCCTGCCTCGGTGTTTAGCATTTTTTTCTATGTACACACATCCGACTTCTACAGTTTTTTTTATATGTATAGATATTGAAGGAAGAAAAATATCCACTTCAGACTTTGAAAACTACATAGTTAAATATGTCCAAAATTCTAACATAAAGACCTTTATACATGCTTCAGAAAACAACACAACGATGGTATTTGAAGCGATCAACAGCGCTTGCAAATCCGAGTGCCCTTATTTATGGGTGTTCGTCTTTCTCTCTTTCTGCGTGATGCTGTTCACCTTCCTAGCGACTATGCCTGCACTTGCTGCTACGTTAAGGTATGTTAATATTATGTTCGTTCACCTTGTCGTCGTTGTGTGTTGTGGTGTGACGACTAATTAGCGTCCGGCAATCCAGCCGGGTGATGCCAAGAAACGCACTGGGAGGCGGCCCATCTCGGTGGGCGGTGTACCATATTGTTGCTCCTGGTACTTGTCTGATAGCACTGTGGACTTTTGATCTCGTAAGCGTTAAAATAAAACAATTCATTAAAAATCTATAAATCAGGACTAAAATATATCACTATATACAAAATATTTACTATTGAAGATGTGTGCAAGAGGAACAGCGTTCATTCGCGCTCGGCATCCAGTGGATCCTGGTCCGGCTGCTGGGGACCATCCCCGCGCCGCTGCTCTTCGGATTTCTCATAGACTTGTCCTGCAGGCTCTGGACCAGTGGCGCTTGCTTGCTTTATGACAACTTGAATATGAGCAGGTAATTTGCTCTTCATAATAAATCAATAGGATTTGTGGGATGGTGAACTGAGCATGTCTTTCGAAAACTTGCTTGGTTTTCTCGGACATGATGGTTTCCTCACGATGTATTCCTTCACCGTAATGCAAGTGGTAATCATGTTAAAAATGATTCGCCCCTGAACATATTAGAGATGCGAGACCTAGGACCTACTCATAGGAGCTTGACTCTTCCTCAATTGGTATTCTAAGTGGTCTAGCACTGAACTGTTGCAGCTTTTAATTTAGATTATAAAGTCGTATGAAATAATTTTAGAAACTAACGAACCGATTGACTTTATATTTGCCAAAAACAAAAACAGAAATTTGAGCCCATGGATGAGAGAAAGAATCTAAAAAGACGAAATTTTGTTTCACGAACTATAACACCATACTCGTACCATTTAATAAAAATATAATATATATAATTATTAATTATTTTCTTTTCCAGGTACATGTTAGGATTAGCCTTAGTAGGTAAATTATGTTCCTTTTTATTCTTCTTCCTCGCATGGTGGTTCTACCGACCGCCGGGGAACACCAACGCTGTGAGTCCCGCCATAGATTTAACTCACGAGAAAACTAACGGAATATCCACCATCGCTAACGGAACTTTAGATAGAAGTAACGGATATTGTAACGCTGCTTTAGAGAGCAGTGATCACTTGTGAATGACTTCACCTATTTGTCTGAAAACACCAAATATGATCCATGAGAGGTCAAGTTATATAGCTGAAATTATTTGATAGAGGCTAGAGCGCAAAATTAACCTAAACTAACATAGTTTTTTTGGAAAATGTATACATATTTATATAATTACATGCATTTTATTACGTGAAATAAGAAAATTGCAAAATTTGCAACATTTTTGAAAATGTGAATTAAGCTATTTTTGCGCTCACAACCTAAAACATAATTGGATATCTAATAAACGTCGCGGTAATGGTAGAAGAAGTACATATATACATATAAAACACCATTCAGATCGTCTAATTAGGGATGCGCATGAGTTTCCTAAAACCATATTTTCTTGCATAATTACATAGATAATAAGAAATTTTACTCGCGGAAATCTTATATGTATCGGCGACCGGTACAATAAAAAGAATAAACTACACGATATCACTGCCTTAACTATCTTCCACAGTACATTTATTATAACTGTACCGCTCTGAAGTTTGTTGCCAATGGCTGCGCAGTCAGTATTCAAACAAAAACAAATGGCGGGAATTGACAATGATCAGATTTCCTATCAGTCAAATTGTAGAACTAACATAGACCGATTAATGGTTTGGTTAATATTGGTCCAGCAGTGTAAGTGTAACAGCTCTTTTCCAAAATGATGTAAGGCATTCTAGCGTATGATTACTCGATTAAGTGCTTCACGCGTGCCAGTGTAATAGTTAAATGACAATTAATTTGCGTAGGGGGTTTTTAAATTTTTAATTTATTTGGTTTGAATTCGGTTTGGAAATGACATCAGGTACTTCGCGTCGTTGAAACTTATTTTAACTGTCTTATCGATTTGGAATTTTGTAAAAATCAACACAAAATGTCTAAAGAGGCTTTGCTTCAAAACGGTACAGATATTACTAAAAGTGTACATGATATTTATTATACTTATTGAAGTAATGAAATATAACTAACAGAGAGAGGCATTCCGAAAAAAAGTTGCTGTAAATCAAGATAGATTAGATTTAACTTTTTGATATTAGGTGTGTGTTAATTATTTATTATAATTAATCTGTGATGTGGTAGATTATATAATTTTATTTGTCATATCATTTTTAATCTGCATAATTTAAGGTATAGTTGTAATAACAAACTTTGCAAGTTAAACAAAAGCTTGTAAAGTATAAAAATAATGATAAAAAATGAAATAAGATTATATCTTTGTAATCCAAAATTAATTGGCATAATATTCAGTTTTCTCGCTTTAGAGCCATAGTTTGTCAAAAACAAATCTAAATTCTGGTCATCTCGGGTGCATACGATTCATCACCTTTGTAGGGTGGATTTTTTATGGTGTAATCCATAGGTTGTAATAATGGTTTTTGAAAACATCTTAATTGATAATTTTGATATTTTTGGCCATACTGAGATTTTGTTAGGATGACTTAAAATTAGAAAGTAAAAGTTCATCACAAAATATTATGTTAAAATAAATATAAACATCATATTTATTAGAAGTACCATAATACATATAAATTCTTATGGCTAAATGACGAGTTGAAATGGGCGGAAGGGATGATACCCTAAGCAAGTGTCATTGATTGAAGAAAGGCCCTGCTGCGCCTTTACCTCCCTTTTTGCTCAAGTTTTTGCCGTTCATTATATATTTATAACGCTTTAATTTCAGACTAAAATTTATCACAACAATTATTGACTTTATGTATTATCTGTATAGAACTTTTTTGTGGAAATAAATAAGGAGTGTAGAGGTAAGGAAAACTGTCTGTGTATGAAAGAATGTCTGTCAAAAGGCGTTAACTTCGGATGGCGCTACTATAGCAAGTGGGATTTTAAAGGAAGCGCCAAAAGTTATTGGAGTAGGATAGAGAAGTAAACAAAAAAAGAATTATTTGGGACTAACTAAAAAATATTAAATTATTTAGTTCATCACCCTTCATTCCATCTATCATTTCATACTCCACACCTACGCTAGCGCCATTCTGGTGAAATCTTGAACTGTTAGATAATCTCCCATAAAATATGGTTCTCTTACCACCACCCTCCATAGTAACTTTATAGATGGGAATATCCATTAATTTATGTCATTAAATAAGTACATTTAGATAATGCTCCATTTTTGTAATCAATATTACTAATCAATATTTATCTTTGTGTAATAAGAACTTAATAATTTTGTTGTTTTTTTTTTAATATAAATAAAGACTGATTGTTCACTTAGTTTTATGTAGAAGTATTCTTTTGTTTATTTAGACATAGATAAAATATTGAATGTCAGAAATAATAAAAAATAAATAAAATGGATGGTCAAATTTATAAAATAAAAAAAATACGCTATAAATATTATATACAAACATTTTGTATTGAATTTAATTATACTTAAATGATATGTAATAGAAAAGATGGATTTCTAACATACTACAGCAATGCATAATATTTAACTTGCAATATTTAATTAAAAAAAATATGGATGAATGGATGGTATTGTACCAGGTTCAAAAATTACTCAAAATTTAATTTTAGTATTTCTATATATTATATGCATTACCAATATATATATATGTATATATATATATATATATATATATATATATATATATATATATATATATATATATATATAATTTATAATTTTTGTTAAAAAAAAATCAATAAATTGGCTCTCCCGTAAAGTTAAGAAAATGTCGCTTAAACCAAATAGCCTTTCACCCGTCGATATATATATATATATATATATATATATATATATATATATATATATATATATATATACATAGAATATATTATTATTTTACATGCTTAGGTTGTATGATAGAAAATGGTGTAAGATTTAGTTTCATCAAGAGACATTTGAATGTTGTGTATATACCGTAGTTAGTGTTAGAAAATTTATTCTAGTTGTTTACTTATTTATCATTATGTAATAATAAATCGTGTTCAAAATCGATTCCGATTATTAATTAGATAAAATATTGGCTTTTGTTCATTGATTATATATTATTCGATTTTACTCAACGTAATCGTGAGGTCCACAAATGTATTAATTTTTCACTTGCTGTGAAATTATTAGGATTTTTACAATGGACAGTTTGTATTATACCTGTAGATACATATGTCGTAAGGGTTTTGAAATTGTACAATTTTACACTATTGACTTGATTGGTATTAATAAAAATATACTTAATAAACGTTTTTTTCTTTATATATCCTCTTTAATATGCCGTTTTAATAAATATTTGTTATATCTGTAATTAATAATTTTTATTTTCTTTCATATCTACTATTAAAATTGACACGTTTTGTTGTTATAGTTACGGAACAAGTAATGAGTAAAATCACTAGTCCTGGCACCTATGCTATCCCATACAAATAAATTGAACAGCCACTAATTCAGCTGAATATGCGATAGATGGCGCTGATTCAAAAACTGGAATTAATTTTTTTACATACTAAAAACTTAAAATATGTACATATATCATATGAAAATTCGGTTTGCATTGAATAATTTCAGTAACATTAGTTACATAGCATTTTGTGTTGTAAACAACTCAAAATGTAAACAGTCTTATATAAATACTCACTACAAATTGATTAACTAATGGCCGATTTTCCAGTAAAATAAAGGAAATATTTTTTAGGAACGCATTATTTCATTTCCTTTAGAGTATATTTTTAAGTAAAAATAACAAATTGACACATAACGCATCTATTGACATTTGTTCGAACTATTTTTTTCTTTTTTCTTAATGATACCCACGCATTTTGTAACTTTTAAACCAGGAGTTATCAATCAGGGGGACGTAGAGAGTTTAACTTAAAATTAAAATAAATAAAAATCGTTAAAATAATGAGTTTTATTATAATAAAAAATGAATAAAAGGGGGCATGAAAATATTTTTTATAATCTGGGGTGGCTCAACAGAAGAAAGTTTGGTAAATCCTGCTTTAAAGTATAATGAATATTATTTTGTAGCAAACTATTAAAAAATATAAATGTAATAAATACTATATTAGTATGTATTGGTAAATAAAACTCTAAAAATAAATCTCAAGCAATATATTTTAACATTACAAAATACTTATAACTTAACAAAATGTTGATAACATTTCATATAATAAACATAGACCTCACAATCTCAGACAGATCAGAAGAACTTTACACCTTGGTTGTCGTCAAATTCCATCAATTCGCACTTGCCTTTCACTTCCAGAGCTTTCAAGGCTTTTATTAGAATATTGATATCTAGACCATGGAATTCTGAAATAATATAAAACATATATTTAAAATAGCTTCTATTAAGGCAATATTTTTTTAATTAGTCAATTTGATTAGAGTCTATAAATTTCCTCTACATACAGTTTTACTCGAATGCAGTGAAGGCTAAGACAAAGTTACGTTTTTGATCTGTATTATATGTAATATGTAACTATAATTACAAATTTTTGGTTTTTGCGCTAATTAATGAATTTATTTCTCTCAAAAGTTCTAAATAAAAAAATAAATTACAAATAAAACCAACTGTGTGAAAAGCAAACTGAACACATGGAAACTTAAGAATATGGTTAACTGCAGTCATAGATATTCATGTAAGCAGATACCCAGCAAGTATAAAACAATATAAATAGTGCAAATCACACATACTATCTATGCTATCTAAGATATTTTATTCTAATAAATAATGTTAAGTAATTATGATCAAATAAAATATTCAATTATGCCATTTATTTAAAAATAATTTATTATAATTTTTTCAAACCGCTCAATCAATCTCGATAAAATTTAAATGGAACCACTTGGGAAGACCCTTTGAAACCAGTAATTGGTGAACATACATAAAAAGATTTCAACGAATTGAGAATCTGCTTCTTTTTGTAAGTTGGTTAAAATATAAAGTCCATTCACTTAGGCAATACATACCTTCACCAACAGTATTGTCGCCTTGTCGCAACTCGAAAAGTGTGCAAACAGAATTATTTAAGCCATTACTATTTGCCCAGTCATAAATCATGTTTCCCCATTCATCCAAGGAATGCCAATAAATTTCCCATATATTTTTGCTCTTGTCAATTGGTGCTGCTTTACCATTTCTCGCCATATCTTCTAGAATAGTCAAGAGCGCCTCAGAAGATAATTTTCTATTTATCGCGGGATTGTTAAATAGTGGACTGTTCTGTGCTTCTCTTATGTCTATTGTAGATTGTTTTGTAGCTTTGAGGTAATCGGATATAAGTTGCTGCCATGCTTCTAATTGCTTTGCTCTTGTTTCGGAGTGAGGTTGAATCCTGGAACAATAACATTTTTATTATTTATTTATATGACCCTTTAAAATTACATTGAGTCCAAATCCATCTTTTGATTACATACTATATAATTCTAAAAAGAAAAACCCCTATAATTTCCATTAAGAAAAAGGATATATTACTCATTTATGAAATATTATACTTACACATATCTTCATAATTTTCATATAAGGTTATTAGCTTCTGTTCAGTTTTCTTTCTTTTTGGAAGTGTTTTTATCGGCTTTGGCTCTAAATCAGTGACTGATATTCTATAAAATATTTTTGTCTCTCCAATTTCAATATATGGATGTGGTTTCTCAGTTTGTAAAGAAAATGCTATCATGATGGAACAATCTTTAGCAACTGCCGAGATTAATGCTGAATGTATGGGATCAATTGTTTTTAGAAACTCTGTTTGATCATTCAAATTTGTTAAATCAAGTTGTTTGTCACTTAAGTGTTTTAATAATACTGGAACATACTTAAAACCTTCATTTGCATTTATGTAATCAGTGTTTGATGTTCCTGGTAGTTTTTGTATTTTTAGTAATTTAAAGAGAAAACTATCAGGGCAAAGACTTGTACTGTCAACACATTTTTCTGGTTTATGAGGTGATATCTGCATAGATTCTTCTAAAGTATGCTCATATTTTTTTTTAGATAATAAGATATCAATAATAAAGTTCAAGAACATATTTATTGATTTAAAAATTTGTGTATGTAAAATAAATTTCTCAAAATCATTAAAACTTGATTTTTCACTATAGACAATCTTACCGTCTTTAAAAAATTTAAAATTATTTTGAGGGTTAAGTAATAAGTTTACCAATGCTTGCCTCATTCTTGTTCTATTTCCCGAAAACAAGTCTAGGGGACAATAATTACTGATTTTATCAATTTGTTTTGCTTCCAATTTTAAAAATTGTTTGAGACAGTAATAGCACTTTGAATATTTCCCTAAGAATGCCGTGATAAATCCCTCCTTAGGTTTAATTTCTACACAATAGTTTTCATGATGTAGACTGATTATAGTCAAATTAGGAGCTCTAATAGCATAATGACTGAGAACTTTAATTTGTCTGTGTTTTGGTCGTGAATGAAAAAGATCAATTGTTAGTTGAGATACTTCTTCATCTGACAACTTAATTAAGTCTTCAGTATATCGATTATCACCAAATAACAAAGGTATCATGATTGAGTTCACAAAATTTATAGTGTTGCTGATATTGTCCATATCTGTCGTAAACTCGTCTTCTTTTATAAGTCGAAGAACATATTCTGTGTCTGTTACACCAATAACGATGTGTACATTTCCTTCATTTATATATTCCCAATTTTTCCCTAATATACTCATTTTGATTTCAAATAGGTACTCGCAAGTGATAACAATAAATAGTTTACTTACGTAAAAAAAGGAGGGAAATTATACTGCCAGGGCCACTCGATTTCTGCCATTATTTGATATGAGTATTTAAAATGTAATTGCAAGATAAATTATGTATTTATTGGTTGATTTTTAATGTTTTACATGTATTACAGCTGATAGTGTCAAACATGGATATCAATTGTCAAATACATATGAGCACAGACAGTATGAGCACAGACTACAGAGTGTCAGAGACAGACCATGAACAACATTATTATTAACTGACATAGAGTATAAATATTTTAAAATAATGACTGATCGATGAATTTGGCTTGTGGCATTTGAAATTAATATAATTTAATTTTATAATATTTATAAACACAAATTATATCTTTCATCTCACATCTGTGAAACTTTCCTCATCTAGGCGATTTGTTTTGACAGTTGACAGCTTAAATTTTTTGGTTTAATTTTTAGAGTAATCAGTAAAGAAATCCTAGCACGTAGCCGCTTAAACATCGTTTATGTTTCAATATCTCTAAATATATTATTATTTTTAAGATAATTTAGTTAGACTACAATGATAACGCTCAATAGGAAGTTAAAAAAGGAACATACGGAGCCAACGAACGGGGTTACCGTTGAACCTATAAAAAGAATATCCGTGAGAGACAAATTGTTAGTAAAAGAAGTGCAAGAAATGAATGAGAATCTTCCTATTACGTGTTCTGTACATTTTGAGGATCCTAATGTTTTAAACGAGTTTATATTGACGGTAGCGCCCGACGAAGGTTACTGGTCGGGAGGTAAATTTAAATTTGGTGTATTTGTGACTGAAGATTATAATATGGCTGTAAGTTCTGAGCTGTTACTATCTAAAGAAATTTATCATAATACTACAATGGTTATTTATAATAAGTCAACCTTGATATCTTACATTGTTAATGCTAATTTTAGTTTAATCTTATCTATATTTCTTAAATTTTGATCTTTTATCATATAGTTTTTTTACTAAAAAGAAAATATAATTATGAGGTGACTACACTATTATTTGGTAGGAAGGTATAGTTATTTACACTTTAATTGAATTTAATTAAAAATTATCTTGACTTTTATTTCCAGCCTCCTAAAGTAAAATGTCTAACACGTCTTTGGCATCCAAATATTAATGTTGATGGTGATATATGCCTGTCCCTTTTACGACAAACCTCAATAGATGAACATGGTTGGGCACCAACTAGAAGACTTAAGGATGTTGTGTGGGGATTAAATTCTTTGTTTACAGTAAGTATTTTTGAGACCTTAAATCTGAATGTAATATTTATTTGGATAATACGAAGAATTCACTTTAAAGTTTAATCTATATCTCAGTAAAAATTACTGTTCAAGTTGAATGATTAATCCTTTTATTTATTTATGTTATGTGTGTTTGTGGTCATAAAACAAATAAAAGATAAGATAAATATCTATAAACATTGTTTCTTTAAACTTCAATCCTAAAATAATAATTATCTATTGTAATCTTGCAGCAACTTAAAGGTGACATTTTAGCATTAGTTTAAATATTACTTTTTAGATAAATAAGACAAATCTTATAATGTTACCTTTTTCTAAAATAATAATAATATTTTATTTATAAAACTCACAGAAGACTGTAACGTATTGTATATGTTTTCCACTTGGAACACAAATAGTATGCTGCATGCATCTCTTTTTGTAAATAATAATTTTAATATTTTAAATTTTGGTAACATATTCTATTCTTCTTAAACTTTTAAACAATAGCATTCTATAATCCATTTTACAGGAGAAGAAACTGGAGTTTGTATGTTTAATTATCACATGGCAAATGCTTCTTTGACTTTATTTCTAGTTAAATAGAAAATCTTGTAAAATGTTGCGAAACAAATAAAAAAATGGATAGATACATAATATAATCCAAATAATAATAACATTAAATAATTTCAGGACTTACTTAATTTTGAAGACCCTTTAAATATAGAAGCTGCCGAGATGTATAAGAAGAACAAAACGGAATTTCAGTCTAAAGTGCTAGAATATATTGCAGTGTCAAAAGGAAAAAGATGAGGAAAGTCTTGCTACGGCAAATTTAACAACAATTTGTAGTTTAGCGGACTCAGTTTCTATTTTAGATAATACTGCAGTGATAGACCAGGTTAAAAATGTTATATGTATTTGTTACGGTTGTTATATGAAGGTGTTTGATTGATGATTTACGAGACTTTCCCTCATAGAATAAAAATAATAATTAATTTTAATTGCAGTAACATTTATGAATTTTGTACTATTTAAGAAAAACATAAAGGCAAATGCCAATAGGCAGGCAGAGCAAAGATACATAGCTATCTTATATACACCATATTTTCTCCATTGGCAAAGTTATCTGTGCCCAACTGGCACACCCAAAAGCCAAATAACAAAGAATTGAAATGAATTACTTAGCTATGATTTTTAAATTATAACAATAATGGTATAATTTTGTAAATTTATGACACATGTTTTTTGGAATCTGCACAGATAAATAAAATTGAAGTGTCTGTTTGTTATGTTAAAATAACATCATTTTACTAATTAATTTGAATTTGAATTATATACGGTAGTTGTCGTAAAACACAATTTTTAAAGTTTTTGTCTGTTCGTTCTGGGTAGTCTCCGAAACGGCTGGATCGATTTTGACGGGACTTTTACTGGCATGACGATAGTTCATAGTGAATGTTATAAGGAGTAACTTAGGCTACTTTTATTTTAGAAAAAGAATTAGGGTTCAGTTTGAAGGGACACACCCGAGCGAAGCGAAGGTAAGTCGCTAGTATTGAATAAACAGATAGCTTGGAACTGAAAATAGTTGAGTAGAGAAATAAAATTATAATATTTGCAATTAACTTTTTCTTAAAAAATAATAATAATGTCAGTTTTACATTAAAAACGTTCACTCATTATTTAAATTGTTATTCTTGCACAGAGCCAGATTCAACCTCGGGGCATACATTTGGCATAAAATGGATAGTTTCGATAAAGTTTAAATTTTTTAATTAGTTTTTTTTTATTATTATTTATAAATTATATAATTTTTTTCGAAAATAATAAAAGCATTTTCGATAACGCGAAGAGAATTTTTTTCCCACCCTCCGAATTTTGTCGCCTCTAAGCCGCCCTGGGCACTAACTCCGAGTGCCTCTAGTGTAAATCCAGCGCTGTTCTTGCATGTGCATCAATTGTTATTAAATTTATTTCCTTTATCACTGTCAAATCTCTTCCTATTTCAACCAAAACATAACCTAAAAGATCTTTGTATATGAAATTTTTTAATAATTCAATAAGATTTATATGAAATTAGCTTTGCTAAACGTCTTATGAATTAAGTTATTGATAGACTACAATGTAAAGTGAAAGTGATATGTAATTTTGGCATTGGCTTACATGAAATGTATATTTATTAAAAAAATTGTGTACTACAAACTATATTATAAATAATAATATGCATGTCTACGTGTCATGCAGATAGATCGACGAACCAGCCGTTTTACAAAACGTCTAGTTGTTTTACATAACGGAGCTGTTATGTAAAACAACTAGTGGTTTTATAAAACGGCGAATTCGACAATTCATCTGCAATATGTTCTTATTTCTACTTCAGGTGAAAAAAACATTGCAATGATATATAGTTAGTATTCTGAACATGGGCTTCTTGTGAGTTGGATATTATTATAAAAAAATCTTTATTAGCTTTATGCTAAAATTACTTATCATAAATAGTGTTTAGCAAATCATGGGATTTAACTTCAGAAGTATCCTATTGTAATATTTAAATGATAGTATGAATGAAAGTATAAAGCAATAAACAGATGTTATTAGACAAGCCATGTTTAGACAACTGACGAAGGGTGGTGAAAATGTTTTATCACTTGTGTTTTGATCATATCTCTTTGTATGTACTCGATTTTTGATATTTTTTTCCCTTTTAGTCAGGGAAAGTGTGTCGTTCGTATTTGTTACCATCCTAATTTTAAATGTAAGTAATCATATGTCATATAATGTTTCAACGTTTTATTAATGAATTTGTCATCATTCATTTTTCATTTATAAAACGTTGAAACATGTTTGTACACAAATAGTGTATTTATTTTTCTCTTAGTTAATGCTAGTACTGACTCATCTAGTTTGCATTTGACACTAGTGGCTAAATTAAATAATTGAAAAGGAATTCGACTATTTTGGCAACTTCTTTTAAATTATTATTGCTGTGTTTTATTTATTTTATATATTTAATAGTTAAAACAAGGTTTGTTGCTGTTCTACATCAGACAATATTAGCGGGCATTTTTTGTTTAAATAATATATATATTTTCAATGTAACCCTCTAATACTATTGTTTAAATACTGAATGTACATATTTATAACACTTTTGTGAGAGCATATGTGAGCTTAGAATAATACTATCGCTTTTGGTAAAAAAACAAAGTGAAACTGCATTGGAATTAATAAAATAAATAACTTTAGATGTCACAATACTATTCTAGTATCTATATCTGTGCTTATTTTATACAAAAAAATTGACGGCTCTTATTCGGGTTATTTTTGTTTGCCAAATAGACGATAGATGGCGTTGATCTTATTTTATATTTATTTAATACTAGCGACTCAACCTCGCTTCGCTCATATTCGTTCCTAGGTACGTTTTGACGCTTAGTATGGAATAGATTTTTTTTCGTGAATTTTTCCGATGTTTTAATAATTATTTTGCTATTCGGAGTGAAGACAAATCCAACAAATAAAGATCATACAAAAAGGTCCAGCAGTTCTGGAGTTATAAGTGTTGTAACAAACCCGACTTTCTTTTATATATATAACTGTTCAATAACTGTAGCCGCGTTTTAACCGCGGTAAACCTATGAACACGCATTACAAAGTAATTTTCTAATAACTGATTTTAAATCATCTGTAAAATAAAATTTTGATTAATTTAAGAAAACATTCTATTTTCCTCTATGTACTAATCTCCTCTATTTTAAACCAGGGTATATAGTATGTTTGAAATCTGCTTTCCTCTAATTAATTTTGAACACTAATCATTAATACACATAACGCCATCTATTGACTATTTATTTGAATTAATTTATCATTCTAAGCGATATTTCAAGTCATAATGAGTTTTGATTTTACTTATTTTTGATATTGATTTTTATTGATTATTCTGTTTTATTTTTCATATATACTTATTTAAATGTAAACATTATATTTAATGATTGATAACAAAAATGTAATAATTTTCTCAAAACGAACTAATCGAGTCTAGTCAGTGCGGTTGCATAATCTTTACCCTATGGATTAAAAAATTCGCTCAGTTGTCTAAATGTTATTGTCCAATATATTTCACTCTGTGCTTTAATATTAAATTCTGTAATATAAGTAGCATATTTTTTAAAAACGACTTTTATTTTATTCCATTGAGTTTTGAATACCTTTAATTAATTTCTAAAAACTGATTATTTTTGGCTTATAACGTAACATTTTTTCAACCAAAAAATATTTATTAAAAAATGACAAAATAAAAGAGGGTCTTATTTTTCCGCTTTGTTTATCACACTTGTATTAATTACAAAATATTTTTTTAAATGTACATAATCAACTCTCAGTGCAAAAGTGGCCTAACTTAGAAAAGAAAAAATAAAACACATTGTGATCAAAATTTTCTTTATTTCATTAATACTGAAATACAGTATCCATCGTATAAATAAATAAATAGTAAAAATTGTTTATAAATACTTAACGTTAAGGATCGTAACGATTTTAACTTGACTAGAATTTAATGTGACGGCGAAAAGTGAAATAAGTCGAAATGAATGATGATATAATTTTAAGCAGTCCTTTTATTAGAAAAAAAAACATTTAATTTTTCTGTTACTTTAACAAAAGAAAATTTAAATTTCTTTTTTAAAATAGCAACACTACAAGTTAGATCTCTATAGTCGTTAGTTTAAAATTACAAAACAAATTACCTATTTACAAACTTGAATTAAATTAATAATTAATAAAATAAATTAATATTATAATATTAAGAAGTAATAATTTTGAATAAATAAGAACAGTATACTGAAAAAGCAGCATTGATCATGTTTTATTGTCGACGTTATAGTTTTAGGGCTCGTAGTCGTAGGTTTTTTTGTGTAAATAATTTTCGATGATTTTTTAGTAATGTCCATTTTGATTTGTATTACTATCTGCTAGAGGTGTTGCTAGGAGATGTATAGAATAATAACAAAATTTTACATTTATTAAGGCCTATACACACGACGACTTTTTAACGTGAGACGCGCACTTGCCATCTGTTTTATTATACAATATGAAAGCAAGCTGCGTTTTTTAAATTTACTAGTGCAGAATATGCGCGTGAATTTATATAGTGCGCATAGAGTCCAGTTCAAATACATATTTAAAATAAACTCAAAAACCGTCAACAGATACAAAATCCCAAACCGCTCATCATGTAACAGATAATAAAATGTCCTTTTTACATTGACATTACATTAAAGTGTCCTTTTTACATTGGGGGGAGGGAGGATGGGGGTAGGTCAGCGTGTGAGCGTGTCGAGTTCGTCGGTGACGCTGTTGGAGCGCGCTAGCATGCGCGGCGACGCCAACGGCGATATAGCGTCCGCCTGTAGGGCTTCTGCCGCCTTACGCGAGTGGTACTCCTCTGAGAACTCCTGTGTATTTATATTAAGTACATGTTATTATATGAGTAAAAACAACAAAATCCTAATTGGTTTCGGTTACGGCGGCTCATCTAAGATTAGCTATGAGCGCAGAAGGTATTATAGTGTATATATATTCGATCTAATTTGGTAAGAGATCAGACGCAGGACCGACGGCATTACGTGCTTTCTGAGGCACGAGAAACACCACCAACTTCTCCATACCGACGTACGTGCACTTAATTTCTAGCAACTCACTATGTAACAGAATAAAATGCCTCAGGATCCATTTGATGTTCTCGGGATAAATTGACTATGTCAAGTGTGATGATGGGTGTACCTATGCACATGCATATGTACATACATATGCATGTAAGTACGTATGTATGTATATGTATGTATGTTTGTACGGAGGGTTACCTTGAGCCTGTTGGAGAGGAAGACGGCGCGCTCGCGCTTGCGCTGCGTGAAGTCGGAGTGCGCGAGCCAGCGGTGCTCGAGGCACTCCTCCGCCGTCGGCCGCTTCAACGGCACCTTCTTGAACACCCACATCAAGAACCGTGTTGCTTCCTGAACACACAATACTCAAATTAATTACACAGCACTACTATACTTTGGATACCGCAGTCCTAAATAGAAAAGTGGTACTCTCGTGCAACCAATGACGGAAGTTTTTCAATCAAAATATTCAGGTCTACACTACATCTTTCTTGTATTTTAACTTGCATTATGTGGTGGTATAATTTAGATTTTTCATTATGTGGTCAAAATACAGCGTATATAGTGACACCTAAATAGTTGTATTTTCTTAAAGCGGATAGCTGCTAAGTTACAATAGATTATGACATTCTGCAATTAACCGCTTGATTCTAGATTTTTTTTAAGTACAATTAAATTTTACGACAGAAATGATAGGCTAATTGAAAAAAGTGGAGCATTGTTGCAAGCCGTGGAACAGTAAAGCGATTGAACATATAACGCGACAGTGAAGTTCAGGACATTGTCGCAAGCACTAAAAAGCTGCACTTATTATACACTACAACAAGGTGAATGTGAACATACCTGAGTGATCTCCTTGTAGAGGTGCTCGAACCGGTAGCGCACGAAGGCGATGTTCTGGCGCGTGTCCTGCGGCGTGGCGCCGCGGAAGGGCGAGACGGCCGCCAGCAGCACGTAGGCGAGCACGCCCACCGACCAGATGTCCGTCTGCGGGTACGCCGCCTCGTCGTTGATTATTTCTGGCGCTGGAAATGATCGCTTGTTAGATTCTTTGTTTTTTTTATATGTGACTAGCGACTCACCCTCGCGTCGCTTGGGTTTGTCCCTAGGCACGTTTTAAGTTATGTTAGTATGAAATACAAATGTTTGATGAATGAATTTCTCGGCTTTTCTATACTATTATTATAGAATATGCATTTATTATACAGATAAACCTTTTTCATGTATCACTCTATCTATTGAAAAACCCGCATCAAAATCCGTTGCGTAGTTTTAAAGATACATACGGCCAGACAGACAGCGGGAAGTGACTTTGTTTTATACTATGTAGTAACCGACAGACGTGTCCCTGATCAAGTTTCACTTAATTTATTAGTTGGTTAATGATTTCATAGATAAAAGTAATTGCAAGTTTTACTGGTAATAGCCATTTACCAATTTTTCTTTAAGTCTTAAAGAAAAAACTAAAAATACTAAATCATTCCTAATTATAAAAGAGAAATTCTTCATACCGAATACGTTAAACAAATCAATTTATAATGTTTAATGACATTAGGTATTTTAATTCTTTAACATACTAGAGATTATATAAGATCCCCGGCCCGAAAACCGTTCTTAACGAACTTGCACTTTAATCATTTGCGCATCATCGCATATATCATGGACCAATTCCAAACCATACTCACATTTCCACTCCAAGTCGCCGACCTGCGGCACGCTGGTGCCGAGCTTGGTGACGCGGTGCGCCGACCCGAAGTCTGTCAGCTTTACTTGCAGAGACCGCACCGACGCCATCACCACGTTGTCCGGCTGCAGGTCCAGGTGGCAATACCCTCGCCAGTGCAGGTATTGCAGGCCGTCCAGCACTTGGGAGATGATGGTCGACACCATTTGCTCCGAATATTCATGTCGACTCGACAAGTATGTTAGAACATCAGCTCCTTGCAACTTCTCCATAATTAAAGCTGCAACAGGAGCACCCGGTATTTGATACGCGGCTAACAAGTTAGATATCCTCTCGTGCCGAAGCTTCCTTATGCAGTTGAACTCCCTTTGAACTTGGACTTCAGATTCTGGTCGCACTTCCAATATTTTCGCTACTACTACGTCATCTGTTTCCTTGTCGACACCCTTCACGACAATCGAGAACTTTCCACGCGATAATTCCGATATGAAAGTGTAGCGGTCCGAAAAGTTCTGCGTCGTGTTCCAGTCTATGGGGTTTTCTTCAGTGTTGTAATCCAATTTCGGTCTGTCCTCATCGAGCACTATTTCTTGCCCAGATTCCGTTAACTGCTGAAGATGTTTCATTGCTTTGGTAACTTCTATTTTGGGTGCGCCAGATTGTTTAGTCTTGACCAGACTAGTCGGGATTCCCTTCTCACTCCAACCAATCCTATTACGAGAGGATAATCTAAACTGGTAGCTGGTGTCCGGTTCTAGGTTTCTGACAACGAAGAATTCGTGGTCAATATTTTCAGCTACCGTATGCCACTCAACGCTGTCCCCTTTCTTATATTGAAGGCTGTAGCAGACCACCGGAGAGTTGCCGTCGTGTTTCGGCTGTGTCCATCTCAGAAGCACTTCAGTATCTGACACGTCTGCTGGATTAGGGCTATCCGGGGCATCGGGAGTAGTCGCTTCCACTATCCTGGTCCTAGCGACGGTTTGCCCCACTTTGTTCCTTGCCACGACCTTGTAAAATCCGATATCGTGGTGCATTGCAGGATTGAACTCTAGGGTAGACCTTCCATCCTCTTCAATAATTTTGATTCTTTGTCCTTCAGCTATGACCATGTCGTTTTTGAACCATTGTATGGTTGGTTTCGGATCTCCTACAGCGTAAGCGCTGAGTCTGGCTGGCTGGCCTTCTTGTATGGGTAGTAAATGGGGTTTTTCTCTTAAGAAGGGCAGAGTGCCGTCTTTCTTAGACTCCATAAAGGCCTGGGCTTCAGCATAGCTGTCCAGACGTGTTCCAAGTTCGTGTCGCAGGCGGCGGATGGTGTAGCTCTCAGTGCCGTAGTTGTTGATTCTCTCGCGGCGCTCGTCGTCTATTTCCTCATCCATTATATCGGTGAAGCGACGTCGCTCGCGGATGATCGGCGTCTGAGAACAGTTGGAATATTTTTTTATAATTGTAATTATAACGACAATATTTATATAGAACGTATATTGTATGTCAACATTAAAATTATGTGTGTCATTCACATACGTGTCACACTTTGCTATATAAAAATATTTAATATAATATATTTAGTAATAAAATATTATATTAAATATTTTTACATAGCAAAGTAATAATATATATGTAAAGTTCAATACAGTATAATATTTATTTAAAGCTCAATACAAGTCTATAGGTCCTGCGTTCGAGTCCCGGTTCGGGTCAAGCACAGTATTGGGTTTCTCAGTCAAGAAAATACCTATAACCTCTTGGTGTTGATATTTTGGCAGTTTTACACAATGTTGTCGTATTCGTCTTGCGTTTGATATTTCCCCGGTAGTGGCAAATTATTTCATTGGACTTTTAGAGTGAAAGGAATAGAGAGTGCACTTGTTTTGCACACTAACACACTTAAAACGTCTCTTGCGCTAGACTTTCGACCTCTAAATCGGTCAGGTCAAATTCAAAATATTTTATTCAGCATTAAATTATTACAATTTTTTACTGAACGTCATGAGTCTACCAGTTCGGAAAGAAGAAGCCTCAGACTGAAGAGAATTGGCGAAACAAACTCAGCGGGATTAATATTATTTCATTACTAGCGACTCACCTTCGCTTAGCTCAAGTTCGTCCCTAGGTACGTTTTAATTTTTTTGAGTGGATCCCTAATTCTTTTTCTAAAATAAAAGTAGCCTATATTACTCCCTATAACATTAGCTGTCTTCCATTGAAAGTCCCGTCAAAATCAGTCCAGCCGTTTCAAAGATTATCCGGAACAGAAAGACAAAAATTAAAAAAAAAATATTTGTCTTATACTCGTAAGTACCGTAAATAATGTCATATGCATTTAGTAAAACGCTGTTATTTTAACATTACAAACAGACACTTGAATTTTATTTATCTGTATAGACAAGCACTCACCCTGGGGTCGTAGGTGTCGTGCACGCTGAGGCTGTAGCCGGGCGAGCGCACGCACGCCACCTTCATGTACTCGCGCAGGCGCACCGGGAACTGCGTGTCGCGCAGCTGCAGCAGGTACGTGTCCGGCCCGTTCTGGTAGCTGTCGACGCACGTGTAGCAACCACGCTTTCATATTTGTAGGTATATTTGTTTGTACACTTGTTTTGCATGATTTTCGTTTATTTTTATTTTTTTGTACTATTCTGAATTAGTGCTTGACTACGTTCCACCTGATGGTAAGTGGTAACGCAGTCGTAGATGGTAAATCGCACTAATTCAGTAGCCACCTATTCACTCTTGCCTTGAAGACACCCATATTATAATCGGACGGAAACACCGACGCAGGCAGATGTTCCAATCCTTAGCCGTACGTATAATAAATGACGTAGCGAAACGCTTCGTGCGGAGGGGTGGAATGTCCACGACATAAGGATGGAGACCAGCCGTTTGTCGGGTTGTCCGATGATGGAAAGGGGATGGAGGAATTAATTATTTTATTACATAAAGTTTTATTAAAGTGGTATGAATAATTTGTGTATCATTAACGCGCATCATCTGTGTATTTTCTGCGATATTATATTTAAAAAAAAATATTTCTTGCATTCTATTTATACAAACTCGTGACTTGCGTCGACACGCATCATAAAACTGTCGTGTGTATAACGGTCCTTATTCGTAATATATTAATACCTCACGAGAAACATAAAACTTTAAATTAGTTTCTTTTAATTAAATCATATGAATCTAATTAATTTACTATATACTACCTAATAAAAAGTAGTTATTGCCACAAATATGGCGACAAAACAAACCATTGTGGCGAACAACCAACAGACATGAAGGTCAAACAAGCTTTTAATATTCCAGGCATCGATAAAAAAAGATACACAATCAGCGACATAAAATGTCCTCACCGAATGAGCGCTCATTTGAACATTTGAGCGCGCTTTTAATGCTTTTTTTGTGAAAACAACTTTAAGCGTTGCATTTAAGGTTGAATTTACATTGTTGTATATTTATTTCAACTAGAATAATTACCCATACACAGTTAGTGACATTTTTAAGAAACCAAGGGATTGTGTATCTAGTACTTTTTTGATCGATGATCCCGGGGAATAAACCCAAACTCACTGGCTCTCCGAAGTGGCGGACACCTCCCAGTCGGGATGCTCCCACTGCTTGAACTTCGTATCCCACTCTCCCGGTTTCCTCTCCCGGGAAGAACGTTCACGTTCTGGAGTACCTGAAAAGGGAATTAACGTTTTAAACATTTACCATCATCTACTTATCCGACCCCAACTTTTATGATACTTTTATATGTCATTTGGGAGACTACTTTAGGGTTCAGGGGATGACATTTTATAATTTTAATAATACTTCCTTTTTAAATTAAAGTAATAAAATATCTGTCAGTGTTATATTTATATAAATAAAAATGAAAATTTTCTTTCGTGTAAAACCGAATTATCTCCGAAAGTTCTTTATCGAGTGATTTTGAAATTTCGCCACAAGTATTTTGCGTGGATAAAATTTTTATGCCATCTATTTCGCTTTAATTTTTTCACGAGCAACGAACATGCATTTGAGGACATTTTTCTAAGATCAATTGCTAGTAGGGCAAAGTGAAGATAAATCGCCAGTCGATATATTATATCAACTAAAGAGAAGATGCCAAACAGTAGCCTATACAACTCCAGATCATAGTCAAATCCGTCTAGCTATTTCAGCGTTAAAGAGAAACAAACATACACGTACATACACACATACATACAACCTTTCGCAATTACAATGATGATAATGATTGGTCCGACCGTTTTCAGTCCTGGCGACCACTTCGACTCCTAGTTAGCTCGGCGCTGGTGTGCATGAAGATGGCTAACGTAGCCGATCTTCTTAGTAAAAGTTTACCGTCGAAATAATATGATAAATAAACGTATTGAATGGCTGCAAGTGGTCAATTATAATAGCAGTTGCATAATAGCAGTTGCATAGTGCACGTACCCTCGGGGGTGTACAGCTCGCCCGGCGGATACACCATCTTGGAGGGGTGGTCGAAGGCGCCGGACAGCGGGCGGCGGCGGAACCACGTGCGGCACTGCGCGTTGCTCATCCAGTCCCTGGTTTGTTTGAGGATATTGATTATTTGTTGTTGAGGATATTGATTATTTGTTTATGTTTGAGTGTCTGTGCTGGTGTAAAAATGGACAAAATAGCTTAAGATAATAGTGAAAGTAACTTCTATACGAGACATTTAGAACACAATTATTTGTTGTATTTTTTTTTCTCTATAGCATATTTGATAGGTGGAAAAATTTTAGTGCAAATTTTCCTTATCCTTTAAATTTGACAGAACAAAATGCAAAGGTTGACGTTCCTTGAACTTTTTTATACTATACCAATCTTATATAATGGTATAGTATAAAAAGTTCAAGAAGTCATAAATCTTTGAATTTAACATTTTTAATTAAAATTAAGAAAAATCCACTGACCTATAAGAGTTATAGTAGGTCCTCAACCTGTCCGTTGTGATGATATATTCATCCTGATAAATCTTATCCGCTAAAGTTAACCAAGGATGCGATAATGCTGTATCCACATCCATTCTGTCCTGCCACTTCATCACCAGGAGCTTGGAAATGAAATCCCTGGACTCCTTACTGAATCTCGACCACCACTCCTCATCATGCCACGTCCAACTACCCTGGCGAATCCTAGTTAGGGTTTCCCTATCGTTTATGCCCTTGAATGGGGAATATCCGCTGAGAAGAATATAAGTGATAATTCCCACACTCCACATATCGGATGCGAAGCCAACTCCTTCACCATTTGCTATTTCAGGTGAAACGTATTCCGGCATTCCGTAGTCGAGGGAAGCGTATTTGTTTAATTGTATCTTCCGAGAAAGGCCAAAGTCGCAAATTTTAAGTAAGTCGCTACCAGCGTGCGACAGAAGCAGTTCTCCGATCTGGAAAATCGGATATTGGATATAGGATTTAGATTGGCAGAAGATTTTGATAAATATTTATTTTAGTTCTCAAATAGGCTCTTACTTCAATTCAGAAAGAATGAATCTAGTTACCCTAAACCCCATTTCGATGAAATTCATACACTGATATTGAGTACTAAATAAACTAAAAATAATATGAAAATAATTTTAACTTCTTTTAAAGACCAAAAAATATACGCATAATTATTTTTTTGGGCACTAGTTCAGTATGCTCTTGATCACTCTTACATTGATTAATTCCGCTTTATTAGAGCAAGTTCAAATTATGCAGGAACGTTAAAACTTTTAGCACGATTAAAACATCAAGTGCTTGTAAAATATATGAAATATAAAAACTAGCCTATCCCACGGGAACTGTACATTTTTTCGGGATAAAAAGTAGTCTATGTGCTATTCCAAAGTATAATATATCTCTGTATCAAATTTCATCCAGATCCGTTCAGTCGTTCTGGCGTGATTGAGTAACAAACATCTAAACATCCGAACATCCATCTAAACTTTCACATTTATAGTAAGATTGTTTATTATTGTTACTAGCAGTACCCGCGGCTTTGCCCTGGTTTGAAAAAAAGCGCATATTTTCGAGTTATGGGCATTTTTTTGTGGACACTTGAGATTGTGAGAATTGTGTATCATGATTTCTTGAGCTTTTGTATATCAATGATTATAAATGAAGTTTAATTCAACAGTGAGTGAGTTGACGATACGTTTGGCTCAGTTTATAGTGACCCTACTTGATGTACCAGCGATCGCGGGTTTGAGTCTCGCTGGCGTCAATGATTTGTGTGAAGAGCACGAATGTTTGTACTCCAATCATAGGTGTTTATATTTATAATATGTATGTATTTAAAGTTATCAACTACCTAGTATCCATAACACAAGCCTCGTAGGTTACCATGGAACTAGATGGTACTATGTGTTAATGTTCCAACATATCTCATGTGTCGGTACGTACGGTGAGTCCGAGGTGCGCGACGCTGCCGTCGTGCATGTGCTTGAGGCCGCGCAGCAGCTGGCGCACGTAGCCCGCCACCTCGCGCTCGGTGTACCCCGCGCCGCGCAGCAGCCGGTCCCTGCACAGGCACACCGGTATTATATTTGGATTGGCGTCTAGTGTATATTTTGATTAGATCATCATCAAGTCAGTATTAAATCTACAGTCAAGATCATTAGACGTGTTATTTATTCCCCGAACCTTACAACCTGACAAGCGACTCACCCTCGCTCCGCTCGGGTTCGTCCCTACTTACGTTTTAATATTTAGTATAGATTTCTCAGAGATGAGATATTTTCCTGCAGTAAAAAGTATCCCATATGTTGATCAGGATAACCAGCTTCATCAAATTCTGTCCAGTGGTTTTCTCGTGATGCGTTAGCAGATAGACAGACAGACAAAAATTCGTACAACTATAGCTTCGTCCTTTGTCGTTAAATAATGTCTATTTCAAAGAGATTTTACAAAAAAATTTAATATACAGATTCAGCTTAGTTGCAATTTTACTATATGTATAAATATATTACGTAAATCATTGGCGAAAACATCGTATAATCATATAACATACATAGCAACCAAAAAAAAAACAACCTAATTTGAACACTTACTTTGAATTCAATGGAAACCAACTAACTACTACAATTATTTTAACTAGACTAATATCATTATTTTACCTCAATTTACGCAAATAACGAGCGACTTTCTCGCTTCGCTCAATAACCCAAATGTATAATTATTTTCATCTAAATCCGTCCAGCCACTTCAGCATGAAAAAGAAACAAACAAACATAGAAACGTTTTCATACAGAATTTCCTTAGCTTTAAAACTGTTAAAATTCGACTAAGTCTAAAAGAAGTATTGTTATAAAATTTTACACACACATACGAGATAGCCCAGTGGTAACGCGCTCGTTTGTGAAACCGAGTGATGGGATTGAAATCCCGGGTCTCGCACCACTGATATTTTCACCCAACATGATTACAACTTGTCTTACGGTGAAAGAATACATCGTGAGGTAACCTAAGACATGTGCAGTTTGCCAACACGCATTTAGCCAGCGTGGTGGACTGACCCCCCTCGCATTGAAGAGAGGCCCGTGCCGAGCAGCAGAAAGTTAAAAAAGGCTGAATACACACGCATACATATACACACATATTCAAACAAAAATTTTAAAGTTTAAATCATACCTGACAAGTTCACCACCACCAGCCAGCTCGATGACCAGTGCAAGGGTGTGGTCGTGCTCGTACGCGTCGTACAGCCGCAGCAGGTGCCGGTCATTGAGAAGGTTCATGATGTCCAGCTCGTTCTTCATGAAGGGCTTCAGCTCGGAGTGGCCGTGCATGATCTTGGCTGCGTAGTTGCGGCCTGGTGGATGATATCGTGTAAGGTTATATAACAACTTGCATATGATAGTATAATAATAATTTATTCTAGTTTTTACAAAGTTACATAATATAAATAATTAGCAGATAATCACCAATAAACATATCAATCATAAATCAATTTACATATTATGATGATGACATTCGAAAAAATTAAGGTTATTCACCTGTATGGTTTATTATTGAATTCTCAGTAGCAAGCTGGAGTTGGGACTTGGGAAGTTGGCAACGTTTTTTTTACTTTTACTTTACGAGTTTTATTGGCAGAAAAACTCAAAAACATATGGCCCGACTTGGAACACGAACCCAAAGACTGTAGCTGTACATGCCAACTACTAGACCATCGAGGCAGTAAATATAATGACAAATACAAACACATACAGATTTTTATATTAATCCGTCGCAGAATACTTTGCAGATATAAAAAGTGGTACAAAACTAATATTAGTTGATATTCATGTAGGATGAGTACGTAAATTCATAAAGAGCGACTGTTGAGTTTCTAGTCGTTTCTTCTCAGTAGAACCTTCTTCTGAACCAGTGGTAGCTTACTCACGGACTTACATACTGACATTTAATTTTAGTTAAGAAAATGTAAAAATCGATGATTCAAAAGTGGTTGTAAAAGTCTTGAATAAAGTATAATTGTTTGAAAGCCAACGCACCCGTGGTCCTCTCGGCGGCGTGGTAGACGACGCCCTGCACGCCGCGGCCGAGCTCGTCGCCGAGGTCGTAGCGCTCGCCGAACGGCTTCGCGCTCGCCTTGATGCGCGGCGGGTACTCGCGCACGCTGCGCACGGGAACCACACATATAATTATAACTCATTGACAATAATTACTTTGGTACTGAAAGGTTTACCTACTTTAAACATTTTTTTTCTACAAAATATTCTTGGTACAACCCATGAGGTTCGAGGTCGTTTTGATGGCTCGACAGTTGAATACTCATCTGTGAATACTCTACACAGCGTCTGCGTTGTTGTTAGGAAAACTTCTACAAAAACTAAAATTAAAAACTAGCATTGCCCGCGGCTCCGCCCGCGTTCAGATGACCAAAAACCAAATTCTTAGGTTTTACATATTAGTATACTTTTACATTGCAGTTTATGTATTTTTTCTCAGAAATGAGACATTTTGCCGCGGTAAAAAGTATCCTATATGTTGGCCCGGATAACCAGCAGTAAGACAGACAGACAGACAAAAATTCTAAAACTATAGATTCGGCCTCTGTATCGATAATAATGTTTATTTCAATAAGATTTTCCAAAAAATATGTAATGTACAAATTTACAGTTTTATTATAAGTATAGATATATTGCATTAAATAGTAAATACCTGGGCCACCGGGCTTGGCTCGGAGTTTTTGGTCAAAAGTAAAATTTTCTTTAAAAAAAAAACTAAAAACTTAAATGCAAAAAAATTATACCTTTGTTTCCGACCAGGATGCAACCCGGACACCTATCATTGTCAATCTTGCGCCTTGGCCGCTTGACCATGATGCTTATGTCCGAGCGTGCGAAATTATCGACCATATTTTGCGTGGAATAATGCGAAAGAAAACCGCATGAAAATTCGAAAACACGCGTTTTAGACACAAGACTAATCTAGATCGATTTATCGCCCCGGAAACCACACACACACACAGATATATATATATATATATATATATATATATATATATATATATATATATATATATATATATAATAGAAATATTAAACACTAATGTTACCCTTATTTCGCTGAGTGTACTGTAGGTGACTATGTGTTACTTCATCAAATGATTTATCTGTATACTAAATTTCGAGTACAAAACTTAACAGTTCTTTCAGCATGAAGAAAAAAAAAACAAACAAACACACACACATTTTTCCGTCCCAATTCCGCGTAAAATTTGTCTTGCCATTATTAATAATATACATCAGTATCTCACCGGCAAGAGTACTCGTGCTCGTCCTCCTCCACGTGCAGCATGGCGGAGGCGCTGGCCGCGCCCGCCGCGTTGCGCGCCGACACCGAGTACAGGCCCTCGTCCTTCAGCATGGCGTCGCTGATGGTCAGCACCACCGTGTCCGGCGCTATCCAGTGCATCTGTCGGGGACGATCACGTACGTGTAATGTAATTGCCTAGGTGATTTACGACCAGCATGCATGTCCACATATTCAGAGGTCCTGGGTTCGAGTCCTGGGTCAGGCCAAGTTCAGACATTAAGTATTTTTGTCAAGAAATTTTCAGTAAGAGTTCGGAGTTGGGAAGTTGGCTGGGTTTGAGCACCGTGTCGAGACCGAGCACGTAAAGCCACAACAAAGCACGATGCCACTATAAAATCTCCTGCGCTGCCTAGTCTCAGTGATATTAGCCGCCGTGGCCAAAATCTTTTAGGATGGCATTAATATTACATTTAGTACTACTACTATACATTAATATACTGCAAAAGGCGTATGTGTGTTTTATTTCGAGCATGGCGCGCTTAGCCTAAAATCGTGAATTGTTCGAGCAGGAAAATATCGGTTTCGTCAACCGTTAGTGTGTGCGTGACCTCATCAGTGAACTATACACACCGCCCCAATATCCAAAAATATTAAAACACATAGAAGAAACTTACTTTTTGTTCCTTATAGTGGAAATATTAAGTACTCTGTATTTAGCCTTTTTCGTAGTTCTAACATTACCAATACTGATTAAAAAGACATTCTACCAACTTATGTAATGGCGCATATATGTAGACTTACATCGCGAACACAAACTTTATTAGTATGTTTGATAGAGAGAAAGAGCATAGATTACCTTATAGGCATACACGTCTACATTATACATATTTCTATCTATGTAAATATACTAACAACATATTTTTCCCCACGCCAATAATTTTAAGTCAAAATTTCATATTTTCCAAGACCTAACTTGTAAGACTAACTAATGTTTTTAGTCACACAATTCACCTTAGTTCTGGAGCTGGGTGCCAGTGGCTGCCAGTCCTTATACCATTTGATGTCAGGGTAAGGAACCCCGGTGACCCTGGCCTCGAACCTGACGAGTCTCCGCTGCAGCACCACGGTCTCCTCAGGGCGTTTGATGAAGGTGGGGTACTCCGCCACCTCAAGGCGCACGCGCTGCCGCGCCTGCCCGTGCTCGTTGGTCGCCACCGCCTCGTACCAGCCGACGTCACGCTCTAGCATTCTGTGGAGTTGGGATTTATTTTAAAGCATATTTAACCCGTGATTTCACTCGCGTAGTTGATGTAGGCGTCATTTAAGAATTAAAGGTGTTGTAGTGTGTGCGCAAGCGATCCTGCAAACTTATAGTTGCTTGCGCTGTAAAAGAAAGTCGTATTAGAAATGTAGTATTATTAATGAAATACATTTAAAAAATACTTACTTATTAATAAAAAGCGTAGCCTGTCCATTCCTCGTGTAACTCCAGTCATATCTTCCACCGATTTCAATCGGCTCGTCGTTGAAGAAATACGTCATCTTGGGCTTGGGATAGCCATAGACGAACCAGAAGAGGTTGACATTGTGGCCCTTCACGCCATACTGGGAGTCGTGTTCCTGACGTAGGAATTTAGGTGCTTGGGCGTAACCATCGTGCGGGGGACGTTCGATGTCGAAGTCCTTGGGGAAGTACGGGGAGGTTTCTGGTCTGAAATCGATGCCGGGTTCCAAGTAGGGCACAAATTTGGGCGGATCGGGTTCTAGCTTGGCGCGGTGCGTGATGGCGTAGGGCGAAGGGTCGCTGACGCCATATTTGTTTTCCACCCGCACCCGGAACTTGTAGTCGCGGAAGGGCTCGAGGTTGCGTATGTCGCAGACGCAGGAGCGCAGGCCGGTGCGCGCCGTGAACCACTCGCCGTCTGGCACTTCGCACATCTCCACCTGGGGGAAGTACCAGTTAATTTAAACTGTTTTTCATTATGACCGTTTCAAAAGTTTCTCCTAAAGCTAGCTATACCCAAATAGTGTCCATCAATATATTTAGTATATTTTACGATTTCATACAAGATAGAGACATTGGAATATTGATTGTTTTTATACCATTTTATTGATAGATAATATTTGTTATTTGAAATTTAAATAGATTTTTTAGTTCATTTATTAATTAAAGTAAATTATTAATAAAAAAATTTAATTACTGTTTTTACTATATTACGTAATTGTTTTTGCTATAGAGTTGAATGGTACTAAAAAGTGAACACGGGGGAAGTACAGTTTATTTTTAACTTATTTTTTTCTATATAAAGAGAAAAAGCACACAACATACCCAAAACAAAAAAAAATGATTTTCTAATGCAATACTGTAATCTATCCACACCTAAGTATTTAAGAACAATTCCTGACTGACCTGGTATGTGACGGGGAACCTAGGCTGGTGCGGTATGGACGGCTTCCAGGACAGTGTGAGGTGGCGGTCCGCCATGCGCGAGATGATGGGCTTGTCGCTGAGTGGCATCGGAACGCCCGTCTTCTTCATCTTGTCGAAGTCCGAGTACTGCTCACCGATGGGCTTCCTGCCGCTGCTGGGCTCTAGGGCTGAGAACACATAGGTTTATTATTAAAAATATTTATTGAGCATCGTTTACCTTAGAGTGTGGCGTAGAACAACTTCTTTTTAGTATTATAATTATGTATTTCAGTTTATGTTTGCGTCGTAAAATGTTAAAATCAGGACTTTTATTTTTAAAACCTTAAATATATTTTTTTTTACTAAAATAACTCTTGAACTAGCGATTAAATTTTAAAAAAGCATTCAACGAAAGTAAACTGTCATAATATAAAGTGATAAAGGCTTCATTATTATTTATTATAAGTTAGTGAAATAGAAGCGAACTGAGCGCCAAGAAAAATGGCTAGTATTGTATAAATTGATACAAATTTAAACATATTTATAAAATTATCATTTATTTCTCAATCATATTATATAGGCTTCACTTCAAAACTTCACCAAGTCACCATGAAATACTGCCTGGATACGGGCCATCCTTCAATACGAGAGGGATCAGGCCATATGACCGTAGCAACTGTTTATATGACAAAAAATTACCCAAATCGGTTAATAAACGACGGAGTTCTGAGATAACAAACATAAAAAAAAACAGCCGAATTGAAAACTTCCTCCTTTTTGAAGTCGGTTGGAAATAAGTACTCACTATCATATACAAGCTTGGCTTCACAGCTGTCCTCGCCGTGCGGGTTGTATATGCGGCAGCGGTACGTGCCCACGTCCTCGGGCGACACCGACGCGATGGTGAGCCGCAGCAGCCCGGTGGTCTCCTGCTCGATGCGGATGCGCTCGCTTGGGAACAGCTTAGTGTCGTTGCGGAACCTGGGACAGGTGGTTCATGTTTTTTTTCTAGGCAACACTACTAAAATATTGTAACCTGATATTATTACGATCTAGCCAAAAAGGCTAGTCCAATGGCACTTTTCTTATAGTCTCTAGTTAAGGGGAAGACACTTTGTTCTTGTGTTCTATATTGAAAGCACTATATATTATTACTTTCACTACATTACAATTGATAGTTGATATGATCAGTCCTTTGAACGTGTCACTGCTAAGTATGGATCTCCCCTCAATAAGGGATCATGTGATAGTCCACGCTGGCCAAGTACGGGTTGGTGGACTACAAATGTCTTTCGAATACCAGTTAGGTTCTTTTGACATTAATAATTTCTTAGATTTACACGAATATTTGACATGTTAAATAAAACTATGTTTTCGGATTTTTTTGCGCATTTATTTTGACTTTTTGTTCCCGACATTTCGAATGCTTTATTTAGTTGTCAATTTTTTTCCTGTGGAAGATAACTGGAAGAATAATACTTTTGTCTTACTCCCGCTCAACACCCTAGGGAGATGGGTGTGACTGAAAGCGCTAGTTTCTTTTTTTGTTTTCTCGGGATTTCGGTCTTAGCAATATCAGTTGAGTTATTACCCGTTGCCACAGATTAAGTTACGATTTTATTGATTCTATTACCTTTTTTAAAGTTTTTTTATGGCAACAAATGTGTTTTTATTGTTATTTTTTATTTTTTAAGGTGTAAAATATTCGCGTAAATCCAAGAAAGCTTAACTAGTACGAGGTGTGTACCCACCACTCCACGTCGGGGTCGGGCGTGCCGGTGGCGCAGGCCGTGAACTTGGCGCTGAGGCCGCGGAACACCTCCGCGTCCCCAATCTTCTTCAGGAACGACGGCGGTTCCACCTTCTGCATGCGACCGCTGGAAATGCACATCATTTAATATTAATTATTGAATTTGTTTAGACGTCTTATTTTTTCTTTATTAATATTATTGATTGTTTATTTTACCATCCAATCTCCCACATGTCATCTCCAGTCTACGTGACAACAGCAGTTTGAAGCCAATAACAAAAGAATTCAGAGATCACGCGCAGTGCACTGTTTCTTGATAGAAAACTTCAATTATTGTACCCGTGACTTGAACTTAGAATCTCTAGATTTTCAGCCATACTAGTCTAGTCAACAAGTTCAAAATAGAAAATAGAAATAAAGCTCCTAAAATATGTGCGATAGCTCATTCGATTCGGAATGACGTCTAGAAAAATGTTTTTAAGGGTTTATTAGCACATAAAAAACTGCGATTGTTATTAACAAAATAAGATAAAAAAATGTATTTAGTTTTTCGATAATGAAAATAATAATATTTAAGGAATTTTGAAGAAAGATCCTGAAAGAAGAGGAAATTTTCAATAAAAGTCATAACTCCCGGAACTCTATCTCTATTATTTGTCAAAAAAAATTACGTTGAAAATAGGGCTCCGCGAGGTCGTTACAGCATAGGTGCGCCGTCTAAAAAGCCGGTATATCGCCTAAATTATTTTTTTATAGTATTAAGTAACTATTTAAAATATGAATAAATTATAGTGTAATCGTCTAGATTTGAACGAAAAAAACCTCGGTGAAATTTTTTTTTATGTCGATTTTTCAAAAAGTTACACCATTATTAATTAACAATTTTCGTTCCAATCTCTGTTTCTATAAATTACGGCATAAATGTTTAAATAATTGGTCTATAAATTTTTCACGTCGTGGAGCTCTTTTTATTTAGGTACTTAATAAAGTTATGTAAAAAAATTAATTAAAGTTCATTATGTATTTTGTTAATTATATTTTTTTAAATTAACAAAAAATTAAATTTCCAAAAAAGGTTATAAAAAAGATTTTTTTTAGTAATATCTTATTATTGCTGTTTTTGCATGTAATGTAGATATTAATTAACATTGGAAAAAATTTTTACGTCATTTGTTAAGAAATCGTTTATAAACAAATAGACTATTTTAATATTTAAAAAAAATACCATCTTATTGAATAGGTGAAATAATGTTTTTTTTTAATTTTCTTTAATAATTGTTTTATTGTTTATAATCGTTTTTTTATATTTCAATTGCTTAAATAATTAGTTAAGAAATTATTTTATTCTAAAAAATCATCAACCATATATAACAAAATATAGAAAAAAATATTTTTGTACTTTTTTTACAACACTTTTAAATATTATATGATTATGAAATTACAGCCGTTACATAATTTGTTAAGTTATAAATTGTTATAACTTTTAAACTATGAGAGACACGGTAAAGGACATTCAAGACATTTTTGTAAAGGATTTATTTATCTTTGAAATGAATTCAAAATCGATTCTGTAACTATTGTTTAGCAGTTGTTACAAGCATTCGTTTATAAAATTTTTAGAATTCTTTCAAAATTCCTAAAATATCATTATTTTAGAAGTTATTAACGAAAAACTAAATACCTTTTTTATCTTATTTTGTTAATAGCAATCGCAATTTTTTATGTGCTAATAAACCCTTAAAAAACATTTTTCTAGACGTCATTCCGAATCGAATGAGCTATCGCACAGATTTTTAGGAGCTTTATTTCTATTTAACACGTTTTTGAACTTGTTGACTAGTCTATACACGGTAAGAAACTAGACGAACCCATATAAATTAAAATTAAAAAAATATTACCGATTAAAATTTAAAGCTCCCGTTTCTGTTTTAGCAAAAGCTAAACAAACACTTTTTGAACGAATCCACAACTTCTATTATGTTGCAGATGTCTATGAGCGATGAAAGCTACTTATCGTCATGTTGTTCGCTTACTCGTTTGTACTTTTAATATAAAAAAAACCTATTTAAGCACGTACATCTTATCGACCACTTCGAGCACGGCCTCGCACCGGTCCTGCCCCTCGCGGTTGCGGGCCAGGCAGCAGTAGCGGCCGGCGTCGGCGGGCGCCACGCCGCGCACGTACAGGCAGCAGGCGTCGCCGTCGCGCCGCACCGCGTACTTGTCGCCGGGCACCAGCGGCGCGCCGTCCTTGTGCCACGTCACGTCGGGCGACGGCACGCCGGTCACGCGGGCTGGGAACTTCGCGTCGAACGTTGGCAGCTGGTGGATATATTATATAGATATTAGATAGATAGATAATTTATTTTACACTATAAACAAACATACAAAAGACGAAATCAACAATAGATGATGCATAGAAGTCGGCCTTATCACTATAAACGACCTATTTCAGGACACCTTAGGGCTTAGGAGTAAAAAAACCCGCCAATCCGTCACTCCGTTTTGACGTGAAAGAAGAACAAACAAACACACTTTAATATTTATAATATTAGTATGAATTTACTTGTATTTACAAAAAAAAAGTACATCCCTTTGAAAAAATGTATCTTAGATACATAATACAAAGAATCTCAATGTAAGTTTATTGACTTAAAAACTAAATTGTTTCTCAATTTTTGGCCTATTTCAAAAAAACATCCCATTAAGCTCTTTCTCTTTTAATAATCGGCCAACCAGTATTATTTCTTAGCTGTGGTCGCAGCTACCATGACTGGTTTCTTGTGCCGATCAACCAATCGAGGAACTGAATTTGACGACACGTTTGGCTCAGTTTGTAGTGATCCTACTTGCTGTGCCAGCAATCGCGTGTTCGAGTACCGCTGGGAGCATTCATTTGTGTGATGAGTGCGAATGTTTGTACTCCAGACAGGGGTGTTTATATTTATAATATGTATGTATTTAAAGTTATATATGTGTAGTGTATCCACTATCTGGTATTCATTACACAGGCCTCGTAGGCCGTAGCTTACTATGGAACTAGATAGTACTGTGTGTTATTATCCGAACATAAAAAAAACTTCAGTTCTACCACGATCACATCATCACGTCTCACCTGCTGTAGGTCCGTGAACCTCTGCGTGAAGCGCGGAGGCTGGAACACCTTGCGCACATGCAGCGTGCCCTCGCTGCGGTCCTCGCCCAGCGGGTTCACCAGCGACACGCCGTACGTGCCTGCGTCCGACACTTCTAGCGGGTTGATCTCGAGGCCCACCTGTCGAGTCGTAGCAATGTGTTAGAAACATTCATGGAAAACATTCTAATTTAAAATTCTTTGTTCAATATTGGTATCAGAAACTTATTGACTGTACTAAAGACCAGCAGTTCGTAAAATACCTTAGCCTTGAAAAGATCTGCGGAGAAAAACTTATCGAGATTACTGTTTTTAACATATAAGCTGTAAAAATCTGAAGACGCTCATATTTTTCCTAAGTCGTGCTATCTTCTAGGAAGAAGGGAAATAATACCTTACGTATTAGAATATAATCAAAATCAAGTTTACAATACTGAGTTATGATAATGAAATATATTGTTAATTTCATCGATCAAAAAGTACTAGATACAAAATCCCATGCTAAAGTTTTCTTAAAACTGTTACTAATTGTGTTTAGGTAATTATTCTAGTTAAAATAAATATACAACAATGTAAATTGAACCTTAAATACAATGATTAAGATTGTTTTCACAAAAAAAAGCGCGCTTAAATGTTCAATTGAGCGCTCACTTAGTAAGGACATTCTTTATCGCTGATTGTGTATCTAGTAATTTTTTTTTCGATGGTTAATTCAGAATATAAGCTGTCGAACCTAAGTAATACATCAATCTGTTGTTACAGCGAAAATACTTTTTGTTTTTGTTACCGCAAGCATTGACTTACTACATATCAGTGTGATAGTATAATTATGTTTGAAACAATTATGTATAATTAATTATTTATGAGGTTCTCTTCAACTTGAAATATTTCAGAAAAATATAATCATTTTTTTAATATTTCACTGATTTTAACCAACCTCTTCTTATCTATTAGAACATATACTTACATATGTCATTACATCAACCGGTTCTTATTTAAATCCTCCTGTCTTACAACAAATTGAGGAACAGCCACCAACCTTTTTCCCGTCACAAGTGAGCAGCACCCTGTCGCTGGGCAGCAGGGGCTGGCCGTCCTTGGTCCAGGCGACCTGCGGCATGGGGTTGGCTGTGAAGGGCGCGCTGAGGGCTATAGGCTGCCCCTCCTCGCCCGTCACCTCGCGCAGGCCGTGCAGGAAGCGCGGACGCTCTTGTGGTGATGAGTCGTCTTCTCGACCTGGTGGGGTTGAGGTGGAGTTCATTAAATAATATTGTTAGTAATAATAAGAACTGCATCAGTGGTCTAGTGGCTTAGTTATTGAGTCTTTCTGTTAAGAAAGTTCCAGTAATAGCCCGGAGTCGAAAAATTGTCGGCGTGTCGGGCGCAGGCAGTTTCGCGTCGCTCCTGCCCTTCTTGGCTAGTCTCAGTGAAATTGGCCGCTGTGACCGAAGTCGGTCAGGAGGATATTATAATAATAATATATTGCTAACCAATTTCAAACACGGCGGCCTGATGGCGGGTCTCATTAATACTGCACAAATGTATGTATATAATTTAGGACTGCCAAAATAATAGGAACTTTAATTAGAAGAGAAAATTTAAAAATTGTATGTTACTTTGGTACCGCTCTTGTTTCTTTCAAATTATACATTGTATAATTTTTGTGGGCAGCTCACATCCATCCACTGCTCGCCACCCTTAGGTCATTTATCTATCGTACTGCAGGGCGTCCTAGTTATATCAATATATAATTAAACAGCAAAAACACTCACTAGCAACAGTAAGATCAGCCGAACTGCCGACCTCGCCCTTGTCGTTGGCCACGAGCACGCCGTATTTTCCCGCGTCGCTGGGCTTGGCGTCGCTCAGCAACAAAGCGTGGCTGCCGTCCGGCTGCGACACGAGACGGATGCGTTGCCCGTCTGGCACTATTTCTTTGCCATCATGGGTCCTGCACATTGGGTCAATCAAAAAAGTAGTTATAAAAAATTAACTAAACTCTTTACGTCGATTTTTTCCTTAGATATTTGACTTTCAATGAAAAAGGATGCTTTTCTTTTTTATCCTATCTTAACATTTTTTTCTGATTTTTTAACAAAACTATGACTAAATTTTGTAAATATCAACTTAAGTTTTTAAATTATATTTTTAACTAATAAATAAACAAGATTAAACTATGGATGAATTTTACTTCTTTCTGTAATTACCTTAAAAACAATTTTTTCAGAAAAAAATAATATTAAAATAATAAATATACCATTAAAAAAAATATAAAATAATAAATTGAACTCCAAAATCGATCAAATACTAATAAAATATCGATGAATTCGAAAAAATTATAACATAAACAGATTCTACGGCAAAACAATACAAAAATAGCGGTATACTTTACGAGTATTCCAATTTTTATTATTTATTCACTCTCACTCGTCAAATTGCAAAGTTGGAATGTTTACGGCGACATTGTATAAATAATAAGCACCAAATTAAAAACTTGAGATTCCATTTTTTTCTTTTTTTCCCGAAAAATACATTGGTGTAATCATCTAAAAATTTGATCAATAAAGTGCACTTCTTCAATGATAATTCAAAATAATGTCGTTTACAAAGTAAAAATTATCGATTTCTCCAATTTTTAAAATGTTTAAGGGTGTTTTTACAGGACGACCATACAATGTTTTTATTTCTTTAAAAAGTAGAGTTCAAGACAAAAAGAATGAGCCCTATCTGAAAATTGAATAAAAGAATTTTTAAACACTTTTATAGTCCACTTGAAGTTGGGGGTGATTTTCAGCCTCTCGAGACCATAAAACATACTTTTCTCGGAAATGGCTAAACTTTTCAATTTCAATTTTTTTAATTTATTATATGTATTTTGAAGATTATATTCCCTTAGTTTCATGAAAATCAAAAGATTATTTTATAAATTCAACATAAAAAACCAAGAAAAAAATTAAAAACAGAGTTTTTTTTCAAATATCTCGAAAACTTTGATGTTATTGTTAAAAGTGTTATTTATAAAAGTTGTAGAATTTTACTAGGCCTACAACTTTTGTATAAAATATTTTTCGATACAACGTCACAGTAAGCCGGAAATTGAAAAAAACTATTTTTCAATGTTTTGCGTCCCCCCATTTCTCGGGGGTAGCTGGACGTAAGGGTCATTTTATGAATTTCTATTTCTTATATACACGCTAACCTTTTAAAATCATAAAACTTCAGATTTTCGATATATTCTTTTCTATTAAAAATAAACTGATTCCGATTGGTCTAGATATTACTGTGTAAAGTTTTTGTTGAAATTATGTGTAATTTCTTAGATATTTGTACTTAATTATTAGAAGAAAAGACAGATAAAAAAGATCGTTTCACAATTTGCAAAGACATCAATTGTACGCACCATACAAAAAAAAACATATAAACACTTAAACACTCCGTCTATTTTCTGAGTAAGTCAAAAGTTTTAAAAAGGCCAAATTATATTCAGGGTTTACCATTTGATGGTAGGTGGTGGGTGGCCGAGCACTTTCACCTCCAACTTGACGGGGAAGCCTTCGATCACTTTAGCGGGCTGCAGCTCCGCGATGAATGCTGGTTTGCGTTCTTTCTGTCCCACCTGTCGTCAATTTATACATAGTTTTCAGTAATATTCCCTTCTTTAATATCTATTAAATTTATATCTTCATCTTTTTTACGATTCATTAATATAGTTAATGTATTTGCAAAGAATGAAAAAAATATATATATTTTAGCTTGCACCATGCTTTTTTCATTTACCAATTAGGAAAAAATCAGATCCTTAAGAAGAGGTAACGTTGATCATGTATGGTCACGGGCCTCCTTTTACTACCATAGTCCACCACGCTGGCCATGTGTGGGTTGGCGAACTTTACATTTCTTTTGAAAACTTGCGATTCCTTCTTTTCACGATGTTTTCCTTTACCATAAGATAAGTGATGATCATGTTGGAAATGATTCGCACATGAAAATATTAGGGGTTGCGAGACCTGGCGTTTAATTAATTTTTAATTTATTCATTCATTATTAATTTCATTGGGCTACCACTGCCCAATACAAGTATAATTATATAAATTTCAATGATGACCACAATACTAAACGTACCATTATCAGCTTACTTAAAATTAATATCGTATCAGAAGACGACAATTTAGTCTCAGTATGTATTGTCCCTACTTGCTGTGCGTTCGCGGGTTTGAGTCCTGCTGGGGGCATTCATTTGTGTGATGAGCACGAATGCTTGTACTTCAGTCATGGGTATTTATATTCGTAATATGTATGTATTTAAAGTTACATATGTGTAGTGTATCAACTATCTGGTAATCATAATAAAAGCCTCGTAGCAAGCTATGGAACTAGAGGGTGCTGTGTGTTATTATGTCTCAAGAATCAACGAGCCCCACCTCGACGGTGGCCTTGCAGGCGACCTCCCCGAGGCGGTTGGCGACGGTGAGCGAGTACACGCCGGCGTCCTCCGCGCGCGCGCCCTCCACGCTCAGCCCCACAACGCCGCCCGGCTGGTTCACAAAGCTCACCGCTTGGCTCGGCCGTATCGGGGCTCCTGTGCGGGGTACATGATTGTAAACAAGAACAAGTATTATGAATAGAAAAAACGTGTGTTGCTCACATATTTTTTTCCAAACGTCCCAAAAGAAGTATATAACTTCAAAAAAATCCTTATCGGATTTAATATTTGTGTGTTCGTTTGTGTGTATATTTTTATTTTTTCACGCTAAACTCCACCAATCAAATTCGTCCGTCCAGCCGCTTCACAACAAGGTAACAAATTATTTCAGTGTGTGTGTACACAGATACAAAATTTTGCATTTATAATAATAGATCAACTATAATTCATTCAAAGTTTTCAAATCCTACGTAAAAGTTCCTTTACGATAATTTTACCATAACATTTGTGTATCCCTTTCGTTCGCCCCAAAATTTTCAGATATTTTAAAGTTTTTTTTATCGATTATACACATATTTGTATATAAACAATATTCTATGTTCTCCAGTGACTTACCATCCTTAAACCACTTGACTTCTGGCGCCGGGAAGGCCATGACCCTGGCCTGCAGCAGCACCGGCTGCCCCACCACAACCTTCACGTCCTCCAACTCCTGGGTGAATGACGGCTTGCGGGGTGTCGCTAGTATTAAATGTTAAATATGTGTAAAAATAGTAAGTTCTTTTGAAATAAATGGAAGGTTTATTTAAATCTTCGAAAAAAAACCCACCATAAACGAAAAAAAGTCCGAAATCTAATCAAATTAGAGCGTATGAATTCAAGGTTCAGTTAAAATTATATAGATTAAAAAAATAACAAAATACATGACACCTGCAATATTTGAAAAAAAAACTCATTACAAGACTTGGTCCTTCGAGACCTATAAAAGCATAAATAAATAATACTTTCTTAGATTTATGCGAATATTTGACATTTGAAATAAAACTATTTTTTCTCGAATTTATTTTGATTCCCGACATTTTAAATGCTTTCATGGTCAGGGGAGAGATCCTTGATAGTTCATTTGAAAGTCTATACAAATTCTACTTCCAAAGTGAACATACGGTTAACAGCCACAGCGCATAACGCCATGTGCTCCCCGCTGGGGTTGGTGATGACGAGCTTGTACGCGCCGCAGTCGGCCGGCGTCACGCGGGCGATGCTCAGCCGCACCGTGCCGTCGGGCAGCGCGCTTTGCTTTACGCGGGCGTCATCAGGGGATAGTTCCACACCGTCTTTGAGCCTGAGGGATGATATATTATCCCCAGTTATTTTATTTGTATGAGTCGTAAATGATTTAGGTAGCCTATTTTATTGTTTTGATCTAGAACCACAATTAAAATGTCAGTCTGTGATTATAATCACTATTTTCATATAATTATCCTGTGTTGACCTTATCATGCATATAAAATGAAACTATAATTAACCACTCATAATTTTTGTACAATAATTTAATTCTTCAGAACTAAAATTTTATCAACATTAGAGTTAGCTAGTAACATAAAATAGTTTTTTTTTTACGACAAAAATACGGAATCCTGCAATATTGTTAACAAAATTTGATATGAAAGTATGCATCCATATCATATATGTACTATAAGTAAAGCAAAGAAAATAGTTTACCATTTAGCAGTGGGTATGGGGCTGCCATCGACCTTCGCCTTCAGTTCGAGGGGCTCTCCCTCGTCCACTTCCTTCTGGCGGTCTAGTTTGTGCGAGAATCCTGGTGGTATCTGTGCGAGGGTGATCATCGCTTCACATTCCGCTTCTCCTGACACGCTGAATGCTCGTACGGTGTACTGTGAGGAGGGAGAGTTTATTTCATATTAAAAGGTTTTCTTATATCATTTACTATCTCATATTTTTATATCGGTTACGCATTAGAGGATTACCCATAAATCTAGATTTATGATCATAAATAATAGTGAAACTAGCGTCAGTTGTGAAATGACCATACAAAAGAAAAAAGAGAGAGATAAACAAAAGGAGAGGAAAAATAAAACAATAGATAGGCAGTTAGAGGGACTGCCGGCAGAAATGAAAACTTATAACGTTGGAATAACTGTTTTTTTATTATTAAACTAGCGACTCACCCTCGCTTCGCTCGGGTTCATCCCTAGGTAATTTTTTTTTGAAAGGAACCATAATTCTTTTTCTAAAATAAAAGTATCATATATTACTCTCTATAACATCAGCTATCTTCCAGTGAAAGTCTCGTCACTATCAGTCCAGCCGTTTCAGAGATTATCCGGAACGAAGAGACAGACAGACAGACAAAAATTAAAAAAATGTGTTTTTCTTATAAGTACTATTTCTTATAAGTATTTTGAAATTACAAACAGATTTCAATTTTATTTATCTGCATAGGTTAATTTTAGTATGAATAATTAAAATTTCATATTTTGTGAGTTTGAAATATTATTAGTCTGGTTTTACATTTATGTGCATTGTGCACTCAAGAGCAATAAATATATACATTTTAATATAGTTTACTTATTAATTAAAACATATGACGCTGCGCGTCGCCAGTCTGCGCCGGACTGCGTCGACACGTCACATGTCACACGTAGCATGTCGGTGACGCGAACCCATAAGTTTTGCTTCTACCAAAAATCGCAAAAGAAGTTTCCACTTTAAAAAAAAACTCACCTTCCCAGCATCACTGGCACCGAAGTGCTTGATCTCCAGTTCGCTGTCGACCTGGCCGCCTATCTCGGTAGCAACGGCATGCCTCTCGTCACCAGCCACTTCTTTCCCGTTCAGGTACCACGTGACCTGCGGCTTGGGCACGCCGTCACAGCGCACGCGCAGCGTCACGTCGTCGTAATCCTTCACTATCTGTTTCTGGAGCGGACGCACGAACGCTGGCTTGTCGGCTGGGGAGGTTATCATTATGTATTGTGAGTGTATAAGACACATAGGGTTGTACCAAGCGGTAGATAGATATTTATATGTATATCATGTTGTTAATAAACTCATTCATTCGAATGAGTTTTGAGTCTACGTAAACCACCGGCAGCTAGCTCACGTGTCCTTCAATTCTTCCTATTTTAAGTTACCTATGTACTAGTAATTACAGTTTGTTACAAATATAATAAATTCTTTCTTATGTTGTGTTTGACTTATTGAATAATACTAAATAATAAGGACTTTGTGGACATTCTTTTGTAGGAGTTGCTTTAAAGGAGACAAGTCATGTAAAATATAATGAACAATATTTACATGTCATCATCATTTTGTGATTCTATAAATTAATAATCATATGTGAAGTGAATCAATCATATCTGAACAATTTCACAGAGATTTTTTATATTTTAAGGCATAAAATAGAATGTGTTGCATCATTAAAAAAACTATAAACATTTTTAAGCCAAGCCTTCAAGGTCTAGTCTTACTCAAAACCATTTGTTTCACTACTAAAAAGGTCTCTATGTGGCGTTCCAAAAAAACCAAACTAACTATGAACATTAAGTTTCGCTTGCTGTACGGTCTCTCCCAGCTCGTTCTTAGCGGTGACGGAGTACACGCCGGCGTCCTCGATGGTGACGCTCTTCACCACCAGGCTGAAGGTCTCCGCGGAGCGGTCCTCGATGATCTCGAGGCGGTCAGATGGCACAATCACGTAGCCGTCTTTACTCCTGGAAATAGTATACACTCTACTATGTAGTATACACTCGTATAATAGTGAACTTTACATTTTTTTTTCTATACCTACATCTAAAGATATATCATAATTTGGTGTATCGTAATTTATAATTTTTTTCAACCGACTTCAAAAAAAGGAGGAGATTCTCAATTCGGTTGTATTTTTGTTGTAATAAAAATAATACCTGTACCTTTTTCTTAGTTTATAGTGTTAGAAAAAAACAATTCCTTTACCATTTAACCTCCGCAATGGGGTTGGCCCTGATCTTCGTGATGAAAGTGGTTTCCTCGAAGGGCACAGTCGTGATGTCCTTCAACGGCTCCACCTCAGGACGCAGCAGAATGTCGAGTCGAGCTGAGCTCTCGCCAATACCGTACTTGTTCTTAGCTTGGACCGTGTATATACCTGTGTCGGCGTGACGACCTGAAAGAAGGAAGTATTGTAGATTGTGCCTAAAAGACGCCTATTTCTTAAACCAGGCCGTAGACTATCTGTGAATTTTATACAAATCATCCAGCCATTTCAGCGTGTAGGAATAACAAACGTACAAACTCGCTTTTATATATACTCGCATAATAGTCCGATGTATGAAAAGTTGTAATAGCAATGAAGAATTGAGATCAAGGATATAATTTTCTTTCCTTAGAAATATTAATATTTTTAGGACCAACTTGCTATTTATTGCAAGACCGCTACTTGCTTAGCTTTAAAAAATGTTAATGTGTATGATAAAGTAAAAAATTTTTTTTTAGGTTTTTAGCTAACTAGTTTTAACAAATTTTCTACTTTACCAAAAATGGTAGGTGTAGTTAAATTCAGAATAATATCTGTAGCCAAATTGTCATATATCTATAACTTACCAGTAGGTATATGCAAAGTGAAGGTGCACTCCTTGATGTCATGCTCCAGGTCCTTGGACTCCACGTCGGTGACGAGGGTGGCGTCTGGGACCAACTCCTTGCCGTTGAGGAGCCAGGCGACGTGTGGGAGCGGGTCGGCTGTGCACACTGCCTTCAGAGTCACAGGTTCACGCTGCATCACCCGAGTTGCTTCGAGAGGCGATGTGAAGATTGGTTTGCGGAATTCGGCCACCGCTGTTGGAGGGTTGACAGAAGCTTATTTCAAAGTTACAGTTTATTATGTATGTCTCATAATTGTAATGCGTTCCTATACTATTTATCCGGTTATACTAAAACTTTTCAAAATTGTTACATGTACATTTTCATGTATGATGAGTGCAAACCGTAGATAATTTGAGATTATAGAAAACGTACAAGTATTGATTTAGAACGATATAAATACAAAATTCGTGACAAACACTTACGAGAAACTGACAATTCAGCTTGTAAGGTCTCTTTGCCAAGGTTGTTCACGACTTCGCACTGCCATTTGCCGACGTCCTTCAACTCAACTGAATCTATTTTCAGTTTGAACAGATCGCCTTCATTGCTGAGATGTACTCTGTCGTCGGCCTTCACCTCCTGACCGTCATGGAGCCAACGAACAGTTGGTTTGGGAGTTCCAGAAGCTTCTACTGTGTATACTAGTGGTAAAGATTCATACGTATGCCCATCCTTCATGTTGCTCTCTTTCATTTTGGGGGGTGCTGTAAATTTGTAAGGTAGCTGTCAGTTTCTTGCTTAAATCGAGTTTTGTTAAGTTTCTAATATCATATAACATAATAATTATTTAAATTAAAATAAGGGTAAGGAGAATATTAATATTTAAAGGAGGACTTTTTTTGTGAGCAGGGATTTAAAAAAATATAATAGTTATTTAATAAGAATTAATATATATGGTAAAATTACCAAATATAGATATTGATCGACATTTAATATTTAGACATATAGGAAACTTTTTACATATAAAGATGTTCCTATCAAAGAAACCAATAAAACAATACGCAGTAGCTTACAACGAAACATCGAAGCTGTTTGAAACAATAAAATATTTACATGTTGACATTGGCGATATATACAGCAGTTATTGTAGCTGAAAAAAAATTGACTTACCCACGTGTACAAACGAGAAGTGTAAAATATTGTGTATTGTGTTCTGTTTGGATGTATATAATACGTACCTTTAAGTTGTTTAATTGTCTGGGATTTCACAATAAAAAAACCATACAAAAGCGTAAATGCCATGCACGTACAACAACATTTAATATATAGAAATTACCTTGAAAAGTAGCTGTTGCTTTTTAACATCTCCAACGAAGTGGGACCCAAGTATTAGTATGCCAGAAGGGAATGTTATTACGCATGCGCGCTAAAACAGACATACGATAGAACATTAGTATAGTATCAGTGGAAAATTGCCGATACATAGAAAAATCTGATATTTTCTCACAATTCTAACAGAGATAATAGAACATATTAAGAGAATAATATAAGAAAAATTATAAGAAAATAATAAAGAAAATACCAGATCAAGTTAGACATCTACAGCAGCAATATAGATATTGATAAAGCGACATGGAAAAGATGTTAATTTTCCCGATCAACACAGCGTAGCGTTACTTTGGTCATTCTCTCAGCCGCGCGCGTCAATGTTTCCTTCATATAAACTTTATTGACTTGACTATTACCTTTTTCATCTTCCTCATTTAGTATATCGTCTAATATGCTCCTTTGTCTCTGGCTTCGTCTCAACAGTTCGTCTATGTCCCCATCCTCCTCTTCCACGCTGAACAAGCCAGTACTTGTTTTTTTCTTTCTTTCCACTGTTGTCTCTGCTATATCTTTAGTTATATTATCGACATTTTTCGTTGGGCCCAAAACTAGTTCTTCTATGATTCGATTTTTGACATCGCGTATTTTATTTTCTACGTTTTTAAATTCGTCATCGTCAAACTCCTTCGATATGTGTATAAGCTTTTCCGTAATATCGTTCTCGAAAATTTTTTGGCTTTTTTCTTTCAGAATAACAGATTCCTCGTCACCTTTGTGAGTGAAATAGTCTTCTTTGAAAGAAGACTGACGAACGTACGAGTCTTTGCTGAAGACCTTTTTGGTTTCGTCTATGTCAAAGATAGATTTGGAAAGGTCTTCTATAGATATTTCGCGCGAAAGGGACTCGTTGTGCCAACTCATGTCATCTTCTGACATTGACATGATAGACATCGTTCTATTGCCGATGGGTCTCCCGTGTCTCGAGTTGGTCTCGGCGTCAGAATCTGTTTGGGGCTCCTCAATTATACCATAAGTACCTCTCCTCACGTGATCAGGTATAGTGTAATATCCCATCTCAGATAAATAGTAACTGTGACTAGCTATTTCTTCAACTTCTAATGAAGTTGTATGCGGTTTTTTCGGTTTAAGAATCTTTTTTTCACATTCATCATCCTCATCATAATATACGGCACTTGAAGTCATTTTGTGTATAGTGCGCGTTTCGGCTGGACCTACCAGTTAAAATATTATTATATCGAAATTCGAAAGATATTTTTGTTTTAGGTTATATCCATGCAATGGTTATGCATTAGAATTTAAGGTTTATCGATATAGCAATTGATGTGATATACGTGTACAGAAAGTTATAAATTATACGTCTAGTGAGGTTATAAACTGGGAAGGTAGGTAGAAGCGTTCGATACTGACCTGTGACGATAGCACCGTGAGACCGAGTGCTGCTTACTTTAGACACAATAATCGAGCCATCCTCGCCGGACTTGAACGTTGTTACCGTTTGGAATACTCGGCCTAAACATAACAAATCACACTGGATGTTAAAAGAACACAATAGCATGCGACACTATGTAAGATGTGAGTGCTACAAGCTGTTTGCTGGTCGAGGAGAAGCTCAAAGCGCATTTTTTACCTTCACTTTCAGCACTCAATGGTTCTTCTAATGATTGTTTTTTAACAGACTTGCGTTTTGGAGATTTTAGGGATTCGTCGATGGGCACTTCTTCTATCACCTCTGGTTTAGTAACTTCTTTTTCCCCCTTTTGTGATTTAGTTTGAACCTCTTCAATTACGGGTTTCTTTGGTTGCTCATTATGGTTTTCGTCCCAAGACTTGGTTTCGATTTCTTCTGGTTCTGTTAAGGACTTCTTCGCTTTTCTTGGAGCAGCTTCGACCTCATCAACTTTGACAGGTTTAACTTTTCCATCGTCGTCAACGTCATCCCAAAAGGACTTTTCTTCAATAACCTCAGGTTCAGTCACTGATTTCTTAGACTCAACCGGCGCGGGCTTCTCTACTTCTTCAGACGACACAGCTTTGGGTTGTGCATCTAACTCATCTACTACAGATTTTTCTACAACTTCTTCCGCTACAGTTTTACCTTTTTTCGCAGACTTCTTTACTTTAGTATCATCTATATCATCTACTAAATGTTGCTTCGCCTTAGTATCTTCGTCAATCTCATTTTCAACCATACTTTCCCTTGTGAATCTCGAATGAACTTCTTTAGCTATTGAACACAATGAAACATGGTAACAATAGAATGTGGATTAATGACATCACAAGGTAAAGTGCAAGGAAAGTATCAGTGCAAGTTATCACACGAGCATTCATGTCTACGGAATGCTTCGATGGATTAAATCTATTCTAATTGTACCCGTTAAGAGGGCCATAATAACGTGCATCTACTGTCAAACTACGTCATTACTGTACCTATGGAGCGGGGCTCTATCCACAGTCGGATGTGTTTGAGTCTGTATACATTACCGAACTGTTGGTGTGTATGTGTGTTATGTACGCCGGAACTGTGACGCTATGCCATCACGTTAACTTACTAACTGTATATATTTATATTTTGATAAACATAGATTTTCTAATCTAACATCTAAGCCACTACATATATCTATAAGCACTACTAAAATTTCAATGAGACTACCATTTAGTTAAAAATTGAATAATTAACTTACATTAATTCTATTATACTTTAAGATACAGACTACAAAAAAACATATTTTTTTAATTTCTTAGATTAATTTTTATTACTTTATATATTTAACTAATACATTTGCTAATTTTGCGATAAGATACATTCTATATAAGAAATACTTACTATGCACAATGACGGTGCTCTTTGACGACACACTACCCATCTCGTTCTCTGCCTTTACCTCGTATTCTCCACCATCTTCTTCCTTCACCAACGTTACTGTTAGATGATAATTTTCCAGCCTAGAGAATTGAATGATTGAATGTTTACTATATTTAGTATATTAATTATCCCATTATGTATTACCGGTAATAAAAATCTAATAAATATTTTTTATATCCTTTTCATATAAATAAAACAACGTATCTTTAGTGGCTCTTATTAACAGGTCGCAAAACAAAATTGACACTATGGATTTTGTTTAAATTGTTTATAAAAGCAAACTAAAAACATTCACGGACGATAAAGTTATTAAAATTGTGACTGTTACTTAAGTAGTACTGTCGATTTTTCCAGGTTCCGAAAATCCTCTAGGAAAATATTCGAACATTGATAGACCAATTTTTGAATAAAACTATCTTTTCGGATTATTTCGCGGATTTATTTTGAGTTTTGGTTCCCGACGTTTCGAATGCTTTACAGCAATCATGGTCACGGGAGAGACACTCCTGAAATAATCCAAAAAGATAGTTTTATTTAAAATGTCAAATATGCGCGTAAATACAAAAAAGTATTATTGACAGATCAATGTAAATACGTAGCAGTAATATATAATCTGATATTAACCTCTGAGTGTCCCTTTCAATTTTGATCCTCGCATCAGTGCTGACCTCTTTGCCGTCCTTGTACCACTTGACCCTGGGCTCTGGACAGCCTTCCACCTCCACTTCCAGCTTGAGGGTCTGCCCCGCGTCCACTGTCATGTCCACCAGGGACTTGGTTATGCGGGGTTTTCCTGAAGAAATTAAATATTGATTAGATGTAGTATTTTGATAGTATGCATTCAGCAGTTATTAACGTCATACTGCTGAGAACGGGCCTCCCTTCAATGCGAGGGATTCAGGGATCAGGTCATATTACACCACGCTGGCCAAGTGTGGGTTGGCGGATATCAGATGACTTTCGAAAACTTGCTAGGTTTTCTCAGACATGCAGGTTTCCTAACGATGTTTTCCTTCACCTTATTTTATGATAATAAGATAGGACGATATTTAAGTAAATTCATTTCTAATCAAACACACACAGTATTAGTTTATATTTATAACATGTCATTATAAATTTTCTACGTCATTATAAATCAGAAGCAAGAAAAAAAAATCAAGTAACATTTCACGGGATTGAAATATGGTGAATTGAGTGTATAGTAAATAAAAGTATTCCCGACACAATATTTTTGTCAATAGCACATTATAGGTAAAAAAATCCACAAACTCACTATTAACAGTGAAGGTAGCTTCACAGGAGTCCTCTCCCAGATCGTTGGTCACCTTGCAGGAGTACTTGCCCGAGAGCTCGGCGGTCACCTCTTTCAATATCAACTTGTGGCTACTGCCGTTGTCTACCCGAGTATATATCGACTTCTTCTCTGTTATTTCCACGTCTCCTAAATACCTGTTTTAAATGCACATTCTAGTTTTATATTGAGTATGGAATAGGTTTTTCTTTCAAATTTCTTTTTTTCATTAATTTTCCTATGTTTTAATAGGTATTTTGCTATCAATATACGGGATGAAGACAAATCCAACAAAACAAGATCATAAAAATCAGTCCAGCAGTTCTCAAGTTATATATAAGATTATAGTCTTGTAAAAAACCTGTATATAGATTATTGAAAACAATTGTTGTTTGAACGAATTACATGTTTATACATTTTGTTTTACGATATGGGTTATTTTATTTGTTTTCAAGTTTATCCAAAGTACATTTAATTTACAGAAGTAATTACGAGTATACTACCACTGCAGAATAAATAAAAATATTGACCGACCGACCTCGGCGGCTAATCTTACATACTAAAGCGCCGAGACGGGTATTACAACTATAATAAAAAAAACCATACAATCCATAGATACCAAATTCAAAGGTAGTCGAAAATACTAACATCCTTGCCGAACGGTTTCGTAAAACGCTATAGTGCCATTTCGTGGCAAATTACAATTATATTCGTCAACCCCAAATTCGTTTCTAGACTGTCATATAAAAGTTATTAAAACTTTGTCAGTAGCATCTTTTCCGCGTCTCCGCATTCCCCACACATTTCTCTGTCTAGGGTGCATTTTAAATAAATATAAATAGTTATTACAAGTATACTGAAAAACTTATGCTATTGCAGATTTTTGCATGTCAATCCCTTGATCTGTGAAACACAAACACAAATCTATTACACGGAAACCATACATTTTCCGGGATAAAAGTAACCTATGTGCTATTCCAGACTATAATCTATCTCTGTGCCAAATTTTATTCAGATCCGTTCAGCCGTTCTGGAGTGATTGAGTAGAAAACATCCATCCATCCAAACTTTCACATTGATAATAATGTTAATGGGATCATAGGGTTAGAGTGTGTAACATTCCATTACCATTTGACACTGGGCAGGGGGTAGGCGTCCACGTCAATGGTGAACTCTACGTTGACGTCGCCCTCCGCGGCGGTGGTGTCGCGCAGGCGGCGCGTGAGCGAGGGCGCGCGCCGCACGTGCAGCGCGCACGCGTCGCCGCTGCTGCCGTGCACGTTGCGGATCTGTAGATAGAACAGGAACAGTCATTATTTAGGCTTAGGGCACCCGTCACTTTTTCTCAATTTAACAAAAAATATAAGCCCAAATAATGACTATTATTTGGGCTTATACACATCTAACTTTGAATCGGTTTTCTAATTCTTAATTTAACAAAATATGTAATTGGATATTTCCCGAAATTTTAATGATGTTGTGCACGTTGTGGATCTATGGGTAGAAGGCAAATTTTGGACTAATGTTCTCCTTTTGAAAAGATTTTCTGAATTCTTAATTTAAGAAAAGAGATACTCCATTTGGGTATTTCCCTAATTTTCATTACTGCGTTTTGCTCGGGATGGGAGGTTTACCTTATTTGGATTGGATTGGACCCTCAATGTTGAAGGGATTTTCATTATTCTTTTTTAACAAATATACTAGTGACTCATCCTTGCTTCGTTGGAGAGACTATGTGTTTCTCCAGGTCATTGTCTATCTGTGTAGTAAATTTTATCGAAATTCGTTCAGCCATTACAACGTAAAAGAATAACAAACATACACAAACACTCATACATACATATAAACAAACTTTTACATTATAATAGTAGCCAGATATATCTTAATAGTGAACCTATATAAATATCAACAAAAATATCCGCACTAGATACGATATGTATGAGAGAAAACGGGTGGAAAAGTGCATTTTGAACTGATTTTGAAGTCAATATATCAAAACAGTTAAACAATTTTAATCCGAAAATGATAACAGCTTGCGTTTTCTTCAGTTTCTTAATGTAGTATAATAAATATATAACACTATTAATACACATAATGAGAACTAGCCAAAATTTAAATCATCCTCCAAGTAAGTCAGTCAATCGGTAAATATATCCTAATGTACAAAAAGATTAGAATAATTTCCTGTTTTAGAGTCAGCTAGTCATGAAATGATAATAAATGAATGATGATGATGAATGATTAACAGCTATATTACCTCACAAGAGTACTCCCCGGAGTCCGCTCGCGCCGCTGACGTAATCACCAGCTTGTGCGCTTCACCTGTAGATGAGATCTTCACTGTCGATGACTCTTTTAGTTCCACCTTGTCCTTGTACCTTTGGTTAATAAAAGTTCTGTTAATTAAATGAATTATTTGAAAAATAAACAGTTTTCATAGTGTTTTTCCCAATTCATTAAAATAAGTATGACGATACAATATACAAGACAAAGTAGTAAAGATGAGTTATATTTTGTATCTTAAATCTTGTATTTCTAAAACATATTAGATATGAAATAATTCATCAATTATTCGTAATTCACAATAACATAAAATAATATTTTTTAATTAATAAAATCTATGTATCTATTTCAAGGCAAAGGAGAGATATTAATGGCCTTAAATATATTATTTTTAAATAAAAATATTTTTTAGCTTTTTATAGCTTTTTATCGAGTGATTGGTTAATTATCGATATTTTATTAACAAGCTAAGTAAATTTATTTTGACAAAATTTATGGCATATATAAATAAATTGTTTTTTTTTTCGTCCAACCCATGGGTCAGACCCATCCCCCTTAACGTGCGTTCACCTTATCGTGGTGGGGGGGCTCAGTAGTGCCCGGCAATCCAGCCGGTCGCGCAGCCAAGAAACGCACAGGGAGTTGGCCCACTTCGGTGGGCGGCGTACCATGTGGGTTGCTCCTGGTACTTCTCTGATAGCAGAGTGGACCTTGGCGCAACCCCGTGGTTGTTGTGGTCTGCTTCGGCAGACCTGCCGTCGGGGCGTCGTAGCTGAATGCGTAAGCGATCCTGCGACGCCCCATTAAGACGGGGGAAGGTTTTTTTGGGTTTTAGTGGGTAGTACTGGCTTTATGCCGGTGAGTCCCACATCTCGTGCATAAATGCATTTCCCAACTTTAAAAAAAATGAGTCAGACCCATAAGACTATCTATCCTATTCCAACATACCAAGTGACAGTGGGCGCGGGCTCCGACTCGGTGACCACCTCGAAGGTGACGGCGTCCTTCTCCGCGCACTCGCGGTCCCCGCCCAGCTTCTTCACGATCTTGGGTGGAGACGTCACGTGCCACTGCCAGAAGTCCGAGCATTGGTTTACTTCATTCCTGGAAGATGGTCCATCACAAATCAATATATGTACAGACAGTTATTGCTTTATTTTTTTGTTCTTTACAAAATTACTTATTTTAATTAATTACTAAATTTTGAAATTCGAAGTAATCCTAATTATCATTATTTATTAGATAGCTTGGACAATTAATTTCGTACTAAATTTTTTTCAGTGCATAATTTCTGTCCCTATATAGATCCTAGAGGATCCGCTCGCTTTGCTCAAATTCCCATTGAAATGAAATGAAAATGCCAAGAAATACTGCTGCGTCCAGGGCCTGTTCCAAATGAGACGTCTCCTCAGAGGTCAAAAGCATTTTTTTTCTTTTTAGCGCTTTAAAATAAAACTTTAGTTAACTTTATTTTACTGGTAATTTATTTAATAATAAAACCTTAACGTACTTGGCAACAACAGAATACGATCCAGTGTCAGTCAGCTTGGTATCTTTGATGATGATCTTGTACACTTCCTCTGACTCCTTCTTGATGATGATCCTCTCCGAAGATTTGATCTCGACGCCATCTTTGTAGAAAGTGAGGTCGGGAGATGGAGTGCCTTCCACTTCTATGGTCACTTCATGAGTGGAGCCCGCCTATAGAGGAAGAAAGGAAATTTTATAATAATGTTAGATTATTCATTGATTTTAAAAAATAATAATACGTTATTAATGTTATAGGATATTAATGTCTTCCTGTTCATATCGGTCACAAGGCGGCCTACCTCACTAAAACCGGCATCTATATGTATAGCACAACATGCGTTTTCTAGTTCTTAACTCTCAATTTCAGTAGAACCACAATTCGACACAACCGAAGTGTACAGACGCAGGAGCAATACGATAAGCACTACTTCGACAGAGGGTGTAATATATACAACTTGCCAACAACTCGTCACTAGTGAGAATTTCTTGACAGAAAAACTGAAATAACTATCAAAGCCACCCAACTCGGGACTCAAACCTAAGACCACCAAACCAAGCTAGGAATTACAATTCACTCTGTTCCACTCCCATAGTTTAAAACCAACAAAACCTACCATACAAGTTTGATTCTCAATCTTCCGCTTAATCTTTGGCGGCGCTTTGACCACGAGGTTGATGACCGTGGTGTCTTCGCCGAGGTCGTTAGAGGCGGTCACGTGGTACTCGCCCGCGTCAGCCGCCGACACGTTCTTGATGACCAACGACATGTTCTCGTCATCCTCGTGCAGGAATCTGGTGGAAGATGATGAGTAGGCGAGAGGGTTATTGGTTTGTTGAGAGAAATGAATGTTAAATTATATATTATTACCCTTAGTTTTAATTAAATAATAACTAGTAAATATCTGATATGTCTATTATAATATTTGGGATTACTAAGTAAAAAAAATAATTATCAGTGCTATATAATTATTATTAATGAATTATCCTCTTTTGGCTCGGGTGCATTCCCTATGCGCCTACGTAATCGATTTTATAAAAGTTCATTATATCTCTATATTAAATTTCAGCCAAAGACCACTAATTTCAGTGCAATCAAGTTACAATACACATACAAACTTCCAGATTCATACTACAACTTCATTTGATTAAAAAAAATCTCAGCCAATAAATAAATAAAGCATATAAATCCTTGCCAGTATTGATTGCTCAACTTAGATGCAGGTTAGAGTATAATAGATCTTTTTATGAGGGATAACTTCGTAATATGTACATTGTTTTCATATAAGTCTACTGGTTTAAGTGGCGTACGCCAGTAAAGCTCCTAGTCGGCATGATTTTTTTCCAACATCTTTAACAATCATCGTTATATTTTTGCCAATTTATACAAAACCTTAACATATCATAGACCTAAACCTTTCCCATAAATCTCATTCCATCTATTTCTGAAAAACCATATGAATATCCGTTACGTAGTTAATGAGTTTATCGCGGTCAAACAGACAGACGCGGCGGGGGACTTTGTTTTATAATATATAGTGATAAAAACTCACTTATGCCTAGTATCAGCCTCCACCACCTTCCCATCGTGTTTGAACACCACATTAGGTTTCGGGTACCCTTTGCAGACCAGCTCCAGCATGGCGGACCCGCCGCTGGACACGATCGCTTCGCGGTGCTCGATCACCAGCTCTGGTTTTTGGGGCTCACGGTGTAAGATGTTTACGGCACCTGAAATATTTTAGTTTTACTTGTAATATATATGAATATAATATGAAATCGGTGAATTATATTGGGAAGTTTGAAAATTGGTATAGGTACAATTGATTTTAATAATTTTTTTCTTAGCTGTGATTTAAGGTATCAAACTAATGCTAATTATTATTCATTAAAATTTCGTTAGTAAAGATCACTTTTACGATCAAGATTTTATGGCTTTGTCTAAACTGTTGTAATATTAAAATTATCAATTGTTAATTTAGAAATTCCTAATTTTTAGAATTAATTTCATCAAAAATCTTACCTTGTACAGTAAGTTCAGCAGAACAAGAGATATTCCCTGTGCTGGTTTTAGCCACGCAGGTATATAGCCCGGCATCTTCTGGCTTCACGTGCTGGAACACCAGAGCCAGGGAATCTTCATCGTCACCGAGTAGCACCTGGAAATTTATAGATATGAATAATATGCAGTGAAGTATACAATGCTGATGGAAAGAAAAAAAACTTGAGGCAGTTCTAGGTAATTTGTTATGTGTTAGGCATATAATATTTATAATACTATTTAATACATATAATTTAAAAACATAACATGGCCAATGAGTGATTAGGACATCCAGTCTAGTATGGTGAAAAGTCAATGAAACCTCTTTCACAATATGTCCTCGGTAACATCTCCAAGATCACGGTTCTTTAACTAAAGAGGCCGAGGCAAAGATTTATATATGTATATTATATCCAAACAAAGAATTACTCTCAAGGTGAAATCAAAATCGAAGGATTCCTTCCAAATGTTGAATAAAAAAATATATTAATAATATATCCGCCTCCAATTCGTTTGAACTCTAACTGTACGCAGAGCGTCTTTAAGCATCTTATTTTCTTAGAAATAAAAAAAATCTAAAGTAATGTGTCATTCTCATCATTATCTCAGAATGTTAAATTGTACAATAAAAAAGAATGAAATTTGCAAGATGCAAATTGCCCGAGTCCTTTCGCCGTGAAAACCAAGCAGAGAGACATTTTGGTGAATACATTTTATAATATAGATGAAGTAAATAGGTAATGTATAATACAATATATCAATTGTTACACATTGCCCGGCCTCAGCTGGCTGTGTGTATGCCAGCGCCGCGTGCCCGGGACGCGCAGTTACACAACTTACGCGCTCGAGTATAGATTATAAAAAATGTTTTAAACACATTAACCAAAGGTCGATATAACATTATTTTTTTAAGATTTGTTATCTATGTCTGTTTGTGTTAACGCAGTTGCTGTAAACATTATGGCAATTTGATAGGTGCACGTCATAAGCACGTCATTTGCCGTTCATCTTTAAAAGGTACGTTCAGAATTTACGATATGTTTTCGCTTGGAATATGGGCAATTAACTGTTTTATAGTTATGATAGTTTTATGTGAATGTTGGTGTTGTAATGACCTTTCGTGTGTTTATTTGATGTCTTGCGGTGTGTGTGGGTTGTAACTGACCTTGAACCTCTCCTCAGGGTCGAAGTTCTCTCCATCTTTCTTCCAAGTGAAGCTAGCCTTCTCGCCCTTCGCCAACAGCCCCTCACCCCCCGGGGCAAGTTCACCGAAAATATTCTTATCATCTAGAAGAGATGACATATTTAGACTAACTGATATGTTTTGTACTCTAAAACCAACTGTAAGAACACATCATTTGCAGATAAGAAAATAACATTTAAATCATCCCGCGCCGGACCAAATTAGCCGCAATTATATATAGATCGTAACTATCTCATAAACAAACATTGGATGCGATCCAAGCATCCTTGCGCGATATGTGTTACGAGACTTATGTATGTCAGTCATTAAATAACGGGCGCCTCAAGATATTATACAAGTACATATATACTTATTGCATTTCTCTCTATAGCCGTCCAAGTTACATCAAATTTATCCTGAGGTAACTTTTGCAGGAATACCAAATATATAGTCGAAAGTCGCTTGAGATTTCATATTTAATTTTTTTTCAAGGTCAAGTTTGAGGATCATTTAAATATTACAAATCAAAAACTCATAACTTTATTTAAAAATATTGTATTATTGTTGCAGTCCCTCTATTGATATAATTCCCTACATTAATAAATCGTAAGAAAACCATAATATATCAGCGTCTTCCGAACAGAATAGTAACAGGATTACCTGTCAATTAGGAAATACCTGTTCAAGTTGCTTGCCAAATTGCTACTTAGTCTAATTTCATTCTCATATGCTTGTAGAGAATACATTGTGGATACGATAAGATATATATAGTATGGTATCATGTCAGTTGCGTTTAGTGTGTAATGTTACATGTTAAGCACGTGTTAATTGCGTAGATACCAGAGAACATTGTACTGAAATGTTTAAGGTGTTATGATAGTTATTGCATTGGACGCACGATGCGTCAACGCACTTCTCGATATACTAAGTGCAGGTGAGTTTGGGAATTGTTAGATAAAAGAGTCTAGCCGATAATACTCCATTTAGGTACCCCAGGTGGACTCATTCCTGATGCAGGGAGGTCATTCACATCCCTTCTGCTATTATTTAACTTCCAGTTTACCATCATTTTAGTTGAAGGAATAATGTATTCACCATTTGTGCATGAATATTCATTACTCAAAATCAATCGTTTTTAAGTTCATGAGTGGACGCTTTAATTGAATATAAAGTGCGACATAATGTCCAGTGACTGCAAATTCTTTTAACTTATTTTGTATTATATTTTGACATTTCACGTGGAATTAAATATTGTTTGTACGTTTACGTTCATAGAAAGCTTTCCTCCTATACGACACGCGATCGTCCTCCCATACGCACCCACAACAGTGACGGTCGCCTCGCACGCGACGTCCCCGTACATGTTGAGCGCGCGGCACACGTAGCGGCCGGCGTCCGCCGCGCACACGTCCGCTATCACCAGCTCGTAGCAGCCCCTGTCCGCGCGCGTGCGCACGATGGACACGCGCTCCTCCTCCGACTTGGTGATTATTTCCTTGTCATCTCGATAGCTAACGGATAAAATGTTTTGTGTCACTAAATAGCTGTGAACTGACAGTAGGAGATGCATCAATAGTTGCGTTTTATTTTATATTCCATGGTTGCTACTTGATGTGCTGGGACAGAAAATATGGCATCGATTGTCTTAATAATATTGATTACTGGTTGACTACGGAACCCTAAAAAACTGAAAATATGATGATATATTTTCTATATTGATGACAATATTGACTAAACCAAGACCAACAATCAAAATGTATTTCTGTGTAGAGTTTCTTTTGAGAGCTTTGAATTTCATTTAAATCCATTGAGCTGATACAGTCTGAAGAACAACAACAAACACACTCACACATAAACATACAATTTTTATTTTATTATTAGTATAATACTTACAATTTGACCTCCGGGTTGGGGTTGCCCTTGACCTTGACCATGAATCTAAGGTAAGTGTTCATCATAATCTCAGTATCCTTTAGCGCCACTAAGAAATACGGAGCGTTTAGGGCATTCTTTTGTTTCCGTTCTTCTGGTGTCACTAGAACCATGTTAAAATAAAAAAAAATTAACACAAGAATATATATTTTTTTATATTTCTGAAAAAAAAAGTTTTTTTTTATGTTAATTGGACGATACATTGTAACAGCATGCTTTCTAAACAAGTACGCTAGTTCGCTATTACAGGAAAATTATACAGAGAGATAGGTCTAATGTTATACGCTTTAAGATGATTTAATCATGATTGCCGCAGCCATGCGTTTGTGATATTGTTGCTTTACTAAAATTTAATTACTTCCATTTGTCAATATCGCAATTGATTTAGGAGACCAATTATTAGCAATAATCAGCTACATACGCGTTTATTATAAAAATGCGAGTATTTTTTATACAAAAAAATATAGTCTCCAAAAGCAACCGCTTCCAAAACATCTAAAAAAACTCACACTCGTGGACCACTAATTGAGCGGTGCAATGTGCGTTGCCCTTTACATTCTCCGCGCGGGCCGTGTATAGGCCCGAGTCGTCCTCCCTACAGTGCAGCACCTCGAGGCGATGGACCCCGGATCTTTGGACCATCTGCACGCGGTCCATCAGACGGTCCGTGAAGGGCTTGTTGTCCTTCAACCATGTAACCGAGGCTTCTTCTTGGACCGCGCACTCGAAAACCGCATTTTCTCCAGCTGAGAATCCAAATTTATGGTTACGCGACGAATTCGCACGGATCTGATCGAGATTGTGTGTGCGTCTGTCTATAATCTAAACCCGTGCGAATTTTAAAACATGTAAGCGTTAGCACGATGTGTGTGTGTGTCGGTTAGTTCTAGAAGCATATATACAAGCACTAAGTGTATACGTTACTGTAATGTACTGGACTTACGCTCGATGTTCTGCCCCTCCAATGTCTTCGAAAACACCGGCTTCCCATCGTACGAATCCGATTTCGAAATCGATTTCGACTCGTACTCCTGTGACATAGACCCATTAGATACCGTTTTAGAGTACTTGCTTTCCAAATCGCCGTTCCTCATTTTTGTGTAGCTCGATTCCACTTTTGATTGTCCATCGAGACTAGTTTCGATGTTCAATTTGGTGGAGCGACTTTCGATTTTAGTGCTGTCGGTAATCGAGTTACGACCATATTTGGAGGCGATGCTATCGATTTTGCTAGTGGTCTCGGCAGCACCGGCATCATAACTAGATTCTATGTTATACTTGGATGATCGTCCTTCCACCTGATTTTCTGAATTTCCAAGGCCATATTTCGAAGCGATTGAATCGATTTTGCTACTTGCTTCTATTGAGTTTCCGTCGTAACTCGCCTCAATGCTATATTTTGAAGAACGCCCCTCCACTTGAGTTTCAGAGTTTGCCCCGAGGCCGTACTTGGAGGCAATGCTGTCCAACTTGCTTTCAGATTCTATGGCATATTTAGAGCCTTCCTTGGTATCGTAGCTGGACTCGATGCCGTATTTAGATGCACCTTCGACCCTTGATGATGAGTATTTAGATTCATAGCGGCCCTCGATAGCACCCCCAGTTTCATATTTTGAGGCGCTATCGCGTCGTGAATATGATGACGACAACCCTGTACTGTCGTACGACGACGACTCGTAGCGACCGCCCGACGACAACTTGCGACTGCTACTGGAGTACTCTGTAGATATATTATTTACATTATTATCTTTAAATAGATATCTTTTATTTTTAAAAATATACTTTCATAACTAAAATTTAATTGAAATAAAAGTCGATTTGTTTAAATATAATAATTACACATAATATTAAATAAAACTCTACATTGGATGTATCATGAAGTATCTAAAGAAAAATTACAAAGTATTCGAAGACAGTCTTGTCTAATACCTAATTTTAAGTTCTTATTAATAAAATAAATTATAAAAAAATATACAGTCAGTTTAAAATGTCGAAAGTGTGTACCTTGAAGTATGTAAAACTTTTTAGTTTATAAGTAATTATTTGATTTAAAATAACTTTGATTTTATAAGTATAATTAAACATTTGTTTGAATATTATCTATTTTATATTATTATTGAATATAATTAATAATAAAAATAATAAATCAGTTATAATATACATTTTAATTTTTATACATAGTTCCATAAAACTTTAATGATAAGATGTATGCACATGTAGAATAGTTTTAACAACCATCACAATATCCGATATGGTCTAGTGGCTAGGATACCTGGCTCTCACCCAAGTGGCTCGGGTTCGATTCCTGGTATCGGAATTACTTTTTGCTTATTTTTTTGTAATTTGTTGATGTGTTTGTTAATTCACTATAGCTTATACAAAAAATATTTTTTCTATAAAAATATAAAGCATGCAAAATTTACCTCCAGATTGCCGCGAACTGCGGCTGTACCTAGACATCTCTTCGCCTGTCTCCGCGGTTACAGCTTCACTGTCTCCCGTAACTCTCTCTCCCGACTCTTCTGTGGTTACAGTTTGATCACTCTCTGCGAACTTTTGTTCAGATGTCTCTGCAGCTTGTTGAGTTATCTCTTCGTGTTTGCCGTTGAGAGATGCTTTTTCTAATGAAACTTCAACTTTTTTAGCTTTCACACTTTTTCGAGTTGACACTTGACTTTTTTCAACGCTACTCTCCGTGATTTCAGATTTTACTTTGTCACTTTCAGGTTGAAGGTTTTCTTTATTTTCGTGTAATGCGTCTCCGTTGGTTAGAGATTTTGTTTTATCTGTATCTTTTGTTTTTTTCTTAGAATCTTTACGCGCAGATTTGCTTTCTTGCTCTACAATTTGTTCTGACGCGCAACTCTCCGCAGTTTGAACTTTCTGTATTTTCTCTTCACTTTCTACTGATACTGATTGTTGAGCGCTAGAAGTCTCTGTTACGGTAGTTCCAGTTTTTTGTAAAGACTTGATATCTTTCTGTTCAGTAAGCTGCACTGATTGCTCAACGCTTAATTCGACAGCTTCGCTATTGGCTTTTACAATTTGTTCACATTGAACCAGAGATTGTGCTTCCGTTTCTGATTGTTCCACGGAAAGTTTAGATGACTGTCGACTGTAAGATATTGATTCTTGAGCCTTTATAGATGATTCTTCAGCTTTCTCTACTTCTAAATTAGTTTTAGTTACAGCAGTCTCTTCTGTAACAGTCTGGATTGTATCTGTGCTAGATGGAATATCTGATTTAATCGACAATTTAGTTTCTTTCAGAGACGCTTGGGATTTGTTAGCACTTTGTACTACTGTCTCTAAAGCGCTGTCTGCTTGAACTTCACTAATAGATGTTTCAGTCACTTGGCGACTATAGGACACAGATTGTTGGGTCTCTACAGACTTTGCTTCAATTGTTGAATTTTGATCAGTTGTTATTACTGCTGTCTCAGATTTCTCTATGCTCTCACCTTGAAGAACTTGAATCGTACTTTTATTTGACTTTTCTACAGGTTCTACGGTCGTTTGAACTTCGTAAACTTTACTTTCTTGACGTGACTTCTCTTGTACTACCAAATTTCCACTTTCAATTACAGTTTGCTCACTTTCTGACTGAGATGTGACAGTTTCACTGATTTGTTTCACAGATGATTTAGACTCTAAATCAGTAGTGATTTCACTTTCAACAGTGACTGAAGTTTGAATTTCTTGAATTTCACTGATCACCTCAGCTACTTCAGCTTTAGATATTTTTCTGGCGTGTTCCCCTTCGACGGATGCTTTCCGCTTTGTTTTAACTTGCTGAGATTCTTCTGAAACAACTTCAATGGTTTCAAGCTCTGCAACACGAGATTTTTTTTCTAGTCTCTCTTCTTCTTGGCCTTCGTCTTCCCGTTTTCTTTTTTCTTCTGGTTGTTCGTCTACGGCTTCGCTAGGAAGTGATAGTACTTGCAAATCGTCAGCAGCGTGTTCTGCTAGTGCGACTGTAAATATGAATTTATTTTTTTATATACAATAAATATATATATTTTTAATTTTAGCTAAACTATATTAGTAATAATATAATTTATGCTTTCTGATATCAAATTAAGCTCTATGTAGATTAAAAAGATAATTACTTTATAAAACACTTACCAAGGTCACTTGCGTACTGTCTGATCTCCCTGAGCCAAGCAGTCTTTGTAGACTCCTTGTGTGCTTTAAAATGAAATATTAATAGTGGTTCTTTTTGATGAAGTTCGAACTTTGTGGTCTCCGGATGGTCCTTGATTTCTACCTCGGGGAGCTGAAAGTAAAAACAATACACATTATTTTAGACTCGTAGGTATTTATTAATAGTAAATATAGCAATATTATAAAATTGTTGGTTTTTTAGATATGACATAGATAAAAAATTGTCCATATTATTGTTATGCGTCACGGGAGGCGTGCCTTTATTTAGACATTTTTAACTTTGATTAGAAAAGAAATGGATATTTAGTATAAGCAATCACTTTACGCGAGAATCGGACTGAGGATCCCCAGTACTGGTAGCTAACAGTTTAGCATTGCTATTTTTATATCTAAATTCAATAATTATATTAAAAATACTGCGCTTAATATTATGAGCCCATTAAATATTTCACATATTTGTAGAATCTTTACAATTTATAATAGCTAACAAGAAATTTATGTCAAGGTTCAATACATTTGGACAACCATTTATTCTATTTCGATAAATAAAATGTTTACCTTGATAATATGTTTCAGAACGAAGACGGATCTATCGTCACCGATTTTCTGGACTTCACAGACCAAGATCCTGGCTTTAAATAAGAAGACGTATCTATTTTGGGGGTCGCCGTCGAAATCAACAGTGAACCAGTCGTGGGTCAGCAATCTACCGAGTTTGTAGATGTTCCCACGATAACCCTCGATGCTGGCGATGAAGAGATTGTTTGTGGCGCGATTGGGGACGCCCAAAAAGAGTTCAAGAGCCTTCTGTAGATCGGTGCAGTCGTCGCCGAGACGCTTTGAGTATTTGACCAATTCCTGAAAGACGAAGGGGATTTGATTTGAAAAATATTGTACCTATTCTCTATATTTTCTATCTATTTTAATCTTTTTCTCTATCTGGTTCATCGAAGGTGTTGTTAATTTTTTTTTACAAATATACTTTTATGCTAGTAAGCTGAATTAAAATGTAAGCAGTAATTTTATGCATACTTAGATATTGTATAACGTCATGGTATTTAATTTCGTAGTTTCTGTCTTTAGTGATGAATGAATGAATCTTATAAAACTGTTTCGGGGCTACTCGATGATAACATTATCGTGAATCAAACGCAGTTAAATTTAATTATTACTCCAAATCTGGTGCTTAAGTGACGTCACGAGATCAGTTTCGCTAACACGTAGACGATATTTCGGGAACTTTGTTCGAAGCTCGGTCATAAACAAATCTGATAGGGTATTTGTTCAGGACAATTTAGCGCATTAGAGAACTGCTTCGATGACTAGATTAATCACAATGAGATCAAAATGAGATTACAATAAATTTGACTTTTATAGCCTGATTAGAATACTTACATTATTTAGTTTTTATATTTTATATTTAATTGGGATTTACCTTTAAAAGGAGTTGGTAGTCGTTGATCCTTTGGATGGGTAATTTGAGATGTTCAGTGAGGCCTTTGTCGTCACCTAGTTTATCTGCCAAAGCCTGTATGAAGAAAAGTTTTCCTTGTAAAAGTTATATAGCAGATAATGAATATTTTTACTTTTTATTTATTTTTAAGGGTTGAACAAGTTATTCCTTTGGAACATGATTAGAATATGGATATAATTAAAAAAAAACTTTCATTATTCAATATATAGTTTCTTCGTTTCTTTTTGTAAGCTCGTATTGTATGAATCACTAAAGGTGCAGCTACATGTAGGAGATATAAATAGAACAGATTCATCCAACTGCTTACAGATCTTATATTAACATAATATGATTGTAATTGAAACGATAGCAAAAGTGTTTCATCACTAACGTTATATCCAATATCAGTTGGCTACTGTTCAAATAATTACAATGACATTCAATGAATGGACTTCCTGCATTGAGGTGTGGTAATGTACTCGTTAATTTATAAAACTCAATTAGCGTTCGAGTAAATGTCATAGGTACTCAACAGATCTTTGGATTAAAGGAAGGTAAAATTTAACATTTGATTTGGAAATATGTAGCGACTTTAAAATTATTTTGAATCATATTTACTTCTTGGGGTGTAGAATTCGTTCTTAAACTAAGTAAATTTAAATAACTTATTATTCAAGTTTCATGTGACGTTTTGCAACAAAAATTGGTGAAGATATTTGTAACATAGAAGTGACGCGAAATACGCAACAAAAACACACATTTGAAATGAGTACTTCCTCTGTTTTAAAGTCGGTTAAAATGGGAAATAACGACAGGGCGGTGCTGTTACTGGCGTACAGTGATTAATTCTTTTATGGCGTGTGTTTGTTATGTAATTTTTCAATAACAATTAGAAACTAAAAATGCAACGATATAACCATATGTACATATGTCTAAGGAATTTAACACATCTTAAGACGTAGGTATGAATAGAAATGATCTTTTGTGCTACAAGAATAATCTTATAATTGAAAGTCATAAAACAAAAGCAGAATATTAAATCATAACGTCGGTAAAATCATCATAAATTGGAGTAGTATCTTAGGAAAGATTATATTTAGAATACCTTGACATATTACGCGAACAGTTGACGTTCTCAGATATTTCCAGTGAAATAAATTGAATGCTTTAGATATAGTGTTTATATTTATAATATTTATGTATTTAAAGTTTATATATGTGTAGTGTATAAACTACCTGGTGTCCATAACCCAAGCCTCGTAGCTTACCTACCTTGGAACCAGATGGTGCTGTGTGCTAATGTCCCAAAATATTTAATTTATTTAATTTTTTATAGTATTAAATACTCTCAACGATCATTAGATAAGATGAAGAGTACAGGCAAAGTACAAGGAATATCCTAATATGAATCCCAATAGATTATATGAGATTTTTTTTAAGTTAATAAGTATATATTTATTGAAGTCAAAGTATGTAGTAGCTTTTTACTATGTACATTTATGACAATCCTATTTTTTCCTACATTTTTGGATAATCCTTTACCGGTATGTCATGGACATTCATTTCTTATTTCTTTGCTCATTCAGTTCTTTTTGCTTTGGGCATAGATAAAAACGTAATTTTACCGACATCCGTTGAGTATTTGTAAGAACCAGTAATTGGGAATTCAACCACCATAGACATAGATTTATTACCAGTACAAAACAAAAAAAAAAAAAATTGTAACATTCCCTGTTCTTTGCCTGTACCCTTCAGATATTGGCTACATATAAGCTAGGCTGATAAATGTCAAGGCCAATAGACAACTTGTAGTCTATTCTTTCCGTTTTGATTCAGTAATCAAGAAAGAAAGTTTCCTAAGGTCTTTTAGTTAACATTATGCTCATATCTATTAAGCCAATTCAACATTTTACAAGTACGCTAATCTATACATATAATAAAATTCTAACTGAGTCGAATCTGTACATTAAATATTTTTTTGAAAATCTTATTGAAATAGACATTATTATCGATACAGAGGCCGAATCTAGTTTTTAGAATTTTTGTCTGTCTGTCTGTCAGTTACCGCATCACGGAAAAACCACTGGAGGGATTTTAATGAAATTTGGTATGGTGATAGCTGGTTATTCGGGTCAACATATAGGATACTTTTTAACGCGAGAAAATATCTCATTTCTGAGAAAAAATACATAAACTGCATTGTAAGAGTACACTAATATGTAAAAAATAAGAATTTGGTTTTTGGCCATCTGAACGCGGGCGGAGCCGCGGGCAATGCTAGTGAAATATATGATTAAAATGGCGTTGTTGAGAACTATATACACTTAAAAAACATATACACACTTAGAGGCGAAACTAACTTTCTGTTTGTTATAAAAAAAAGAACCGAGTAACTATTTTAAAATTTACCAGGCTACCGAAAAAATACAAACAATGAACAAAATATGTGAGCAATGAATAAAATAAATAGTTTTTGTATGCTCTACAAGCGAGTGAACCAGATGGCTCTTACAATAGTGACTAGCCTTGTGGATGTGAAGAAAAACACAATGTTTTATACTTAAATATTTTAAAAGCTTTCATCTATTTATGCAGTGAAATAATATAATAATAAAAAAATATTCTTACATAAACTAGGAAAAATATAGCTGTTGCTGTCGTAGAATATCGAAAAGCTAGTTAATTTAACATGGCCCTACATATACATAGTAAAAATGTTAACAATATATTTATTTTGAAGCGATTCATTTTGTCCCTATTTATGTTTAAAGGTAGTATGGAATAGATAGCAGTCGATCCATTGTTATGTGAAAAACAAACATAAATCTATCACTCGGGAACCGTACATTTTTCCGGGATAAAAAGTAACCTATGTGCTATTCCAGACTATAATCTATCTCTGCGTCAAATTTCATCCAGATCCGTTCAGCCGTTCTGGCGTGATTGAGTAACAAACATCCATCCATCCAAACTTTCGCATTTATAATATTAATAATGTTTAAAGTTTAACTTCAAGGTAGAATGTGGAGATTAAAGTAAGTTAACAGTAAAAACATCGATATTTGGTAATATATATGTGTAAGTAAAATATCTTTATCAGGATAAATAAGTCATGTATGCGTAGGTATATCGCCTATTTGATTATAGTAGATCTATTTCTTTCAACGTCATAGCAAGAAATAAGTAAGATATAGTTGTTTGCCGGCGTCTGAATGTTTCAGCGTCATCATCATCATTCAATATTTTTACTTCTTCTATTTATTAACCATCAAATCTATTAGGTATATCATTAGTATCATTACAAAAATTAATTTTATCAATGTCGAGACCAGAAATATATACATATAAAACACAGTAACTTAGCAAAATTTGAACATGAAATATTTTTTACAGCAATGACTGTACCACATTCTGTACAAAATATAGACCCAAAACAATAGTTATTAAAAATTTTGTGTGTTTTTGCGTTCGCGCTTCACGCAAAAAATACTGGACCGAATTGAACTAAATTTTGTGTAGGGATAATTTATTACTCAGGTCAACATTTAGGATACCTTTTACTACAGGAAAATCGTTCATTTCCACGGGGAAAAGCAATAACTGGTTCTATCGAGTCGTCCTTAGAAATTTACATGTCTAACCCTGGCTAAACCTTAAGAGATACATCAAAACAATGTACTGGAAAATTGTAGTTTAATAAGGCCTACAGAAAAATCTGCAATGGCATAAGTCTTTCTCCTAAGCTACACTCGCAATAACTATTTATATCTGTTTAAAACGCACCTAGGGACGCATCCGAGCGAAGCGATGGTAAATCAATAGTTAAATAATAAAAAAAGTATAATTTGTTAAAATAATTAAAAAAAAAAGTAGTTTGTTAATAGTTGATACTATGTTTTTTTTTAAAGACCATGATTTTAAAATAGCATGTCATGGAAGATCTTGTACATTGTTCACCAATTCAAGGACAAATCGTGGCATTGGTACAAAAATAGTTCTGGAATCCTTATAAAACTGAGTCCACAAAGTGGGTCAAGGTCATCAGCGACTGTTTTTGAGTTATGTGTTTCACAAACGGATACGCAATGAGCGTCAGACATCGAACACCCACGGCACGCCTCAAAATAAACGCAGACGCTGCTTGAAACACTACACCCGTAGCGTGAATTGTGAAAAATTTCGCAAGAGCTCATCTAAATATAACGAGAGGGGTCCTGACCTGAGAGGAAAGTTAGAGCGTAGAAGCTAAGAACACAATCACAGTCACACACTTCACTCGGTCGAGTGGTCGAAGGTCGGTAACGCTGGAGCTTGCGAGGTGTTCGCGGCCGCGGCTTCCAAGCGACTGGTTCCCTCCATGCCGGCCCGATCCACTTCTATACTTAGAACACCGATTTTTAGGATAACGCCATTTCTCCCGTCACGTTGTTATCAAACCACGGTCAACACAACAAGGTCGCTAAACAAAATGCCTGCTCTAAGGTCACGACGGTCCATAGAAAAAACAACATAATGAAATATCATTTCAATATCAATTATATACATTCAAATACATGCTGAAATCAATAGCATTTTCGTGATAATTGCTGTTTTAATTCATGATATTATTAATTAAAGAAAAAGGTTAGTTTTGGAAAAAGTTAAAGATCAAAGAAACCTAAGTTTAACATTTTGAGTTATTGCGTACTTAACAGTAATTAACGTTTCGTCGTTACTCGTTAGTGCTAATTACCAACGGCTTATGAGTTATGCGACATTATTCATTCTATTATTATCATATCTAATCTTTATATTGTATGGAACTCTCTTCCACGTAAATATTATTTACAATTAGCAATTTTTTATTCAATAAAGTGAAAACTACAAATTTCTAGGTGTCATTCATGAAGCATGTACAATTTGTCTGATGCATTGCTAGAATTATAAAATGTTCATCTCACTTGTCACACCAAATTGTCATCTCGAAGCTTGAAAATGTTCGAGGAATAGAATCGTGGAATCAATTTATAATTGGGATTGACTCAGGTAGTCCGGACATGAGGGATGCGTAGGATTTGTTATTTCACGCGTTACTTAAATAGCCATGCAAATAGTCATTCAGTTTGCGTGGAACATCCGCGACTTAGAGCAAATGTTTGAAATTTTGAAGTAAAAACAACAGAAAGAAGAACGTGACATGCGTTACATTTTATACAAAAGTAATATGGTTTGGCATTATTCCATATATTTTAGGTAAACACATTATGAATTAGCATACATAATTATTATATGTACCTACATTGTACATAGGTGGCACAAATGGCTTTGGCCCAAGGCTCGTCACAGCTTACTAGGGCGATGATTTACTCACCTACGAGTACATAGTTGCACTGACCTTACACACTAATTGATTGATGAATATGATTTAATCAAGATCATTATCAATAACAATTTAAGTACTTAGTTTTAATTACAAAAATATGATATTTAAAAAATTGAAGTAAATAATTTAGTTAAAGTTGGAAATCAATAGACGAATGTTTATTTATTTGTACGCCCAGTAGTCGTAATTCATCCATAACCGTTATTGATTTTGAATTGATAACACTACATAGCTACTAAACAAAAAAAAAAGAAAATCGGTTCACAAACAAAGGAGAAAATGGTACGGAGCAATAGCTCAGTAAATAAAAGCATTATATGTCTTCGCTTTTGTTTTAAAATGTATTTTCATAAGATTTTCTTTAAATAAGAAATAGATTTTCAGAGTTTCTTTTATGTATTTCTAGTGTATTATTATTACCAAAAAATCTCTGATAAAATAAAAATCTATGGAGCAAAATGAAGCTAAAATTCATTTATGTACCAATTTGCTTCTATAAAACTTATTGTCTAAGCTTAAGTTTACAAGCATGAAATTATACATGCAGGCAGGCTAACTAAGAAAACAGTTCCTCAAAGAGAAAGAAACTCCTTAAGGTGTAGAGAAATGTACATGGAAGTTAATTTTTGAAGGTAGAAATATGAAAATTTATATAATATACTTATTGTTAAATTGCCTATGGTAAACCCATCATAATAGTTATCAAGACAAAATGTCTACAAAAAACTAAATTTAAAGACTACTAATCCACTATTTGTAAAAATATAGAAGCTAAGATACACGTGAATATTAAATCTTAACGATATGACGTTGGCTGTTGATATCTTCTTGATTGATGCCACTCATCTATTTTATTGGAATGAGTTTTCAGTAACAAAGCCAAAATTCAATAATTATTATTAATTGACTGGGTGGAGTAAGAAATCGTAAATGATTATCTGAAATTGTACCTACTTTGGAAATATAGGCAAGCAGAATTTATTGAAAACTAGCGACTCACTCTCGCTCCGCTCGGGTTCGTCTCTAGGTCCGTTTTATCGTTTAGTATAGATTTCTTAGAGATTAGCTATTTTCCCGCAGTAAAAAGTATCCTACATATTGACCCGGGTAACCAGCTATCATCATTCCAAATTTCATTAAAATCTGTCTAGTAATTTTCTCTGTTTTGATGCGTTTCCAGATAGACCGACAGACAAACAGACAGACAAAATTTCTAAAAACTATAGATTCGGTCCTGTATAAAAAATAATCACTGTTTCAATAAGATTTTCCAAAAAATATTTAGTGCACAGATTCGTCATTCGACTCAGAATTTTATTATATGCATAGATAAAGTATAAACTAGTAACACATTTATGTTATAATGCAAGATATTAAATCTGTTAAAAATATAAAACCTCCGAAAAATAAAACGCAGTATGGATTCTATATTTCCGTTTTCGTAGATTTTAATGTTTGCTATTTATTGAAATACTACTACTAGCAATTGTTTGGAGTATTTTATACCTTTCTTTTCCTAAAATCTACAAGATTATTAGTCTAAAGATATCTATAATAATCTGGTGAAAACTAAACATAATGCGAAAATTTAATGTAAAATACGTAGTTAGCTCTTGGAATTCTTCGTCTTTGACACTGACGTTGTTGGGGTTGATCTTAACTCTACTTAAAGCATATTAAAATTAATTATTTTCATACACAATAAAAAAATGTTGAAAATTTAGTTAGGTGCTTAAAATGACTGCGACGCTTTTAAAATTATCAGCAAGTATGAGGTGGGTGTGAGTCAAACCAAAGTGATGAAAATCTAAAATCATCCAATCATCTTACAAACAAAATCACAGTGTATATTTTTATAATTATTCTAGATTTCAATTATTTTGTAAGCCCTGTGTTACCCTGTATATTTTAGATCGTTTAATTTTGCAATAGCATCTGTGATTATTGGCTTTTTTCTATTCATCATTAAGGCAAGACTTCATTGGATATATAGCGCTGTATAAGGCAGTAAAAATGAAAATATTTATATGACTTATTTTTTTTTACCTTACAATGGAAAACCACCTTCTGCATAAAAGACACAACTACTTTTGCTATTAGATAGTATACTACATAAAAACTAAAAATGTGTGAGCAGAAATGTCTTAAGATAGCGGAATATTTATTTCCTAATATTTGAGTATCTTTCTATGATTTTATAATAGCTACCCCATATTGAACTCATATACTTGCTTAATTCCCACAAGGTGAATCGGCACAATACTGATTGTCGTGGAAATTTTTGGGGGAGGCCTATGTCCAGCAGTGGACATGTTTGGGCCGAGACGGCGACGACGACGACGACGACGACGACGACATACTTACCTATCCATATATGTATATATTTGCACATCATTAAAGTCCAAAGATTTAAAAAAACATATTTTAATGACTTTTCAAGTAAATAAAAAGGTGATATAGTCTATTTTTATCATTATAGCACGCAAGCAGAGCTGCGGACAAGATTTAGTAATAAAGAATTCTTACAAATAATAACAGCTGTAAGTAAATATTTGAATGAAATTTTACGTAAAATATAATTGGGATGAAGTTAAAGCCTAAGGTTTTTGAAGAAATTGTGTTTGATTATCTACATTTATTTCAATTTGTTCAAAAGACACTAGCAGCATCTGTCCCGTACAAACCTGTGTTCTCAGTGGATATTAACACTAGAAAAAAAAATCATCTATGACTACAATTGATACAAAAATGATCCTTCTTTTTGTTTTACCGATAAATAAAAAAGTAAGAACCATTAAAAATCCAAAAAAGTACCTACTTTTATATTATAAAGATCCGCAAAATAGCAAAATATGGTCAGTAAAAAATATACAGACCAAAATACATGTAAATATACAGCCTAAGCCAAAGCCTTTTACTTTTTTTACTAAAATATAGCGCTATATTTTAGTAAAAAAGCACCCTAATATCTGATCAGTTTGGTCGGTGAAGAGGTCGGCGATAATGGCAACGCGCCAGCTCTAGAATAGTTCGCGTTCCGCACGCTACGTCGTGCTGTCAGCGGGATCGGGCGCAAGCGCCTAGCGAAAACAAAATACTGGATATTGCGATACGCTCTTGTTTAAATTGATTGAAAATCTTCGAAAAAATTGATGTGACCCGAATTTACATTTAGTTTGATATTTTATAATGATTTAAGGACAATAACCTAAAGATATTATCTATAAGTATGATGATAACAATTTACTGATATTAAATATATTAAAAAAGTATAGATATTAAAAATATGTAACTGTTTACAAAGTGTCGACGAGATTGTATGGAGATAGTTTGATTCGACGGATAAAAAAGTAAAAATAAATCTTAATTAAACTAAAACTCATTTCAAAACTAAAGCTACTTTTAGCTACGTTTGTTAGATGTAATTGTGTCTCAGAATAACTTAAAAGAAAGAAGTACAGGATCTAAATAAAAATTTACGAGATTTTAGTGACTAATTGATTACTTTATTAAATAGTTTAATTTTTAGTTAAGAAAAAGAACTATTATCTAATATGAATTATATTCAAGAGAGTAATATATAAAGGATAAAATATTTAAAATATCTGAAAAAAAGCTATACATGCCACATAACTCCATCTATGAGAAAAATAAGCAACACAAATTGACGTATACCGACATCTATCGCGCTTTTCTCAATCTACCAACCAACAAAAAGAGTTTCGTGAAAGAAAAGAGCTTTTTTATCTTCATTCTTAAGACACTCAACAGATGGCGTTACTAATGTGTAGATCTTTTAATAAATTCTATTTGATCGGGCAAAATAAGGCAAACAATTCAGAATATCACTGCTACAAATAAAGTAGCCTATGACGCTATTAATCGATATAACCGTTTACAGTGACTCTCTGCTAGAGAGGCAATGATGATAGAAGTAGCGCTTATTTTAAATTTATAAGCTTTTTGTCATAATATAGACAAAAATCACAATTACCTTAAAATATTTGGACACAACGGGATCGTGCCTGAGCAAATGCTGGGCGCGCGGCTCGTCGCGGCAGTACGCCACGTGCTTGTCGAACTCGCGTTCCATGCGCAGCAGCGCGCGGCCCAGCGCGCGGGGCTCTCCCGCGTAGTACTTGATGCCTTCTAGAAGACCCCTGTACAAGGGAAGATAGTATATTATAACACTTTATTGCACAATCAAACCAAATGGAATCAAATCAAATGGAACTTTTGTTATACTCCTTTTTAACACCCCATTGCTGGGCACGAACTTTCTTTCAATACGAGGGATGTCTTTCGAAAACTTGCTAGATTCTCTCAGACATTCAGATTTCCTCAAAGAGATGTGCAAAGGCAGTCTTATCACTATATGCGTCCTCTTACAAGCAACCGATGGAAAAGGAAATAAATATTTGTAACGAGCGAAAAGGTGCATAAACTGCAAAGTTAAAAAAAATTAAGTTGTATAAACAAAATATTTTTATTATAAATGTACCTACATAATACATACATAGTACAGTTATAATGACAGATTAAACTTAATGCGATAAATAGTGTATTTTGAGACCGCGTTGTTTAAATATGCACATAGTATTGTATAATTCGTACTTAATGCCATGGAATAGAAGCAACTGAACAGAGTGTTATATGATTTTACATGATTTTTATTATTTTTAATTTGGTAAATTTATTCTTATACTCGTATATATTAGAAATTTTTAAAATTGAAGTTCAACTCGTCAACCTCCCCACTTGATGCCCTCCAGGAGTATATTTGTGAATTAAGTCGGAAAAAATCGGAATTTCTACAACTAGGGACACTAAGCGACTAAGGACTCTAAATCACTAGTTTAAAATAGAATTGCTCAAGTTCGAGTCCCAGTCAAATAAGGGGGTAAATATTTTTTTCGTAACATTACTTATCATACAACACGAAAATTATCGAAAGTTTAAAATGGCAAATGCTTAGAAATGTTTACCAATAACGAGCTTTTATTAGCTTCACTTGTAAATAACTAGAGAATAAAATCTTGGAAGTCGATTTTAACCTTGTTTTAAGTGTCGAATTGATTTAAAATCAAACATCTATAATCATATATTAATTTGACTGATCTAATGAAGAAGTTGTGAGATGGATAATTTTTCCTTTCAAGTACTAGCATTAAAACTTAAGACATTAGGTTCATATGATTAATTTCATCGTGTCCTATACATGACGATAAAAACAAATTCCTTTTAGTTTTAGTTTTTCAAAAAGTATATTGTATTTTACTCACGTGTTATGAAACTCGCATATCTGTCGAAAGTTCGAGAACAGCAGTTCTCGGTTATCAAACACCGGTTTAGGGGTGGTCGCCTTGTCCATGGGCCGCATGTACCGGCTGACCACTTGCTGCATGTCGCGCCCGAACTCCTCTTCGGTTTCTATTAACTCTCGCACTACTGCCCTGTTGTAGATAAGTTTATATTTAGTATCTTTGGAATAATATGATTGGATCACCAATCAATAAAGTACTAGATATGCAATCAGCGACAGAAAATGTCCTCACCGAATGAGCGCTCATTTGAACAACTTTAAGCATTGCATTTAAGGTTCAATTTACATTGTTGTATATTTATTTCAACTAGAATAATTGCCTTAACACAATTAGTTTTTCATGGGATTGTATATCTAGTACTTTTTTGATCGATGTCTTAAGTAATATAACAAAAATATATATAATATCAAAAAAAAATATTGAGCTTTATATTGTTCTTAGTTCTTCCTTTATTGTTTTAAATTATTCCATAAAACACACAACAATAGGTACTGGAAAGTAAATACCTGCTAATAATGTTCTTACAACGGTTTTACGGTGTACTTGATCATATATTAAGAGGCTGGCAACGACTCGCTGGTAATGAGACAGACGGGCGGTGAATAATTGGGTATGAAATTGATTTATCGAGTTAAAGATGGCCAGTTTACCGCTGAATTATGTTCCCTACGTAAAATGTTTTGGCTGCTGCTTGAGATTTAGAATAGGTTAGGTGAGGTATAGATAAGCTCCCCCCTCCCCCGATGTGTGTTCACCTTGTAGTGGTGGGGAGCTCATTAGCGTTACAGTGGACCATTACAGAGATACAGCCCTCTGACAGAAGGACAAACGGACGGACAGCGGAGGCTTAGTAATAGGGTTCCGTTGGCACCCTTCGAGTACGGAACTCTACTTACAAACACAAAAAACGATCACATTCAATATAAATTATAAACACATAGTGCGAGTTCTGCGAAGCCATTTTTTGACGTAGCAACAGATCCACTTAACTTATCGCAAAGATATAGAGCGATATTTGTATATTGAGAAAAGTTTATGAAAGACAAGATCAAAATGGCGGGTATTAGCATTAGTGATTAATATTTTAATAATTGGTTCTAATTAAAGGCAGTATGTCATGCAAATGCTTATTTTTTATGTACCCTAATGTGGGCTTTGGTACACCAATGGTAACCTGCGTGTTTAGAAAATCAAATGAAGCGGGTTCAAATTTCGGGCCTTGTATCTTTGAAAAGTTTATGTGTGCATAATTTTCAACGCGATTACCACTTGCCAGGCGGTGAAGGAAAACATCGACAGTTTTCTCAAACTTGAACCTTACAAATTTTTAAAAGACATGTAAAGGTCGCCAACCTTCACTTGGTCAGCACGGTAGATTATGGCCTGATCCAAAGTGGGTCAAGCTTTGGGGCGTGATTATTTTTATATATTACTAGCGGCTCACCCTCGCTTCGCTCGTGTTCACCTCTAGACAAACAAAAACAAATTTATCCCACGGGAATCATACATTTTTCCGGGATACAAAGTAGCCTATTTGTTATTCTGATATATGAACTATTTTATTGTAAAATTTCATTAAATTTCAATCAGTAGTTTTTGTGTAAGCCGTATAAGTTACTATAGTTTTTTAACAATCCCACGGGAACTCTTTAATTTTCCGGGGTGAAAAGTATCTAAGATTTTGATCGGGGATATAAGATACCACCATGCAAAATTTCATTTAAATCGGTCCAATAGATTCGGAGATTAGCCCGTACAAACAGAAACAGACAGAGAAACAAAAAATTAAAAAAAAAACTGGATTTGTTCTATTTCTCTTCTTACACCCCCCTGACTCGGTTTTTAGCATTTTTTTTCTATGTACAGACATTCGACCTCTACAGTTTTATTATAGTATAGATTGCTGGAATTAATCAAAACTGCGAACAACTTATAAAAATAATATACCACTTGGTTAAATGTGTCTAAATGTATTATTATTCGATCTAAATATAAAAACCTCCTAGTATTGTGATCACATGCCATTACAATGAGCCGCAGATCCAATTTAGATAAAACTTTGACACGTGTTTTTGGCTTGCCTGAGGTATAATTTATGGCTGTCATATTTCGAGTGTCCATTTTACGCTTTGGTTTCCAATATTAGCGATATTGAAGATGTTCTTGCTATTTGTCACTTGTCGTGTCGAGAATGATTATGAAGTATGGCTATGTTGTTTGCAGCTGATTGGTCAGGAGTCAACTATTCTAATAGTTTATAGTTGATTTTAACTATCAGGTATGTAATCATTCACTAAAGAAAGTGTTTTGCATTAAATATTGTAATATAAAAAGCATGATATATAAAAGTAATACATTTTTATTAACATAAGATTTGTTCACTTTTCAGACTAAATGGGTTCGGGAGAAATTAAAAATTTGAAACAAAGAAACACAGGAAGTTCATATTGTCATATAAAATACCGAAGTGAATTGTGCTTCGGAATATAATTACGATATATTATACCCAAAATTGGGGCAAAATGTCCTCGATATAGCGTGGTGACATGGACGAGTCGTGACCGAATAAAATAGCAATTTAGTGCAGTGCTGCTGACAGCATGCGATGCTTCCGTGTATTTTTGAATACTTTGTGATATGTTAAAAAATAACTTTTTAATATATTACTAGCAGCTAGATAAATATTTCTGTAAAACCTTAAATATTACATTCCTTTGGTTGATTTTATGGGCTGGATTTTTCCATTCAGTTTACTTCGTTATATTAAGCGAATCGGAAAAAGGCATAAGGGAATCATGTCATAATTTTTTTATGACTTAGGCACGTTTATTTATTTTTGTTGTGGATTAAAATTGAAATGAACTGAATGAATAAAAAACTGTTGTTAAAACGTTTACAAATCTATCATGTAAAAAATAAATAACACACAGACGATAAAACAAATACTAACTTTGTATGTAATTGGAGTATATTGACCCGCGACCGAAGATAGCGATTATATAAATAAATAATTTACAAAATTATTGTTTGTTCGAGCTAATTTTAGTAATTAACAGTCTCCTTTAAAATAGCAGACTTTCCATCTATTCAGAGAGATAGATAGGTTATAATAATGTTCTTCTGCCTATATGTTTATTTAATTGCACATTACTGGAGAACAACTGGATGGAATTCAAACTGGAATTTATGCATGATCAATAGATGAAACAAATATAAGTTTTAATTCAATCAGTAGGTAGAATCCAAAAAAAGAGTTAATTCTCTATTCTAAGGGCTCTTATACAGGTTACCCCAATGTAACATTAATGCCCCATTTCCACGCACGGTACTATTCTGCGATGCAATGCGAGGGCCGGCCATAGTCCACTAAGCTGTTAAGACGTTAGCGGATTGCATATATTTTCAAAAACCAGCTAGGTATTCTCACAATGTTTTCCTTCACCATAATAGCAAGTGGCAATCCTGTTAAAAATTAATTGTACACAAATATCCCAAAGATTGGATATAGACTCGCTTCTTTTTTTGGAAATTTAAAAGAGCGTGTAACTAATCTACATATCTATATACTAATCTGTCTACTATCCTGTTTTTTTTAATGTTGGGAAATGCATATAGGCATAACACCTGTATACATACAGGTGGTTATGTGGGACTCAGCGGCTAGAAATAGTAAAATAGGCCAGTACTACCCAATAACTTCCAACAAAACCTCCACCCTCTTAATGGGCCGACGCAAGATCACTTACGCATTCAACCACGATGTCCCGACGGCAGGTCTGCCGAAGCAGACCATAACAGCCATGAGGTTGCTCTAACGGTTCACTCTACTATCAGAGAAGTACCAGGAGCAACCTGCATGGTACATAGCCCACCGAGATGGGTCGTATCCTAGTGCATTTAACTAATAACTAATATCCTACCAAATATTATTTAACTTGATACTTACTGTCGTCTTGCCGCTAACGCAGTCTGGTCGCGCTCCGGCAGTTTCTCGCGTAGCACTTCGGCTGGGACATAGCCCTGTCTCGAACTTATGTCCCCACCTTGCACGTCTTCTATCACACGGACCAGCCATCTGGAGGTGAAAATATAAATAATAGAATTAAAATCCAAATAGAGATTTGATTTATTTTTGTGAAAACTATACCGACATTTTAACGGCTTATAAAAATATTTTCTTTGGATTGGGAATAGGACCTGAATTTATTATATAGGCTACACGGTTTCAGGCGGATATTATGTGTGATAAAAGCTTTAAAATTTCGTGACGTTTCGGTACATTCAAAGTTTTAAAAAAATATTAAAGAAAATTTAACGTTGTTTTGGTAAATATGCAATTATAGTGTAAGTATATAATATAAACAACATATGTATTGCCATGACAAAAAATGACTACGTTTAATTCAATTTTTTAATAATATGTAAGAGCTCTCGGAAAAACACCAAAGTAGAGCAGGAGCTGACAACCTTGTAAAACATTCGGAAACAAATCGCAATTATAATATTTAGATTTAATATTATACGAAATGTAAACAATCTGTTCAAAATTCAATCGATTCAGACCTGTACATAAACAATACAGTTGGAACAGATCGTGCAATGCTTCCAGATGCAAAATTTCAGATTGACTTTGATCGTTCTATAAAAATCCTAAAACCTAGTGTTAGTTAGGCTAATGAACTGGTGGGCGACGACCTCGTAGCACTGAGCTGTAAAAACTATCCTAGTATGCAGAGAAAATATGAGAGTTAAAAGAAAAATATCAAAAAATGAAAAATGGTTTTAGAATCTGTAATAAATTTAAAGTTGAGTAGAGATCTTATTTTTTTTCAAATAATTCTTTAATGTGCGCACGCAAATGGACTCGGAGCTTCAGCAAAATGCATTTTACAGTTGTTTACAGTTTAAGAAAACTAAAAATTGTGTTTAAGTGTTATATGTAATTGTCATAATATGTCTTTTCCATGTATTTGTTACTTTTCCAAAAGCGTAACCGTGCTTTTATGTATACTAGTGTTCACTTAGTGGTTGAAATTCTTCCATAATCATTATTGAAAATTTAAGATAAACAGACAAAGAATAGAATTTACTAATTTATGTAAATATACATAAAAAAACTGTTTCCAATTTTTTTTTATCGATAACATTAAAGTCAATAGCTACTAAAAAAAAAAAGAAAATCGGTGGAAAACAGAGGAGAAAAATGTACCGAACTGTTTATATACTCGTAGATGATCGTTTAAGTATTTCGCATTATTTTTGCGAGGACATAACTCAAAAACATTGACTTAAATCCCTCCACGACCGCGGACACGCCGGCGTTACAGTTAACAATAGATTTCTTAGAAATTTTATTAATTTCTTAGAAATTTACCTGGAGGTGTTATTTTTTTTAATTTATTAATAAAGACCACAGATATAACTACACCAATTTTGACTATTAGGATATAATCGTAAACCCACATCGGTCATAAATTTACATTAAAAAGGGAACTTATTTAATATGCAATATATACAAAAAGTTATTATTTTTCTTTAAAATATATTGAAAACGAACTGAAGGATAGGCTATTGCGGGTTATTACTTGCACAATATAAATTACATAGCTATATAAAATAACAACGATATCGCAAGAGAAATATGAGTTGCCCTAGTTTCAAATTAATTACGATCATATTTATGTCCAATACGTTCCAAGACAAACTACTATACGCAACGTGCGTAAATGAAAAGTTCATATCAACGTTACGCAACCGCAAAGCTGTATTTACGGTTTGTTGACGTCTGTGTGACGAAAGGGAGGAAGTTTGGGCAATTGGAAAATAATAACACAGTAGACTCATTTGATTTATGAAATATTACCAACGGATATAATTTAAAATATCCTTCATCCATACTTGTATAATTGTTTTTTTTTTCTTTTTAACGTAATATACATAGGTCTCTATCTATCCGGTCTTAGCAAACTGCTATCTGTCATTTGATCAGAATGAATAAAGTTCTACTGGGAAACTAAAAAAAGTAAACAAAAGATTAAGTCCTATTTTAATCTATTTATAATCTCAAGTATTTTAAATATTTTGAGTATTTAAATAAATAAATAAATATATTGGAACACTAACAAACAGTACCTACCGTCTAGTTCCATGGTGAGCTACGAAGCTTGTGTTATGGATATCAGATAAATGATACACTACACATATTTAATTTTTAAATACATACATATTATAAATATAAACACCCATGATTAGTATAGTACAAACATTAGCGCTCATTACACAAATAATTGACCCCAGCGGGACTCGAACCCGCGACAGCTGACACGGCAAGTAGGGTCACTACACACTGAACCAAACGTGTCGTCAAAAATAATTTAACTATTTAATCATTTTCTTATAAAAATAAATATCACAATACTCTGGCTTAAGCATTTAAATGCTTAAGCATTTTTCTTTTCAAGACCCAATTTTAAAGGTGATATTTCCGTGTTACGCTTACGCAAAGATAATTTAAAGTGACGCGAAGAAAATTAAAACATATGTTTTCTTCATTATTCAAAAACATACTAAAAATAATTGGGTAAGTGGTGCTGTGATCGGATAGACATTTTAGTAGCAATATAATATAAAACACTAATTAACACAGCATAACGGCATTTTACGTGACTAATCACTCACCTTCATAAATTTGATTTAATGAGACATAATAAAAGAAAAAACATAAACAATGCAAAAATATTTACAGTACATTGAACTTTAGAGAATGATGAAACTAATTTAAAAACTTCAATAGAGACTTCATCAACAGAATTTGATACGCCAAAAAACCTTAGTATCTCCTGTGGCCAGGATGCCGTGCACAGCATTTGAAACTTCGGAAACAAAAAAATCAAAATAAAAAAGTAAAAACGAAAAATTGTAAAAGAAATAGTTTTATTTACAATTTTGTTCTCTTGAAGTACAATAAAACGACTGAGTAGTATAGTAATGACTAATGTAAGCTTCCAGCGAGGGCTCAAAACATCATACAAAAAAAAACATACAAACGAACATAGATACATAGAACCTCCCCTTTTTGGAAGTCGGTTAAAAATATAGGTACATTTCGAAATAAGTCGAAGCTTATTCTTCTTTACTACGAGTATAAGTTTCTTAGTACATTAACACTATAAAAATATAGAAGTTTATTCCAATAGTGAAATTCTAAAGTGCGTTGTCATCTAAAGACAGAAAACAGAAAATTTTCATTGAAATTATTATTAAATTTTAAAACTGAGAAGATATTTTGGACAGCTAATGAAGGTAATATATCATACAGGTATGCGTGTCTTTGAACAGCAGACAGCCGGGTCGTTGCCTTGCAAGTGACATTAATAGTCCTGCCCATATGAATGTAATTTACCGTGTACAACTTGCCTTTGTGATTGGTCTTGTCACCTCGAAATTATTGAAATAACGGAAGACAGTGTATAGATATCTGATATCTGTAATATGTGCCCAACTGGCACGCCTAATAGCCAAATAACAAATAATTGAATTAGATATCTGATGCCTGTATGTGGGAAGATACTCACTTTGTTTTCGAGTCGTGTAAACAAAAAGATTGTCAAAATATATTAAGTGCGCAATAAATTGCGTCGTTTCTAGCGCAAGACTTTTTTGGAGTACGTTTAATAAATGAGCACTACTTATCGATATTTTTTCGTAGCCTAATTGCTCTCACTATTTCAAGTTTACTGAAACATCTTTCCATGTTTTTGGACCAAACAATTAATCATTAAGACTTTATCAACAGAATCGGTAACCCTTTCATCATTTAAACGTTAACTAACTTGTTTGAAATGCTTTGTCTTTCATCTATATTCAGGAACCGATAAACGAACAGCGAATCGGTCTTATTGATGTTCTACGCAAAATGGCTGACGCGAATTTCTTTCTTACATTAATGAGTTAATATAACGTGACTGGAAAGATCGTTTAATCTCCCAGTTCATAAATCTGGTGAGGTGACGTGACGTGTCAGCAAACTGAGTGGCTGTCGCTCAGCCACTTCCTGGAGGCAGAATTTATAGCTGCTAATGTGGCACACGAAAATACCGTGCACTCTAATTACGTGAAAGTTAATTAATGTTTCGTTCTCGATCTCTTTTTTGGACAGTTTGGTATTGGTTTTAATCCTGATTTATTCGCATAAGAGGCGTCGACGTGCTTGGATAAAGGCTCCTTTAATTAAGATCGTTGAGGAAGAGTTTTTAATATTTTCTATACGTCTTATTAAATATTGTGAATAACAATTTATACAGATAAAATAAATATTTAAACACTGTTTTTACGCTATAAATTCCTATTATCTTTTTTGCTGTCGAAAATTTTGTTTCCACTTCAAAAATATGAATATATTGTTTAGTTTGCAAACATAAAACATTATAAATTCATATATCGACGTGGCATCATTTGGGAAATCTAGCCATTAACCTCATTGCTTTCCATACATGATGTCATACGTATAAAAAGCTTCCGCCCCACATCCGACACTCCAGTTCGAGTTCATGGCACAGGGTTAGCCAAACAACCATCGGGGCTTAAAAGATAAATTGAACATTGATATTTTTGAACTTTGGCTTAATTGTTTATATTAATGCGCAGAACAAATACTTTAACAGCTATCTTGGAATATATAGAAATTAACTATTTAACATCATTTTCATAACCCAACAAAATTCATAACAACAGCTTATTACTGTATATACTATACTGTAAAATGTAAATGCAGTAATTTGTTGGTTTATTATTATTATTTTTTCAGGTTTTATTGCATTTCATTTTATACTTCTTTAGAGATAATTTAGTCCATAGAGTAGTAAGGCATATATGGGCATATAAAATAGCGCTCATGGTATTCCATGGGCGCTATTTTAGCGAATTACCTGTAAGTTGTGACACAAAATTTTTACAAGCAATTACTTTAATACACAAAAGTAAGTTCACTATTATTCTCAAATACGAAGAAAAACTATTGAAATATTTAGGTTCATTGACTTTCGAAAGTCTTCTAATTAAATATTATCTACATTT